ACGTGTGATGTCGGACATCTGATGTCAGATGTCTGATAACAGATGTCTGATGTCAGACTTCTGATTTCTTATGTGTGATGACACATGTCTGATGTCAGACATGTCTTATACCAGACGTCTGATGTCAGAAGTCTGATGACAGATGTCTGACAACAGACGTCTGATGACAGAGGTATGATGTCAGATGTTTGAAGGCAAATGTGTGATGACAGATGTCAGACGTCTGATGACATATCTGATATCAGACGTCTGATGACAGGTTTGATGTCAGACATGTGATGACAGATGTTTGTTGTCAGACGTCTGATGACTTATGTGTGATCACAGATCTCTGATGTCAGACGACTGATGTCTAATGTCTAAAGACAGAAGTCAGATGTCAGATGACAGATGTCTGATAACAGACGTCTGATGTCAGACGTCTGCTGACAGATGTCTGATAACAAACGTCTAATATAAGACGTCTGATGACAGAGATATGATGACAGATGTCTGACAACAGACGTCTGTCAGATGTCTGATGGCAGAGGTATGATGTCAGACGTCTGAAGTCAGATGTGTGATGTCAGACGTCTGATGTCTTATGTGTGATGACAGATCTCTGATGTCAGACGACTGATGTCTGATGTCTAAAGACAGACGTCATGTTAGACGTCTAATGACAGTTGTCTGATAACATATGTCTGATGTCAGAAGTCTGATGACAGGTGTCTGATAACAGACATCTGATGTAAGACGTCTCATGACAAAGGTATGATGTCTGATGACAGGTGTCTGAGAACCGACGTTTGATGTGAGATGTCTAATAAAAGGTGTCTGATAACAGACATTTGATGACAGAGGTATGATGTCAGACGTCTGGTAGCCTGCGTGGCAGGCGCAAAAAGGGGAGGGGGGGGGGGGAGGGAGAAAGGGAAAAGGGAAGGGAGCGCCTGCTCTAAGAGCCTAGGTTTTTGCATAACGCCTACCAATTTTCTAGTAATCCGATTACGCTTATTGTCAATCAAGTGTCGCTACACTCGCCATTGCAGAAAAACATTACACTCACGGACTAAAGAAATTCGCTTAGTTGTTCAGATGCAGAAGGCACTTCGGAGAAAATTGGAACCCTTACTCAGCCGTAAAAAAAAAAGCTTTACGCTTCAAAAGAGGTCAAAGAAATTGCGCTTGCATCGGAGGGCAAATCCTGCCGACCAGAAAACAATAACTACAGTCAATCGATATGTATGTCATGACCTCTCAGTGTGAAACATGCGGCTAAAATAACATTTGCTCAGTATAAATGCAGAACCTTCCAGAGCATAATCTACCCAGCAGATAAAAACAACTTTACAGGAATAAGCAGCATTTTGGCATGAGATAAAACCACCCTCTTTTATTGCTAAGTTACATCGGCGAATGTCATCGTTCGATAAATTGGCTAAATCTTTCGCTGGGTAGTCCAACAATTCCATCCCCTGCAACTGGTCTTCGATAATACTTTTCAGTGGCGAAATGACGAGAATCGTCGCATTACCATTTAGCTAGTAGTTCTTCGCGCGTACAAACATTTGGTAAATTAACCTCTTGCCGTATTCGGTCCGCAAAACCGCCAGAACACCTCTGTCGGCTAAAAGAGCCCTTACTGCTGATTCTTGCTCTGGTTTTAAAACAGTTTCTCTACCACTAGATAAATTCACATCTCTCAAAGCACTCTCTACGACATCCACGTCTACCGCAGCCATCTCGACTGTTTGTTGATTTGTGAAACGCGCATTTCAATTTCATGTTACTCATTACGGCTCAGCCAATCAGGAATTTGCGGACGCCAGCGTCCGCAGATATGAACAAAAGGGGGTTCTTAGAGCAGGCGTCCCCTCCCCCTCTCCCCAATCCCCCTCCCCTTTTTCCCTTCCTCCCTATCCCCTACCCCCTATCCCTTTCGACGCCTGCTACGCAGGCTAGACGTCTGGTGTCAGATGTCTGAAGATAGATGTCTGATGTCAGATGACAGAGGTATAATTTCAGACGTGCGATGCCTGTGGTGCCGGGTAGTTTTTTAACGGGAATAATGGAGTTAGACTTTGGTGATGTGATATCCTTTTTATTTACTGACTGCAATATTGGGAGTGATTTTGAATTTTGTTGAATGAGTGAGAAATTAACAAAACGTACACCAGCCTGAAATGAAACTGTTCAACCGACTTTGGTTTTTTTTCTTCTTAACCTAAGGGGATTAGCATAATGCATGCAAAAGCATGATGAGCTAAGAACTGCACGTTAGTGGTAAAATAAACTGTTTTTTTGGCAGTTTAATACAGCACTTTTAGCTGTCATTCCTTTTATCACTCACTGCTCTCGTTATCTTTCTTTTATTTTATTTTATTTTATTTCTGTGAAGGAGATACAGACATGCCATTATGAGGAAGAAGTATTTACTCTGCTGTGTGGAAACCCAGTGACTACATGTAAGAGTTGTATGTAGTTGTGCTATAAAAATACAGTGAACAACCTCTCTCTTGATCGTCTATTTAGATGGGATGAGGAAAACTGACCAAGAGATGTTGAATACAAGCTTAACCCTTTAAGCTGCAAGACCGATCAGCATCAAATTTCTCCTTGTAATATCAATGCTCTGTAAAGCAGATAATTAGCGATAAGATTATTATGCACATGATCACACAAGATAGTTCACAATTTAACAACTTCTTCCCACAACTTTAATGGACATTGTATGGGGCACCAAATGAGAATTTAAACTCTGATATTAGGTGTTAAGAGGTTTTAACACACAGAATATATAACTCTGGATATCAGGATCTTATTTCAAATAGAGAATTCCTTCAGAGATTGAGACGTAAGACTTGCTCATTCAGCTGATACAACAACAAAAGCTATGCTACCAGTTTTAGTCAACTTAATCACGTGGAATGATAATTATTATTTTCTTTGATTTTCAGGTTTCGAGAGAAACCCGTCCATCGTATAAGCTGCCATCCTTTAAGTTTCAAGTTTTGACAGAAAACGACTGACCTCGCACAAACAAAGAGTGCTGCCAAAAAGCATTGCACATTTTATCTTCGGTCTAAATATATCTGTTATTAAGATCAGCTGGGTTATCTGATTATAGAGTGATGGAGCAATAAACTGATGGTTAACACACAGCTTTAAATTTTTTCTTAACCACACCTCACTCCCTCACCGCTCGCGTGTCTCCCTCGCGCGCGCCTGTTCTCTCTTTCACCCTCTACTTCCAAGCGCCTGCTACGCAGGCTACTCCTATCCTAGAGTGACGTTTAGGCCGAGATGCATAAATTTAAACTTGACGATTTGATTTTTATATCTTTAGGAGTGGAAATTCCCAGTTTCCCTAGTCTAGACTAAAATCTCCAACCAATTGATCAGTTTCCTGGAAAATGATAACCTAATCTAGACCCCAACTACTACTCTCTGATTTTAAATACCCTATCCCACAGTAAACTACTCGAAAACCATACCCTTCACAGCGGTACAACCCTATATACCCCATATATAAGGTGCACTTGGAAACTGTATAGTTGAATTTGCGCGGTGCCTCAGGAAACCAGTTACTTTTGTTTTCCCTTCAATGACTTGAGTCCCGATGTTTCCCTTGACTTTGTTTGGGAAACATCAGGGCTCTCTCTGTTTCCCTTGGGATCTGACAATAAGTGTCAGTACATACTTTTTTAAGAAATGAGTTTCAGTGGGTGAAGTATAAAAGAAAGAGAACAACTTTTACCAATTTGGAAGCTTTATTTAATTTCTTTTCATTTTCAAACAATAACACTCCATGCAGCTACAGTGAAGATGTGTTTCTTACACCTGCAAAATTGAGAAGTAGCGTTAAGTGTCCCAGTTGTTTTAAAGGGGGGATGTTTGCCTCCATACACAAAATAATCCTCTGTAGAGTTATGCAGATGATATCAACAAATTTCATCGTAGAGAACTAGCCATTATAGTTTCTTTGGTAGTTTTTGCAGGCATAACATTAGAAACTGTTCATATAAAATTGTTCATAAATAACAGCAAAGAGCATGACATAGGCCCTTTAGGCCATCAGGAAATTAGATGATCAAGATAGTCTGCACTTAACAGGGACAATAAGCCAGATCTCAAATATAAATTCAACATCTAGCAATAACAGTTTAACATTTTGAAGCATCTTGATCACTATTGGTCAAGGTATCTTAGATACATTAGCCTCCTGCATAACTTCAGCCAATTTCACATAATTTAGACATAAATAATCTCACTCATAGAGGTTGCGGTGCTTAACAGTTCAGGGTTCGCACAATTTTTGGATCCAAAATTGAAAACGTTTTCCAGGCCTTTTTGCAAAACAAAAATTTCTTTTTCCATACTCAAAGTTTTATCAAACAGGTGAAGGAACAAAGCTTTTTTCATGGTGCCCTGCAAACATACAGGTGACGTTGAAAAAGATTTAAAAAAAAAAAAGAAGACAAAAAAAAAAAAGATCACTTATAAAGCACTTGTTGTAGCTTAGAAAAAAACTCAAGACTTTTTTCATTTTTTCCAAACTTCATCCATTTTCCTCGCTTTTTCCAGGTCTGAAAAATAGCTGGATAAAATTTCAGACTTTTGTAAGAATCCAAGACTTTGTACGAACCCTGTGTACTTTAATAATCTCTGAAGAAGAACTTTTGTCAGGATTGGATGAATTTTGAAGGCTAAGAGAATGGCCAGTCAGTAACCATAAAGAGACTGGGCTCATTTTTTAATTCAATATACAGCAAAAAAAGTCCTTAGCAAGAGTGATCTTCATTTGTCTTTTAAATCCACTCAAACCTCCATGAGCAACCTACCCAGAAACGGCAAAATTTAAACAACCGCCTCCTGTAAGAAACAAGGCCAACCCACAACACCCTAAACTTTGAATGCTTGGAGGCAAACATGTGGCGTTTGCACCCAATTAGAACATACATTTTTTCATCATGTGTACACGCTTAGAACCAACTGGGGGTAATTTGCAAGTTACTCACCTAACCTGGGGGCCAGGTCAATTGGCGTCCACCCAAAACATGAACATGGATATGGTACACCTCCTGTCCTCCCTCACGGCCATCATTAATCACTATGCGAAACCCTTTGGTCAGGTTCTGTTCAGCTGCAACTTTTTTGGCAACTAACAGTAGATGGCCTAGTAACTGAGATAGAATATTGAAAATGAAATTTGATCTTGCAAACTCTCTTGTTTTCTTGCTTCCAGACAGTCATAAATGCCAGTAGCAGTAGAGAGCTGGGTCGGTATTAGATATATTCCTATCTTTTCATAAGATTGTCAGGATCAAGCACTTACCATTTGGGGTAGCCATCTTGATTTCACATGTACCAAGCAATTAGACACTCATCGACAGGCTAGGTAGCGAAGATAGCTGATGATGGCCACCCCTAATGCAAAGTGCTCAACCTTGATCTTATGGAAAAAAAGGGGACTGAACAATCTAGGTTGGTATGTGAAATATCACAACAGTCATGTAACTTGCAAGGATTTACCCCTCCCACCCCCTAGAATAATAATAATAATATAATAATAATAATAATATAATAATAATAATAATAATATAATAATAATAATAATAACAGTAATAATTATAATAAATAATGATAATGTCTTAGCAAAAAAAGACTCACTAAATCCTGTCACAGTGATAAATGACGTTTCAATTTACAGGACAGGAAAAAACATTTTTAAACACAAGCTTTCGACTCCATCAGGGAATCTTTATGAAGGGATGGATTTAGGCATTTTGTCATGTGATTTACACTGCCATTTAATTAATCATGTGACAAAACGTTTCTATAGATCACAAGGACCTCGTAACCAGCATCTCTGTTCAATGTTGTAGCCTGACAAAATAATATTTTGGTGGCCTTCCTAACTCCTCCATTGTGAGGATTGAAGAGGAAAATCTGAGACTCGCCCAGACGCCGAGACCCTAGCTAGATATCCGAGCCCGAGACTCGGGCTTGGAAAAAAACAAACCATGCAAAAACGAGGCTTCGAGAGTTATTAAAAACGCTTCCGAGATTTCGAGATCCTGTTAAAATTTTCCGAGAGCCACGTTTTTTGAGGTACCATTCACCACCCCTAACTTTAGATGATCCCCCACCACTGTTGTTGATGCACTTGCTATAATAGTCTTCCCAGTTATCCCAGATGTCCCAGTTGTGGGTGTCCTGGTTGTCTTTAATTGGTTGTCCAAGTTGTCTCAGTTGTTCCAGTGGTCCCAGTTATCCCGGTTGTCCCGGTTTGTCTTGGTTAACCCAGTTGTCTTAGTTGTCCCAGTCATCCTGGTCATCCCAGTTGTCCTGGTTATCCCAGTTTTCCTGATTATCCCGGTTGTTCAGATAGTCCCAGTGGAATCAAAAGTTTGTGTTTTAAAAAACGTTCATCATAATGAAGTAATGATAATGATAAATCAATAATAAGAATACTCATAGAAGCTTGTCAAGCTGTTTTCTGGTCACAAAACATCCAGAATTTTCTGGAAGTGCGTGATGCTGGTTATCATGTTTTTCTTGTTTCTTCACATATGAAGAAGGCATAATTTTCAGTTCTATTTACCCCATAATAGTTACTGGCTATCTTTTCCTTGAGTGCCACAGGGGATGTGGTTTCACACAGAAGGTTGTGAGTGGCTGTAGTACAGATCATGTGACCCAAGAACCTGTTGGTTGCAAGGAGATTACCACGTGGCACAAAATTTTTGCAGGATTATATTTTTGCGGATTGGCGATTTTTTGTGTTTTGCAAGAACTAATAATAAAGACAGATTGTTTTTTCTTGCTATGAATTAATTTTTGTGATTTTTAGAAAGTACTGTTACCCAGCACTAAGCATTGATAATATTTTTGTTTTTGTTAAGTAGGTGCAATAGAAATACAATACTACAATATGCGTACCCTATGTAAAAGAACATTATATACTGTTTTGTTTCTGAATGAATGAAAGAGGAAAGTTGTAATTGACCAGACACAATTTCTTAGTAGTGTATTTTTGTTAGAGAATATTTACTCAGGAGTAAATTTTTTCAGGAAAAATGTTTGGTAATTTTTATTTGTGGGAACTTGTTTTTGCGGATCACTGTAATAATTGCAAATATCACAAAAATAAGAACCCGCAAAAATTCTGTGCCACACGGTATCACCATTTTAAATTTCAGTCCATTTAACCTTCCCTTACTATCCTCACCTGCTCATCAGCATCATCTGCTTTTGACAGCTGGGGAATTGGCTTCTTTGGAATGACAAGGAAGTGTACAGGTGCCTGAGGATTAATGTCCTTTATGGCAACACACTGGAATCATAACCATTTCAAGCTGTTATCCATCAGTCAATTGCTGCACCCATCCCCCACAGGCAAATGTGGGGGATTTACATGCCTTATCAGTCCTGGGGGTGGGGCATTAGCACCTTTTTGCGACCTGGGGGACGGGTATTTTTGCCAATCCCGGATTAACCCATGGGTTTTCACTTGCACATGATTTCTGGCTCAAAACTCCAACATAGCAGTTAGCAGTTAAACATGGAGGAATTTACGGGAAAAGAAGAGTGGATTGGCTTGCTTGTAACGGATGGAGATGCAGATGCACCAAATTAAAAATCATACATTAAAAATGCAGAAAATGAAACTGAAACTACTCTAGGCTTAATTCAAATGTGAAATGAACAACCTACGGACCTTGCTTGAGTTTTTTCACCTCATTAAAGAGCAAAATTGTTGATAATATTGTTGAGTCGCAAATCTTAAATGATTTAAGTTAACGAGCTAAATGAGAATAACATACTTGTTCATCCTCGTAAAGGAATTCAGAAGGAATCTCTCTACGAATGATTTTGGAGAAAATGCTGTCTCCTTCCGCCATTTCAGAGGTTTACTCAACCACACCCATGATGCATTGTGAGTTTCAAGGGGGAAGCCGAGGCGGGGTCGGGGGTGGGGTGTTTCGGCATAGATAGTATAGGCGAGGTTTTCGGAAAAGTTAGTTTTAGTTTTAATAAAATTTCTGCGGAAAAAAACAAAGAAGGGCCTTCGTAAGCTAAGACAGAATGTATGAAAGATTTCAAAAAGTGGGTTTCGCGCAAGTTCTTTTAAGACGCCAGTTGTGTTACGTCTATCATCCATGGTTACGTGTCACGCAAGAAATGGCAGAACTGGAAACCAGTCTCTGCCTCTTCCCTTTTTGAAGAGGAACGAAGCGTGAACGAAAGCGGACATCACAGAAAAGCGTGCCTTGCAAATCTTTAATTTGTAATTTCGGGCTTGCCCAGACCATCTGCCCACGCACTTATGCGGCTTTAAATTCACCCACTTATCAGTTCACTCAGTATCATTGCGGAGTTCCAAGAGAATCAACAGTCACATCTCAGTCGACGCCTGAGGGACAAACAGCTTGTGGGGCATTGTTTCTTTAGTTGAATTTTTGGCTTAAACGTGAATCAAAAGAATAGACCGTTTAAAATGTCAAGTAGACCTCGTCTCCTCAAGAAACAGTCTTCTTTAGCAATCTTAGTTGAGTTGGAAAGGGAAACTTGTGAATCGGCAAGCCGACCGCCATCCGAGGCTGATCCCGACCAAGTCCGAGAAGAAGATCTTGAGATACATGTGGACGAAGAAGTTGAAGACCTCGAAGGTGGAGAATTACCACCTGGTGAAGATGATTTGCTTGATGAAAAAGGCGATGGTGATTCTGAGGGTGGAGATACAGATGCGGCGGTTTCTAGCGAAGATGAAAATGACATTTCTGTTTCCCTCGCTTCAAGCAAGAAATCACTTTCCGCGTCGGCCAGAGGCGGACAAACGCGTGCGAGCGTCGAGGAGGAAGAAATTGCACCTCCGCTGCGTATGTCACGCCGATTAATGTCCATGAAACGAAGAGGAAAAGTTGTTTCTTTGGCAGATTTAACTGAAGAGTTTGAGTTCTGCGCGGGCGATGTTTTGACTGTGCGCGGAGAAGAAGGTGATTTCTACGTCTGTCGCGTGCTCGAAGACGTACCCGAAAGCGCTACTAGCTTTGGAGTGGCATGGTTTAATAGAGTTGATGATAACTTGTACGAGGTGAGCTACGTTTCTCGTATTAATTTTACAAATGTTTCTGATTATTGTTATAAGTTCTTTTCGGCGTTTTATCACGACAGTCACGAGAAAGGCCTTTTTTAGCCATGGTCTTTAATTAATTTTACCCATGCCATGTGGTTTGCTCAGAGCTTCAAATGGAAAATTCTGCTTTTTGCCTTTCTGGTGGCTAGCAGACCTCTCGAATGTTATAGTGAATGAACGTAGTCATATCTTTATCGTCTGGGAAAGAGGTAACTCGTGTTGTCTTAGAAAGGGCACAAAACGTGGTGGAAATAAACAAGTGGTGTTGGATTGCGTTACTGTTTGTTTTTCGCGTGATGCGGCCACTCCCACAGTCACTCCGTTTTGTTTTGTTTCTTTTAGACAACGGAAATTATAGCGTTATATTGTGGCTCCGATTTAATTAGCCGCAATAGCCTCATTTAAGGCAATGTAAGGGATTCTTCAAAAATTACGGTGGAACCTTGATATAATTAAACGAAGGGCCGAGGGACTGCAAAACTTGTTCACTAAAAGTGGTTTTGTTACATCAAGGTTCTTTTTCATGTGTCTTGCTATTACTGTTGTAAAGAAAATCGTTCATTGTACCAAGGACTTCATATATGGAGTTTATTTTTATTGGTGTTCAACTGTATTTCCATTCAAAATTAAATTATTTTTGCTACATGCATAAACCAAACTTGTCCATTCAATAGTATTAGTTGTTCCTCGGTAGTAAGTAATTTCAATTTTCTTCCGGCTACACAGTCTGTCTTTGTTATTTAACCTGAGTATGGCTTTCTAGAATTTCTTTTCAACATTCTTCCAGGTCTCATTTGATGATGTTTGTTACATGGATTCCGTTATCACTCGGGTAGCTTTGTCAGAGGTGCAGCCTGAGAAATATGCGATTTCCAAGCCACACGTAAAACAAACCAAGAAACTGTTAAAAGAAGCTCTTGCTGCTGAACGAGGGGAGGAAGAAGTTTCACAGGATGAAGGAGGTATGTTTCTGAAGGGCTAAAAGGCTGCTGTGGGGGGGTGGTTGGGTTAGGGCACTCTCTATAATAGGCAACATGTATACGGGGAAGCTCTGCTGGAAAGGGGTGCCTTTTTCAGATTTCAGGTATATGATTTAAGGGTAGCGAAATCTGTCATTTTGATCTTTAGAAGGGCTGAAAAGGGCTAACAGAAACATTTATGCCTTTGAGAAAGTCAATAAGACATTCTGATAAATTATTGTGATTTATTCATTATAGAAATTTTTTAAAAAAGTACATTTACAGCAGTTTAAAGGGATGCAAAGTTCTAAACTACTCTGTAGACTAGACATGTGAAACGGGTACCATTTTCTCCAAAAAGGTAAACAAGAAGGTACCTTTTCTCTCAAACCCCCCCCCCCCCTTTCTGCATAACACTTTGTTAAGTACCTCTAGGGTGGTACTTTCTCGTAACAACCTTATCTATTGTTGATGATCTATTTTAACCATAAGTTAATTAGAATGCCACTGTATGGTTAAAATTGTGTCAAATTAATTAATAATAATTATCTTGTTTTCATTTGAATAAATTAATTTTTAAAGATGATGATGATGATGATGAGCTTGGTGATGAAGATGAAGAAGAGGCAGAAGATGAACCTCCTGCAAAACGAACACGAAGTGGCTCCAGGTCTTCCTCAACCTCTTCTCCAGCCAAGAGGGGGAAACGAGGTCAGAAAAAGGGTGCAGCCATGCCCGCCAAGGGTCCAGGTAGGAAGCGGAAAGCTGCTGAGCCTAAGGAAAAGAAAGAAAGGAGGAAAAAGGCATTGGTTGAGAAGAAGGATAAACCAAGAAGAGCTGGAGTGCTTATTCCAAATGAAAATATTAAACTGCTTGAAAAAGATCCAACATTTGAAACCAGGTCTGTTTTAATTCCTAGATATACATTTAGTTAGTGTCAGGCTTAGGGAGGTAATGTCTCTCTCATAAACCTTATGGACAGTTACTTTAATTGAAGGTTAATTACATAAGACCTCTATAAATGTTCCATTATAAATGTATGTATACCTTTTTAGCGAGGACATTCCATTGATGCCTGTAAAATGGGCAATCAAAGCAGTCTTGGTGAATGACATGGAGATGCTTAAAAGTGCAATTGAAGATAGACAAGAAGTGTATACGGTAAGTGTGCAAACTTGTACGTTGAATTATTGTTGTAACATAAATTATGATAATTAATTAAAGTTTTTACGTAACTGGAAATGGGTTATTACTACACATAATTGTTTACCTGGGATCAGCCAAGGTTGATATCATGTATTCATCAGGTCATTAAATGTTAATGCACATTTAGGGTTGTTCAGCTCCGCAAATATTCTCCAAATAGCAGATGTCAGCCTTCGAGTTGTCTTCTTGCTGTTCTTGCCATGTTTTTAGCTATTGTTTCACCTAGTTCTCACTCCTGAAACAAGTGAAATGTCTGCCATTTTTGTTTTCACAACCAAAACAACTCAGCCTCATCCCCAGGTCTTCTCGGTTAACAGTGCATTAACCTGCATGAAGGTTGCACTTTTGACGTCATCAGTTCATTAAACGCAAAATTCTTCCAAATTTGGTCATCAGTAGCTGGTTATGGTGAATTATGCATGTGCTTTTAGCCAATCAGAATTGGGGAAATAATCATTCTGAATGAATAATAATAACATTTATTGAACTTCATTTTAATGAATGTTTTTGTAACAGGTTCATTGGCCTAGAAGTCCCGAAATCCAGCTTGCAGCAGTGCATTATGCCCTTCTAAATCAAAACCATGAAGCTCTGAAACTGCTACTTAAAGAACTTCACGAAGAAAAACCACCCGAGCTTAAACGCCATAACCAGCCAACAGTTTCCTTAAATCACATGGATACTGGAACGTAAATAAACAGTTTTTTGTCAACTCCCCATGCCCTGTATATCTTTAATTCAGCCACTACCAATAAAGGCCACCACAGGAAACTACATGTCGTACAGGCGCAGTGAGTCAGTTACTTTACATGTAGTGCAGGAACCTGTATTGTCAAGACACTCACTGGAAACATCAAATTCAGTGGTAGACTGTTTTTTTTTAAACATTGTAGGTCAACTTTCTGAGGTGGAGTGCTCACAAATGACTAGGGTTCACCTCTTGCCCTTGCATGCATGTACAGTACCTATTTTATATATTAGCTTTGTGACAGCTCTTTTCTTTTTACTTTCTTCAATGAACAGTGCGTACTGTGATTTAAATTTCTGTTTTACATTATTTTATTATTGACATGATTATAGATTTATTTACATGACAATTTTTTTTTCTGTTTTGCAGGTATAACTTTTACACCTTTGGTCATGCTGTACGAGAACTGTATTCAAGCAGAGGGTCCAGAGAGGGAAACAATGCTTTTCTTGAGGTAAGGATTATGGACCACTGCAATATTAATATTAACAAAATTTTTGTGCCATAATATTATACAAATCAAGGGGCAAGCAATAATGATCAAGTGATTTATAGTTTGAGGGACAAAGATGTGCCCGTTGACATTGTTAATCACAAACAGACCATCACTCAACCTCGTTCCCAGGGTTCTCTCCTACCCATCTCTCGATGGTGGGAAATGAGGTTGATTATCACTAACTGTACTCATATTATGTCTGCATCCCAAAATGCTCTCTAGTTACAGCTATGTTTGGACAAGGCTTTGAAATAAAGTGCATCTTTTTTTATTTTGCTTCCATGTTTACAGGATGATAAAAGGTTTCACGGGACTAAAGGCTATGGCACATCAGACCTTCTGCCATTCTGTTTTAAGAAGGGAGTCCCTCTTGAGACTGTTAAAGTTCTGTTGAATGAGATGACCATTCTGGAAAAATCAACCCTTCATGAAGTGGAACAGGTGAAACAAATACAATATTTAGGGGCTGATCAGGACTGTGATAGCTTGTTTTGAAGCACTGTTTCTATTCCAGTGATAATAAGCCCCTTGGATATAAGCTCCTTCGTTTATAAGCCCTCCTTATACCTCTTGAGCCCAGGGATAATAAACAGCAGTTTGCGGTATCTGTCTAGCAATGATCTTATCTGAAAAACAAAAACGACTTGTGAAAAATATTAGCTCCCACTGAATATTGCACTTACAGATAATGTTATGATGTGCTTAATGACCTTAGGACGGTATTCATGAGGTGTGGCATGCTATCAGAAGTGGAAACAGAAAATTGGCTGGCTATTTTGTCGGTAAAGGAGTGGACAAGTTTGGATTTGGCTTCAACTTCTTGCACAAAGAGGTATAATTGACGATAAATTATGCTCTGTGAAAGGTTTGAACCCAGGAGTCATTTCAAAAGTAGGTTGAGTTTGATCCTACTTTTGAAATTATGCTCTGTTGTCTTTTGGTATTGGTTGTTGCAATGTACATGTACAGTAATAATTTATGTTTCTAAGATTTTTATAGTATTTTCTGTTGGTGTACAGTAGTCAATATTTTATTTGATTTTTAGGTTTTATTGAATGACAGTGAAGAGTTAACGAGTTTTAGAAGTCAGTCAGTCAAGAAAAAGCCAGTGGAAAACAAAACGGCAAGTACCACGATCTAAAATTTGTCACAGACACTCTAACTCCAACATTTCAAAGTAGACAGACTGCAAATTATAGTAGTTGCTAAAAAATTTATTTACGTGTCCCAACTGTTCATCAGTAGGATGCCTAAAATGCGTGCATTTCCACAATATTGGTTTCGTTAAATCCGGTTTAATTGCAGAACATTTGATGGACCTATCGTTTGGTTTGCATTTGTGAGGAAAATTTTATTAAACGAACTAAATGTACAAATTTTGCACGCCAAATTTTCCGCGCGCACACGTACCAATATACAACTGATTGGCTGATATACAGCTGGATTGGCGGGAATGTTGCTGTCCATATGAGGAAAGTTGACAATTGGGAATGAAAAGTCATCTCTCTTATCGTAGATGCTGATACGGAAAGGTGTGGTTACGTCGCCAGTCTTGATATTTGTGTCGAGATAACACACTTCAGTAGATGATGTGGATGTGTCCTTAAGTTCCAATTCCGACGGGTAAATCGCGCTGATGCAAAGTCCAAAGTTCACATTGTTAATACTGAATAAGTCGTCGATATATCGAAAGGTGTTGCTGAAGGAACCGGAAAAGACAGGAGACAGGAGGAGTTGTTAAGCGGTTTACGCTATCGTTTGGTTCATTTGTGCTTTATTAGACTTTAAATTTTGCAGCCATTTTCCCAAGCAAATACACGTCTTGTTTCTTCTAGGGTAATTTTTTTTCTGTGTTTATAGATCCTGCCTATTCATGCTGCCTCTATCAATCCTAATGGAGATTACCTGAAAGCGTTGTTAAATTCTGTACCAGAGCACAGCATTCCAGACAGAGATGGCTTTAAACCAATCCATTATGCAGCTGCCTGTGAGGGACCAGGGCCCCTAAAGGTTTTATTGGCAAGGTAATGGATCGGCCGGTTTGAGATTGCGCGAGGGACTGGGTCGGTGGTGCGTCGAATTGCATTATAAGACTGTCTTTTGACTGCTATCACTTCATTCTTCTCCCCCAGCGCTGGGATAGTTTTGGCCAGCACCACGAATCCAGTTCTTTGGCTGGGGCCGAAGCCGAAGGTCCGCAAAACACGGACTTCCGGCTTTCCTAGTACCATCAGCAATTTGTAGGAATACAGTTACCTTTGTCAAAGTGAAATAATCAATTTTGAGTCCCCGAATAACCTTGACCTCCCAAACACACTATCCTTAAAAACTCATGGAATGGTTCATATTTGATCCTAGCAGTATGCGGACTTGTGTCCCACGCTTATCTTTATTTCCTGTTTCACCGAGCGCCTTTTTCTTTCAACGATCCATGGCCACTGCGCTTGCGCGTTCTCTTTAGGATCGATCATGGCGCCATCGCAGCCATCACTTTTCTATTTGTCATTTTGGAGCTCTGGGGAAACTGGGTCAAAGTTTGCCCACAAATGTGACCCAACACCAACCCCGTCCCGCCACCTAAGAATAGCCAGACTATGAAATATGACGCGCGATAAGTAAAGCGCACGAGGGGAGGACACGCGCCCGCTCGAGGGTAATGCCACCATTCCTATTTGCGCCCTTTATTTCTCGTGCGCCTGCTAAGTAGGCAGGCAGGCTATTCTGTTTCATCTTGAAAGGTTTTGAAAACTTCAAGTTTTAAAAGCCAAAGAAAGTTTTATTACTTCATTGGCTCAACTCACGAGAAACGTTGGGAATATGGTCGTATTAACGGGGCTCCACCGTAATATAAAACTGAGTCCGCGAAGATCTCGCTGGTAAAATGCTGCGTCCGGCTTAAGCCCCAGTTAGATGAAATATCCACCGTAACATAAAACTGAATCGAAGAGCTGGTATTGGCTTAAGGAAGATGAAATATACAGTGGCACCGCTGGGCCATAAAATCCCGGTCGTAGCTGAGTCCCCAGTTCACGCTCTCGGCTTAAATTGCTAAAGGTAAAAATTCCGAAATCGCTGTAAACGCCGCTGAGGCCTATACGAATTTAAACGAACCCAGCTCATTTGACGTACACGGGTAGACTTACGGTTTTCGTACTTGGAAAAAAATGATCTCCAAAAAGCAATTTTCAGCGCGCGGTTGCCTGACATTTTCTTTGCAGAGGGGCTGATCCAAACGACCCTGGCCCGAAAGGAGTGACACCTTTGATGATTGCTTGCAAACATGGCCGTGAAGAGAACGTCAAAGAACTTGTGGCTGCTGAGGATGAAGACGTTGATGACGCATTGGAAGACGGAGAACAGACCAAATCACGTGTTACAATTGATGTGAAGAATAAACACACAAAGGCTGCTATTCACTATGCCGCTAGGAAAGGACACCTTGTAAGCGAAATATATTTGTCGAATGCTCTAATTTATTTAAAGGGAACCTATTTAACCACTGTGTTTAAATCAATAAAATTTGACAAATTTGAATCGTCTTCTCCGGTTTAATCAGGAAGAGTGAATTTTAAAATCTGGTATTAAAATTGACGGTTACGGTTGCTCTAAGACAAAGGGGTTTAATAACATTAGGGCAACCATAACAGTTCAAGATGGCGACGCCCGCAAAATTTGAAAAAAAAAAATTTTTTATTTCTTTCGTTTTAAAAAGATTGACATCATTAGACCTGTGATTTAAAGTTATCTTTTTGTTGAGCCCTTTAACAACTGGCAATAATTGACCTCGTCTTCAAACAAACTGGTATTAAATTGGGAAATGTTACCGTTGTTTTTTTTTCTTTTTAAACAGATGCTTTGTCGGCTGGTGGCAATGTTGACCTTCAAACAGGCTCTTACCGGGGAAATGTTACCGCTTTGATGCTTGCGGCTGCTCAAGGGCGCCTAGAACTCGTCAAAGCGCTGGTTGAACTGAAGGCTTCACCTGACAAGAAAGGTTGGTTTGTTGGGTGGCTTAAATCCTCATATTTTTTTTTTTACTTCTTGCTCTTGTTGTGTCGTAACTCCGTTATAACATTACGTCGGCAAACGTTCCGCGTCAAGTAAGTAAAAATCTGTGGTCGTACACGTTCAGCTGGAATTAACTGTTTCAACAGAATTTGACTTGGCGAATTTGGTTGAGGTTCCCAACAGAACACTTTTTCAGTAGAGTTAAATGGTTGAATTAAATGTTAATGGGACTCAGTCAGATCGCGAACGGTTGTAAGCGCATTAAAAAAAACAATAGCAGACGTCACAGTATTTTTTCGAGCTAGCCCTTCTGATTCCGCGCGTTTAAGCGCTATTCTCTCAGCGGCGGTCTTGCGCAGAGGAGCTCTGGTTCGAGACTGAAAATGGTGATCAAAATTAATAAGATATTCGCAATGTGCAAATTCAGTTGTTATTTTAGGTGTCGTGGTGATGTTTGTCATTTAACGTAGGGAACTGTAAGGAGTGAAATGGTCCCTCAAAGGTTTATTGTTTTTTGCCCTAACACGTCTTACGAAATTATTCTTTCATAATTATTGGTTTCTTTAAGGTAAGTGGAACAAGACAGCCCTGATGTATGCAGTAAAGAATGGCCAGTCGCCAGTTGCGGCGTATCTGCTGAGGATTGGTGTGAATCCATGTGCAGCAGACACCTCCGGGAATACTCCAGTACACTATGCTGCCGCCTATGGCTGGCTTCACTGCTTGAAGATGCTCATAGAAGCTGGCGCAGATCCAAATGCTGCTAACCAATGGAAGGTAATTTAGAAATGTTGAAGCTTATTTTTCTGGCTATCATCTCTCAACAAAATAAAACATTTTACGGCCAGATTGCTGTCCACGTTTAGTTAGTAACAGGAACAACACAGTTTTCGGATAAAGGGCTTTTGAAGTAGATTTGCCAAATTTAATACCATTTTTTAGAAATAAACCTCTTGACCATCCCAATTTCTAAAATTAGCAGCAGCTACAGTCACTTTATGTGTACCAACTTTCCTTGCCTAAGGGTAGATATAAGGGCGTTGGTCTTGAAATCTGAAGCCATGTTTGTGGTGGAAGGCTCTGCTTGTGCCTTTTCCGAAAGTCCTAGAATATTTTTTTGCCTCAAATTCCACATTTTGTTAATTCGCAACAGTACAGAAGTGCAATTTCATTGAACCTGAGAGTGCGATCAAAGAATCCTGGCTGACAAGTCTAGGATTAGCTGATTTTAAAATTTAAGTGAAAGCTGTGAGAATTGCACAACCGGTCGCTGCCATCTGTCATCACCTCGTGCGTTTGTTCGTGCTGATGAGAAAACGAGGTGGGTCTTTGGGGTTTCAAGTTTCGACTGCACCCTCTTTTTATAGAGGACATCCTTTACGCCCCCATCGAACCTCGGCAGATGTCAGCTGGGGTCTAAAACAATGGCTCATTCGCTCTCATGGTCAATCTGATGAGAAAAATGAGTGCAGGCGGATCGTTCCAGTTCTTAAGTCGCGCTTGAAACTCACTTCGCATCGAGGACATCCACGCATTACGCCCTCTTCGAACCTCCGTTCTCCGCAGATGTCAACTGGGGTCTAAAACACTGGCTACACATGTAAATTAAACTTTTAAAATGAATTTGGATGGTTGTTGGAAGGAAGGCTGAGTCATTCACTGCATATATATCCAGTTGTTATTCTTATCAGAACTAACTTTCTTTAGTTCTAACGGTATCATTCCAATTGTTATTTCTTCAGGTTACTCCACTAGCAATAGCCCTAATGAAAGACCAAATGCCCTGTGCGGACTATCTCTTGAGTTTGGATAACGTTGATGTCAACTTTCCTGACGACTGTGGACGCACTCTGCTTTGTCAAAAGCTTCGCTGTTCGGCTCTTAACAAGGCACTCGTGGAGAAGATTACATATCTAGTAGAAAAGAAAGGTGCTGATGTCAACAAGGCTGATGTCGAGCAGTGGACTCCCGTAAGCAGTTTTTATTGCCTCTAAGTCGACTTTTTACTGTTGTAATCCAAGCATCATGTATGCAGGATAAGTTACACTTGTCTCACTAATGTTGGCCAATGTTGGCCCATCCTCTTTCCCCGGGCTCAGGTAAGCAAACCCAAATCACTCAAACAAACACTGACATTGAGCTACCACCGGGGAACAGAAACAAGTAAAAAAGTACTTGGGAACTCAAATGCTTAATGTATGACCTTTTTGTTTGTTTTGGTGCTTAGGCGTTTTGAACGATCAAGGGCTGTGTCGTCGATTGTAGTCGATAGCTGTTTCATAGTCAAAAAAATCCCTTAAACAACTTTTATGAACATGTTTCTGATATACAGTCAACTCTCTCTAAGACGGACACCTTTGGGACCGGCACTAAGTGTCCGTCTTAGAGAGGTGTCCGTCTTATATTCTTATAGAGGTGTCCGTTAAGAGAGAGTCGACTGTATAACTTAGTCTCTCTCTCGATACTTTTGCTATGATTTTTGTATTTTTATATTTGCAGTATATAACAGGTTTTATTTTTCTTTGCAGCTTCACTATCTGGCAGCAAACTCTGTTTACGAAGGACAGCGTTATGTAAGTAAGGAAATATACGAACTTTATGTGAGAATCAATGTATGAAAAAACTTAAGTATTCATTTGGGACACTTTTTTTACGTCTCCTACTTAAGATGCATGGGACCGCCATTTTTAGTGGTCATTTCAGCCACCTCCACCCGAAGGACTATCCATTTGCGGGGCAAAGGCAGCTTCATTTCTCTATTGTTTTAAGACCCTGAGTATTGGCCCGGTCCTGGGAATCGAACCCGCGACCTTCCGCTCTACTGTCAATCGCTCTGCTAACTGAGCTAATTGGCGGTTGGATCAGAAAACTAAAAACCTAAACGTTAAGTTAATTCTGGCTAGATTATTTCCCCGGGGGAAGGGGGCGGGGAGGCTTCGCCTCGAAGTCTAACCCCTTACCCTTTTATATACCATTTTCAGACTGTTCAATCCTTTGAGTATGTAAAATCGGGATATTTTTATAACCAAGATATCAGGAGAGTGCCGAAGGAGAGAGCCGCTAGAGGAGACCTGGGGGCATGCTCTCCCCCCAGAAAAATTTGAAATCTTGATCCTCTGAAACGCCATTTCTAGTGTTCTGAGAGGACGCTGAATTTTTGACTTGTCATTTTTATGCTTATTTTTATTTGCATGGCTTCGCGAACAAGAACTCGATGTTATTTTTTATTTTGTGCAGTTTCTTTCTGCATATCAGTTTCAGTTAGGTGTACTCTTTTATGTGTTCTTGTTTAATTATCATAACAATTCATTTGGAAGAATCAAAACAGATGTCAAAATCGGGATTTTTCCTATCCCCATTGCATATTGGTCGAAATTCGGGTTTTTCAAGCAAAATCGGGAGAATCCCGACGAAATCGGGATGGTTTGACAGATTGCATTTTTGACAGTAGCGGTACATATTTTATAAACGTCTATTGAAAAATGGTACCCCTTTCATATACGTAGTTAGGGCGCGTCCCTTCGAACTACTGTTAATGCACCGTCTTTTTGATATGAATAAATCACTAAGCCAGGAAGTTTTCGTGTCCTTTTCACAATTCAAGATGTTCTGTTAGCCCTTTTAGGTTTTTTTGCAGACCGAAATGACGGATTTGCGACACCCCTTTCATATACTTCAACCAGTGAATTCCCTATTCTTTCGTACAGTTAGCCAGTGAGCAAGCTCTCTGGGGCGCTCTGGCGGCGGGGCAGGAAAAGGAAGGAGAGCTTGAACATCTCTGCATCGAGAAAGTCGATGCGAAATGCTGATTGAGGGAAATGACATTAGAAATGACGTCATTACAATTGGCGCGTGCTTTCACGTGTTTTTTAATGTTTGTTTACATTGGCGCTCGTTTCCGCTTGGCGCTGATTGGCGAAATCTGACAGCTCAGTCAATGGGGAGCCACAGGGGAATTGGAGGTGGAATTCAAATTCCAGAGACATAGTTACAAGCTCTCCTTCCTTTTCCCGCCGCACCACCCAGGAGAGCTTGCAGTGTATACCTGAAGCCTGAGTAAGGAACCCTTTCCAGGGCGGAGCCTCCCCATATAGGCCATTATTGTAGGAGGGAGTACTCCCCTCGGGATTATCATTTTTTTTCTCTCTCTTGCTCATCGCTCCCTCTTACTTTTACTTTTTCCCTCCTTACTCATAGGATCGGTTCTTGTCGTATCATCCTTCGCCGATGCTTAAGATGCACCTGGCTGAGGTGTCATGCCAGTTGGCGCGCCTCTTTATATCCGCTGGAGCAGATCCTGATGCTGTCAACAAAGATGGACGAACTCCTATGATGGTTGCAATCTTGCAAGTGAGTTATTTTTCATTTTACAATAACAGAGCGATTTTTCGCAGTGTAGACCATAGAAATGACGTCGTGACGGCGGAATTTGTTTTTCTCTTTCTCTCGCGCGCTATTTTCCAAGAAGCGTCACAGGAATGGACAATAAAAAACTGCCAGTGTTCCGTAAGACCAAGCAAACAAACAAACAAATCGACTTCTGTTTTCCACAATCTATTCTATCATTGACCGTAGAAATGAATTCAAAATGTATCATCACAAATCACTGAAGAATTTCTGATGTTATTTATATTGACTTACGTGCAATTATTTTCAGAACAATTTCCCTTTGATTGAGACTTTGTTGGAATGTGGAGCCAAGGGATCTGTGGGCAAAACCAGTGACGGCTCTCAGGTGCTGCATGTTCAAGCAGAAAAAGCAGATGACCTGGATTTGTCCGATCTCTACCCAGATGCACACGTCGTAAGTGACTCAGAGATTTCTAGTAAATTGCACACAAAGATTATTGTGGAATTTCGTAAAGCTACTTGCAAACGGACACAACAACTTCCAACATTGTTGGGCCAGCAAGGCTGGGAGTTGTTGCGTCCGTTTCGGCAGTGGTGTGCAAACGGCTGCAATAACTCCCAGCAGTGTTGGGACCTGCAGTGCATCGTGGGATGGTCTCGAAAGTCTTATGGGTTGTATCCTTGCGTAATGCGCGTGCGTGGCCAACAACAACAATGTTGGAAGAGGTGTGAAAATGGATCCAACATTGTTTTGCTACGCTTCGGCGATCACGGAACAAAAGAAATATTGGGACGGGCATTTTTGGCTCAAACTTTTGACCGGTTTCAAACTTTGCGGAACAACTCCAAACAACACGCAGCAACATACAACAACATTCAACGTTGTTTGCATACGGACGCAACATGTAACATCCAACAATGTTGGGAGTTGAAATAAAGAAATGATCGTCGCAGTGAACGCAATTTATGCAATTGCGTAAAGAAAACTAGAAAAAAAAATCAGGACTTCAACGGGGTTTGAATCCGTGACCTCGCGATTACCGGTGTGATGCTCTACCATTTGAGCTATGAAGCCACTGAAGTTGGGAACAGGTCAGTTGTGGGTTGGGAGTTGTTGGCCAGCAATGTTCCGTCCGTTTGCACGGGGCTTAACGTTCTTGTCACTCAAGACGTATCTCTATCTTGCTTCGTTTTCATGTCCCAAGAGCGCGCGCAAACCAGAGAACGCATGGGATCTATGTAAACAACGGGCGCTAGGCAAGGGCAAATTCCCCACATTTGTACCCTTTGAAAAGTTAACAGCATTGAGGTTATGCATGTTAATGAATTATTTATTTTTGTAAGTAAAATGGTCACATAAGATTAAACTCTCGTGCTGTGAAAAAACATTTAAGCTTGTTTATTTTTAAAGTCATACGTGGATGGATTAATGCAATTGTAGGATTTAACTGGGAACACATCAGAGCAGCGGGAACAGAAGCAAAAGCATTTGAAATCTTTGGTCATGAGAGCAAGCAATGAAATGATGGAGAAGCTGATTGCTGGAGGAGCGGAAATCAATTGTGTTAGATCTGATGGCCTAACGCCTCTGATGCTTGCACTCTCAGAGGTAAATGGTGTAGCTTAATTGATATTAAGTTAAAGGTAGCATACTAATTTTGATCGTAACCTTTATGTGATTTCTCACGTAAAGTATTACCCACTCATAGCTGTCGAAAGAACGTTTAGGTTCTCTTGTCGACTCTTGACTAGCCTGGTTCGCAGACGTAATTTAACCTCGATTAATATCCGCGAAGCAGCCCCGAAATCCCCGTTTTGAGCCCCCAACGGACTCAACGAATTACCGGAAGTGCGTTTCAAATTTCCTTTCATCCTGATTGGCAAATCAACAATGGGATTTCTAACAGGCCAATCATGGCGCGTACTCAAATCCTGATACACAGGTGGAGGTCTGGGAAGGATTTAGGCGCGGTTTCGCAGACGGACTTAACCAGAGTTTTGTTCCGTCTTTAACGCAGGCTAGTCGTTTTCGGTTTTGCCTGATGTCGGCCCCTCACCTCTCTCAACGGGTTTAGAATGCATTATCGTCCATAAAACAATATCGAAAGTTAATTACGCGGGATGGCGTAGTCAGCCAGCGTCATAAATTCAGGAGCGCATTCTTTTCGTATTTATCTTGGGAGTCAAAAATTGCCTTCTTTTTTCAACTTTCCCGTATCCCGTGCCCGTCACAAAAAATTGTGTGATTTTTATTGGCTGCAACTTCGAATCACGTACAAGTCAGGTTGGATTGCACAGGCAGAAAAAAGATACTGCGTCAGCAAAAGAGGGAAAAGTAAGCTTACTGCGTAGAGGAGGACAAAGCCAAGGCCGTCCTCTGAATTACGGCGCACGGTCGCCTGAGGCGACTAAGACTTGGCCTCGGGCGACTGAAAATATTGTCCAGGTCACCCACCCGGGCGACATGCGGGTGTTGGTTTCTTGATTTAAGGTCAAACAGCTATAATTTATTCACTTGCGTCTTCGTAGCTCGCTCGGCCGCTTTGCAGCCTAAAAAGAACGTTCCGCTCGCTTAGAAACTCTTAAGGCCAACTTGTATGCAGCAGGTCTGTCAAAAAGCTTTTTAAAAGAAAATGTTGTTACATGTAAGCGCGCGTTGATGTTCAAAGATCGTTCCACTTACATTCACATGTAGCATAATCCTTGGGATCTGTTTGAAAACTGTACTATGGTACAAAAAAGTATTGCTCTTGGATTATTGGGAGGTTGTTCGGGGTTTATTTACAGTCACGATGGAGCTGAATGAAATTTGTTTTCTTGTCACAGGGAAACATGGATCAATTCTCGATGCTTCTCGATCACGATGCCGATCCCAGCATGGGACTTGACAAGACGGGGAGAAATCTTCTGCATTTGTTAGCTACCCTGTGTACTGAGCATGACTTACGTCGACACATGAAGATTGTTTTGAAAAAGGTGAGAAATACGAACGGCAATTTAAAAATATATACCGTAAATCCTCTATTAAGCCCCCCGGGGGGCATATTTTTTTTCAAGCGCTTTTGAAGGGGGGCTTAAAAGAGAGGGGGGGCTTATTTAATTTAGCGAAATGCATCACCTGTAGCAAAAATTTACCGCCTGTCTACCAGCAGCTCTCAAGATCAAGAACTAGTTGGACATTTGCCTATAGAATTATCATTTCTGCTGTGTAAATTTTTATCTCGTGAGGGTTGCAGCTTAGAGTTTTCACCGACAGGAGCAAGGTTTCTCGAGGACGGACTTGTGGTTCCTGGGCGGTACACTGCTTTGTCTAACGATAAGAAAATGGTGACAATTCTCCACAGAGAACTAGAGCGCAAAGTTGAAAAGTTAAGCACATGAAGTTGGAAGTCACGCAGCCGAAGACCAAAAACAATATGAACTTCCAGCCTGAATAAACCATAACTGATCAGTCAGCCACGTTAATCGTTAATTTTTTTGTGAAGAGTAAGGATTGGGGGAGGGGGGGGGGGCTTAATAGAGAGGGTGTGCTTATTAACTTTCCTCCTGAAAAGGTGGGGCTTATTCGAGAGGGGGGCTTATTTGAGAGGGGGAGGGGGCTTGATAGAGAATTTACGGTATATATAAAAAAAGGACATTGAGCAGTGCTAAGAATATTTTGAAACAAATAATACATATTTAATAGGAGTTAATAAAGAGACGAGATAACGACTGGTCTCATGCTCAGCCGTTACTGGCTCGTCACATAATATCGCTCCTACCCATCATTTCAGTTGGGAGCGTTGCGCGAGGACGCTAAACGGCCCGTACGATCGACTTGGTTGGTTACCCTGTGTGTGTTACTACTCTGGGTCACCTGTTATAGTGTGGGCGACCTTACTCGCCGTGATTTTCGAGTTCTGTGTGATTACCATCTATGTCATGTACGCCAATCTGCGAGAGTTATAATTACTATATATATATGTAAAAACTTGGATCGATAAACACTTCCATAAAAGTTATGTCACGGGTTTATTTCATTTTTCTGGCCTCAGGTCTCTTAAAGGTGAATAGGGCATTCCGACTTCCAAAAACCTCACGAGGTTAAGTGCAAAACTCCTGTCGTGAAAATGAGTTTTATTTGCTTGAGAATAAAAACGTTCTTGGCACACTTAACCTCGCTTGGAAATTTAGGCTTTTGGCAACTCGGAAATGGCTTACTGTGCGCATGTGCAAAAGGTTCGCCACTGTTAGGATCGGATTGAATCCATCCTCATTCATGTTCGTGTCGTGTCAGTAAACGTTTTCGTGTTGTTTGTGTCCCTTATGTTAGACTAAGTCAGAAAATCTCAAGGAAATATCCAATTTAGTTGACAACAATGGCTTCACCCCACTACTACAAGCCTGTGAAACTATTGCTTCATCTCCACCAAACAAGGTGAGAGCATAAATTAAACATGATTATCATCTAATGCCTTTTGATATGTAGCTCGTGATTTCGGCTATGCGAAGCAGGTTGGACTTTAGTGAAGACTATAGCATTGCAGTTCAAATAACTCTGGCTTATTGATTACAAACCATGTTTCGATAGTTCTAGCTTTTTTCTACGTCTTCCAACACGAATGTTCATCAGCTTGCGCAACAGAAATATAGAGCTAGCTTACGCTATTGAATTAGATTACGCGCATTGTCATGCCACTGTTTTGTTATAATTGAGGTTCAATAGTTGCATTGCATAAAAGTGGCTTTTTGTTTGTTCGACCTTTTTAGGAAAACAACGAATTTGTCAAGAGTTTTATCAAGGTAAACGATTTGTCTTATACATAGTGCAAATAATTTTCTATATCTTTTGACCCATTTTTACTGTTAGACACAAGTGTACAAATGTGTACTGGCCATGTCATCCAAAATGCGGGGAATAACCTTTCTGTTGTCTAAAATTCCACCCATTGAAGGGCGTTTTAGTCTTCCCCAGACTGTTTTAACTTTATGATGGTTTAACTTACGCTTTATTATCCAGGCGAGAGATGGAGTATATGATGTACTCACTTAGAAAACGTCTCTCCTGCAACTATTGCTGTAAAAAGCGTGTATTCACTGCAGTAGCCAGCACGTACACATGGAAATTTGGATATTTTGGTTAGAATTTAGAGGTCTTTGAAAACTGGAAAACTACTAAACAGCGTTGTTTGCTTTATGGAGTACGAAGATACATGACAAACCCGACCAAATCGATACAAGTAAGCAAACAAACTATGTTGTACTCTGTCTTGTTGAGTTTATTAATGTAAGTATGTTGATTCTGTGTTGATTGTAGACTCTGGTCGACCAGTTTGGCTGCAGTGTGAAAGCAAGAGTTGGTAAAGTCAAGAAAGGAGTAAACGTATGTTTTTTGCATGTTTATTGAATCCGGGTACTGGTATTGTTCTGTTACATATTGGGAATTTATGATCCAAGATCATTCAGATCAAGATGCATCAAAGTGACCACTTAAAGTGACTACTTAATTCCATCTGGGCCAAGATTGATCGTTACCTTTTGTGCACCATTATTTGACTGTATGATCTTTATAAACTCACCTATTGAAACAAAACATTTGTTCTTTACATCACTGTCGCGAAGTGAAGACGGTCAACATGTAGTTTTTTCGCACCCTTTAGGTTGAATTGAGGAATCCTCCAACGTTCGGTTTAAGGCGAGAAAAAGACGATGAAGTGGATACATCTTGGATATCGAGGATGTCTAGAATGAAACAGCGATCGTGGAGTGGTAGTGGAAGTAGTTATAACTCTGACTATGAAGATGATGATGAAGATGATGATGTTGAGATGGATGATGACGAAAAACCGACAAAGGGTAATTGCTTGAGTCATTCGCCATTATTTAATGTACGTTGTACGTAAGTCGGATGGTCAATCTAATCATCATCTAATAATAATGATGATGATGATGATGATGATGATGATCATGGTAACGGTAATGGTAATGGTAATGATAATGATAATAATGATGATAGTGATAATTATAATCACAATGATAATGATTATAATAATAATAATAATAATAATAATCCTTTGCTTACCCTTGGCAGTATATATAGCACTGATGCTAGTGCACCCGAGCAAATGTCTGAAACAAATAATTCAAAAGAAACTCAACAGGGTTAAGAATCCCAACTGGCTGGAGGCAAACTAGTTGGTTATTTTACAAGCCTGGTCGACGATTTGAACTCTGGACTACCGTGAACAAATCCAGCTAGCGTTCAGGGCGGGACTTGAACTCGGGGCCTCCGAATTGCAAGTCCAGCGCCCTAACCACTCGGCCACGCTGCCTCCACGGGTTCCTACTGAGCTCACTGTTGCATATGTACTGTTCTGTTCTTCTTATCCCCAAAACAATCCCACAGTGCAGTTGGATACAACACTGACCAACAACCCCAAAATAGCCAATTGTAATCACGTTCTTTGTTGACTCGCTTTAACACATTGTATTTTGTGGTGCCTTGAGGAAGTCAAATACTGTTCTTACCTGTGCATGCGTAGGTTAGGGTCGCCTTATTCACAAAGTAACCTTTCATGTTTTACACTTTACTGAACAGAGAATTCTGATGCAGCGGAAGAGTATGGACTGACAGGTTTGTAAAAGAAAGGATTGGAAGCCTTGTGTTCGTCAGCAGGGCCTTTTTATGGCGTGTTCACAGAAAATATTCTTGTCTTGGATTGTTTAATCCTATCGAAAAAGCTCATCATGAACGATGCGAGATTGTAAAATGTCAGTTAGTTAGCCATACTAAACCGTTCGTAATTATTGGCTTGCCTGCCTCACTTTTTCGTAAGAAATAAAGACTTGCTAAAAGAAGCCTCTCGTTCGCCTCCCCAATTCAAGTCATTACTCATTCCTTCCCCCGCTTGAAAAAATGTTCTGACTTCGCTGCTTTTTGGCCATGACTACTGCAGTCCAATACACACCTAGCATACACGTCTTCTTGTTGTAAGCGTCCACGCTGTACCAAACCTTCTTACAGGCGGTATAAAAGAGAAAGTTAGCGTTCTGTTGCATATTTGCATTCATGAGTTTGCTGAACAGGGGTCAATTTAATAATTTTTTACAAGTGGGATATACAAGTTTAGCTATTGTTTTCGGATCGTAAATTACACTTGTAAAAGGTTTATTAAATTTACCCCAGGACACTATAACTAAAGTCCCCATCTTTGGATTGTGAAGGTTCCCTTAGGCAAAACACTGCATCGATTATGAGCCATTATCTCTTTTTTCGTAAGCAATCCTTGCGAGACCACTTACTACTCCTTTCACATTTAGAGACGGTAAAAAGCGTTTAACTGAAAAAAAAAAAGGTGTTGTAAGGTTTGTCGTTCTTGTATAATCTTTTAGGACTGTTCACCTGTCTCCACTTTCTTGTGTATGAGAGCTGGAATTTTTCTCCGTTTTTGGAGCTGATGCTGGAGTATGTGAAAGATGTCAAGTCCATTGTAAACTCCTTTGATTGCCACGGTCGCACGCCTTTACACTTAGCAGTGAAATGGGGCAACACTGGAGCTGCAAAACTCCTAGTAAGGTTTTTGTTAAACTTAGTATTTAGTTAATGCTATTTTCTTAACCGGTCCTAACTGTTAATACTTCGACCAGCGCCATAGTGCTTCCCTCCACTCTGTCTTCGAGTTAATGGCATTGAAATCAAATAAAGTTCTGATCAACAAGAATAAAACCCCAGCGAGAACTAAATATGATCGACTTATAATTATGTCAAGGCGGCTTACGCTGAAATCGAACTTGTTTTGTTTTCATGTCGCTGTCCTCGCGTTTTTGTCACGAAATCAAAGTTTACAAATTTGCTCGGAAAACCTTTGCATTTTGCTTAAAGGCTTTTTAATAGCCTTATAAAACTTCTAGATTTTGTGCCATTGTGACTCGTCATTTTTCTTGCTTTACAAAGGAGCTTTGAAATGGCAGTCAGATTTCAGTTAATTGCCTCTTATCTTAATCCAATCCGGTTGCAAGAAGGTAGTGTAAGGAACTTGCTTAATTACTCCAATCTCAAGATCCCGTAAAATAAAATTTATAAAGTAATATGAAAATTCCTGAAACAAAACGTTTTATTCCCAAAGGGTTTGAATTGGGTACAACATTTAGTTAGCCGAATAGGTCTATAGCCCACGTTCGATATATTAAAATGTATATAATCTCAAATTTAGGATCGTCAATTTTTTCAACTCCATTGTCTCGAATTCCCAGAAGAGACTTGTCCAAACCAAATATATAAAAATGACCAGAAATGTATGTTAGAATTTTGATTTCGAACGTCACGTGACCACAATTGATCACTTGACAACAAGTGACTAAGGGTCATTAAGGACTAAGGTTATGACTAGGGAAGGACTAGAAACAAGGTCAGGAATAATTTTAATTAAATTGTCATTTGTGTTTTAGATTGATAGCAGTGCAGATGTGAATGTTCGATCCTTGAATATAAAACAAGATGGACTGGCAACACCACTTATTTTGGCTTCCAGGTTTGATAAACTTTATTGCGCTTATCACAAGAGTCAAGTATGGTGGAATTCACTTTTCCTTCTATTTGCCTTGTTGGTTGCTGTTTGAGGGTATCTTCACTAGAAGTTGAATAGGCCACGTCCGAGTTCCAAAAACCCTCACGTTCAAAATGAAGCCAAGTGCACAACCTTTCTGTGAAAATGAGTTTTGTTTGCGCGAGAATGAAAAAATAATTTCCTTATCCGGCAAAGACTGAGCGCTTAACCTCGTTTTGATACAGAGGCCAGGGGGAACTCGGAAATGGCTTATTGTACAATTTAGGAGGCTTGGTCGTTTAATAGAGGATTGACGAATGTGTCAGATCTCCAGATGTCGCCTTTTCCCCTTCTTGATCCTAGTTGCTTGTAGTGTGACTCTTTTATGTATCAAATTTGTTCTTTCTGCAGACCAGTGAGTGTTCGTCTCGCCACCTTGAAGGACTTGCTGGAAGCTAAAGCAGATCCTAACATCGCGGATAATTGTGGTCGCACTGCTTTGTCTTGGGCCGTCTCCAACCCTAACGGTAAATCCCCTTTGCTCATCACCTTGAACGAAACGGCAAACGAGGATAGCAGTTGAATAGCATAATTCGTAATTGTTCAGTTAATAGTAAACGGATGCATTAGAGAGATAACTCAAACAAGTCAACTTTGCCGAAATTTAGAGCGACTGGAATCCGGTGAAAGAAGGCGTTAGGGGAGTGCTGTTGAACGATATCAAATCCTGTTGAACAAAGATCAATCTTTCTCAGTAGACACTTGGCAAATAGTATAAAAATGTTAAGCAATTGTGGACCGCGCGCATGCTAAGCTCATGTCGCCGCGTCATTTCCCAAGACGATCTATGCGTCCTTGATTATACTCGAGTAACTATAAGACACCCACAAAAACCTCTGTCCTTGTTCGTCGGAGTTAGAAAATGCGTCTTATGTTTAAACGGCCAGGGAAAGCTGGACAACACACTTGTACACTTAACATTTTTACTTAATTATTTACTCAAAGATAGCAAGAGTCAGCAAAATAGGGTCCGTCTCTATCCGCAGTCCATTCGTAATTCCCCTCTTACTGACCCAACCTTTAGTATGTAGAGTGAGGTGATGGCGAAGGTGGGCCACACGACCACAACCTACAAGTTCCATGGCTGCTTTTGTTGTCACTTAATAGAGAGGAGAGGTGTGACGTCACGTTACCATGGTAACAAAATGTCTTGATCTCAACCATTTTTCTTCGGAGAGACGACCATTTGCGTTGTTCTTGTGTGTATTCATGGACAGGAAAGTCATACCTGTCACTTTTTTTTGCTGCTACTGTATATTTGCAGGACCATGGTTTCTTGAGATTCAGAAATTCTGCTGCCATGGTAACGTGACGTAATGACTTCTCTCTATTTTGTTCTCCACCACAGATAGCAACTCCACTCCCTTGAAGCTCTGCACAGCTCTGCTTGAAGCTGGTGCCGATGTGAACAGTGCCGATGGCAAGCAGCGCACGCCTCTTCACTACTCTGTGAACTGCACCACGGGTGGCTTTGAGACAATTACTGATGTGGAAAATTTATTGATCAAGTATGGAGCAGACACAACCACCTTAGATTTATATAGAAGGATTCCTCTCCATTACGCCTTTGTGAAAATGAACGGCAGGTAAGCTCGATAAAGTGAAACCAGGTTAAAATTTAATACGTTTCGAAGTTCGCCTTCTTCACCCAAACGTTGTGCTCTTGTTGCTGGGCGTGGCATTGTTGAAAATACCCATGTGCAGTGGTCGCGTCAATCTCCTGTATCAAGTAAATCTCGGTTTTCCTACTACACAATATACCACCTCTCGTAAGCGACCGCCTCCTTTCAGTGACCATTGATCGAAAACACTAAAATTTGCCCAGTCAAGGCCTTAAAATTGACCGCTACAGAAAATACCATAACATACCATAATGCTCTTTGTTTGTTACCCAACATTTTGCATAAGCATTGTCTTCAGTTATCTTGGGAGTTAAAATGGCCCCAAGAGAAAATGAAAACAATGCTTATGCAAAATTTTGGGGTGACAAACAAAGAGCATTATGGTATGTTATGGTATTTTCTGTAGTGGTCGATTAGAGTCTCTCGTAAACGACCATCTCTCGTCCTTGACCACTTATTGGGCCTGACGACCGTAATATTTTCTATTATTTTTAACCTCTTGTAAGCGACCACTTGAGGCATGGATTGATCTCTTTGTTCGCTGTACGTACAACGCCACTTAGAGCATAACAAGAACTTTCCGTGACAACATGGAACTACACATATCGTAGCTTAGAAATTGCATTCAATAAATTCTCTGCCAAAATTTTAATTTGTCGGGACCTCTTCTCGGAATAGACCCTCTTCGGTTCGATTCTCGTAACCAATCACCTCCCGTAAGCGACCACTAAATCTGCGCATTTTGGGAGGTCCCTTACGGAAGGGTTCGATTGTATAATCGTAAGTCACTACATTCGTAACATGGCATTCCATCAGACAATAAACTTCCGGAATTCAATGCGGAACCGCTAACTCGCTTGACCATTCCTGTTACCACTTAAGTGAAGGATTTGCGGCAAGATTAGCTCAGTCGGTAGAGCGCTTGACTGCAGGACGGAAGGGCTTGGGGGGTCAGTTGTCAGGGCCGGACCAATACTCGGGGTCTTAAAATAACTGAGAAATGAAGGTACTTCCTTTGCCCTGCAAACGGCTAGACCTTCGCGTGGCTCGGATGACCACGTAAAATGGCGGCCCCGTCTCCAATAGGAGACGTAAAAAAAGTGTCCCCAATTAGTACTTTCGTGCTAAATACATTGACACTCAAATGGAGAGCATTTTTTTAACCATATACCCATTGCTTTTCAACAGACATACAGATTACAGCATGTCTGACCCCATATCTGTCGTAGGCCTGTTGTGTGAAGCAATGGCTGAACAAGGAAAGGATGTCAAGGCGCAAGTAAATCATCAAGATAACTTTGGACAGACACCTCTGCACAGGGCAGCCTTGAGAGGATCCACAATTTGTTCGTTGAATCTTATCCAGGTTGGTAAAAGGGATCCTTAGTGTAATTGAGGTTGTGATGTACAAAATCTCACCGACTTGGGTTTCTTTTCTTTTTTTTTTTCCTTTGTGCGCTATCTTGAACTAAAATTGAAAGCCACCAAATATTTAGCTATTCCTGTTGCACTGTATCGACTCTATTTCCAGCGGTAACGAGTTAAGTCTGAGGGCCCTTGAATCTACGAAACTAACTACAACGTAACGTTCAGTCAGTCAGTCCAGCTCCTTAAATTTAAACCGCAGGCCAGAAACGGCGTCCATTGGCGCTTTCCATTTGTCAGAACTGACTGGCCAGAACATTCTCGTCGTAACAAGAATTTCACCTTTAATCAAAACTATCCAGCCAGATCAGTCAAATGCTAAATAGTATGCATGAAGGAGATGGCATTTCGACAAAAACTCTTTGAAATGACTGTTCCGGCCGGCCAGTTCTGACTTTTGGAAAGCGCCCTTTGTAGCCGCTTAACAAATGTTTTGCGTAACGTTAATCAAATTGCTGCAGCTTGTAGTACCTTCGAGGAGAACTGTCCCGCAATGTTGCTAAAAATGTAGCACAGCGCCCAGGCTTTTAAGCGTACAAAAACATGTATGGTGATGTTGTACACCTAAGGGGCAGAGCATTCGCCATTGTAGAAACGAGAGGGGACCAGGATGCGAAATGCGTCTCGCAATTGTCTCTGGGGACTCTGGGGACGGCGACTTGAAAGTGTCTCAATTCACCTCCAAGAACATTTGCCAACATGTGACGAAGTAAACGAGATGGAATAAAGTTTGAAGCAGCGCGAATTCACTTTTTAAGTGACGTTTTCGTAGCCGTCGCCGTCGTTGTTGCTAAAGCTTCCCATTGGCCAGTTTTCCCAGTCCCCAGGGACAGTCCCAGAAGTCTTTGCCAAAGTTATCTAGTTTCCTCTCAATTTTTTTTCTACTGTCGAATTGTCTTTGTTTGTTTGCAGAAAGGTGCATCTCTTGAGATCAAAGATAATGATGGTAATACTCCACTGTCACTAGCCGTTCGGGAGGGTCACAATGGGTAGGTGAAAATATTTTGATAGTTTGCATCAGTTTACTGTGATTCTGGTTGCCGTGGAGGGGTGTCAAGGTAGCAGTGTGGTCGAGGGCCAGGTCGTTAGATTCGCAATGCGAAGGTGTTCCAGGTTCGAGTCCTGCTCTGACCGTTAGCTTGAGTTGTTTTTGTGGAAGTCCTGAATTCAACTCCTTTAACACGCTTGAAAAGAGCCAACTGGTTGGCGTCCTACCAGTTGGGATTTTAGACTTGGTATGCTTGATTTAAAATATACTTTTTATCAGTATCATATCGCTTTTCCTTACCGGGGAGAGTTAATACTTTGGAGGTATTTTTCGTGGTGTTACTTTCCGCGCACTTGCCTAGTTTGGTATTCACAGTATGGGCAAAGCACAGATTGCAATAGCTGCCCTGGCGCACATACAGCCAATGTTCAAACCAGACTAACAGAACAGAAAAACAAATGGCCAACTGTCTCTCCATTAGGCTTCCCTCCCTTCTCTTCTGTTGCGCGCGTTGTGTCGTGGGAAGAATGCATAGTCTTATGGATCTACCCCATGATGCCCGGGCGCTCTTTGTTTTTCGCGCCAAGGCTAAATAAACTGACGAGTATTGTACTGTCAGTAGTCCTGTCAGTACTGGTTCAAAACGCGCATGTCAGTTACTGTGACACTGTCCAGCAGACTTCAATGTCATCAACTGTGGTTTTGCAATCCATTTTGACCAGAAGGTGACCCATACTAGTGTATTCTCAACGTTACTGCTACCTGCAGCGTGGCTTTTAGAGATAACACTTACAAATGCCACAAAAATCCTTCTACCGAGTGCTGACTCTCGCATTTATAGTTGTGGCTGTTTTTAATTCGTTATTAGTAACTTTATTTTTGCTTTTCAGTTGTGCCATGATGTTCATGCAGAGTAATGCACCCGCATCCTGTCAGGTTATAAAGCCGTTAACACCAGATGACTGGAAGAATTATGAAATCGAGTAAGTGGAACTTCTTGATGATTTTTCTGTATCAACTTAAGACTTTCTTTCTTGAGACCCAAAAATCACGAAGCTCCGTGAAGAAAAGAGAATCGAACATAAGTCCTATTGCAGGACGTATTTCGGCTGCAGTTGCCTTCTCGTTTCAAAAGTGGCGAATTTGTGATATGTTTAAACTTAGTTTAGTTCAACACGGTATTTTTCAGGAAGAAAAAGTGTTTGTGGCAATGGAAGAATGTTGTTGACTTGTCGGAACCCAAACCTGACATCAGATCTGCATTTCGTGTGGTGATCGATAACAACTGGCAGGGAATAGCTTATTTAATGCTGGAGGTTGCTGGGTTAGATTTTATAGAGGCGATTCAGGCAACACTGGAATCTAACAAGCTGGATCTTGCATGGGCGCTGTTAAGAAAACAAAGGAAAGATGCTGCGGTTCAAGGCGTTGACAAGAAGGGTCGCAACTTACTTCATTTGTTGGCTATTCATTCTGCGCATTTGTGGACACAAGTGGTGGAAGAGGTAATAAAACTGAATATGGTACTTTAACAAAAAGTTAACTCTTCATTCTGCGGATTAATCGGGACTTTAGGATACCACCACGACAACGAGAACGTGAAAAAAGCCATAGGTTGAATAAGGAAAACAACAACTCGGCACGTGCATCACGCTTTTTTTTACATTTCTTTGCCGTCACTGCTCGACTACGACGAGAAAATACCTAATTTCACGTTTTAGGGAGGACGTAAACAAGCGACAGCTAAATTTTCTTTCTCTTTCTGAACTTGAATATGGTTCTTAGGAATCCGTAAGTGACAAAGTAAACGAGTTGGAGTCATGGTATAGAGATTGAAAGAACGCAAGTTCTCTTTTTAAGCGACGTTTTCGTGGCCGTGGCTGTCGTGGTACCTTAAACTCCCTAATAACGGTAATGCTAGAGTAAAACCCCAATGAAACAAAGTGCCAGTGGAGTGGAAAAATTGTCCTTTACAACGGGGCCTCATTATCTCGGGCCCCAACCAGATAGGGAATGGGGAGCGTTTTTAGGGAACGGGCGTCAATGAGAAGTAAGGCCTTTCTTCTTCAACTGACGCTGACAATTTTTTCCATCTCTTTTTTAACTTATTACTGCTAAGCTCGAGGTAGCTCTTCTGTCCAAGTTTATTCAACAACATAAAAAGGGGAAATTTACATATTGTTCGACTTCCAAATAACAGGAGGATCCTCGAAGAACCAGGGGCAGTCAGACGGGTCGGAAGAAACGGCGCGACGAACTGATTGTCCCCTGGTCTCCAAGGATAATACCAGGGGCTAATATGGGCGGGCAACTGTTGTCAGACCTTTGTATTCAGGAAGGAATGGCATGTTGTTACTAGGGGCATACATGGAGGGAGAAGGGGAAATCAGTCGGGTCGGAAGATACGGCGCGATGAACTGATTGCCCCTGGGTCTCCAAGGATGATAGCAGGGGCTAATATAGGCGGGTAAGTCAGACCTTTTTATCATGGAAAGGGTGGAGTTTTGTTACGCGCACACTATGATTTAAGAGTGTTTGGTTGCATTTCGTTTCAGATTGCCAATCATCTTGTTCAGAGGGGTGTTCCCCCCGGGGCTGTTGACTCCCAAGGGGCGACGCCCCTGCATTACGCTGCTTGCAATCACAACCTGGCTTTCTGCAGGTTTTTGTGGGGTAAGAATTTTAACAACAATTTTTTTCAGTTCTCCAAGTCGTTTATCTCTTCTCAAATATGATGATGATGATGATGATGATGATGTGCTTTTGTTGTAGAACATTCTCCATCTTCTCTGGACGTGACAGACAAAGGCGGCGTCACGCCGTTTGCTGCAGTGTTCTCCAACACCGAGAGCGGAATAATCACGCTGGTGGAGTAAGTTATTCGCAGAAGTACCCTAAGTCAGCATTCAAAATTGCAAAATATTATACTCAATTGAAATAAATGGTAGTACACTGAAAGAAGCGAAGAGAGCTGTTGGTGGGGTCAAGCTTGCAGGTATGAGCGAAAAGTCAAAATTTTTTCTCATAGGAGCGCGGCAACAAAATGTATTATTTCAATTTTTCCACAAAATTCTACAGAAGGGAGGTGTTTTTTCAACAAAACCTTGATACCCGGCGTTAGTTAGAGAAAAGGGGATTTGAACGAAAAAAGTGGGAAAAAGGCAAGACGGCTCTTTCGCTCTTTTCTCCCCTTTTCACCTAGTAAGCCCGCTGCTCAGGCCCCTTTTCATTTAACATATTGTACACATTCAAGTAAACAAGCTGTCGTTTATGTGAAATATGATTTAGCCTGCTTTTGGTATGGCAACTGTAAGCTCGTCGACTTTATTTCCCATTAACTAAACTGAATTTGAATTTTCTTCCAAAGATTCTTCGTTAGCCCATCAAATTGCCACGTCAAGAACTTGGATGTGTGCTACAGCGTGGGCGATGAACAGAACAGTAAAGATACAACCACTCCTTTGATTGAAGCCGCTTTATCAAGTAACGAGAAAGTTGTGACCTATCTACTTAAACACGGTGCCTCAGTCAACTTCCCAAAGGTAAGATTAGTAATTACTTGCTTCGCGTTTTTCCTTAAAGTCGTTGAAATTTAAATGCCGTGGAATTATTTAACGACGCTTGATTGGAACGTCCTTGACAACAGGAACCTCTCGATTTTTTTTGATTGATTGTAATATAGTGCTACTAAACACTTCAAAGATTGAGTGCAAATTGAAAATAAAGGACCGAATGGGAAAATATGCGTCTCACTCTGCGCTGGACACTCCTAAAAACTCAGATATGAAAATCAATACCAGCCAAAAACCTAATTTTAGAAACCGGAGTAGCTTGTTGTTGTTATTTTTTTTTTATTTATTTTTTCATTGTGGAAACCACGATACCTTAAGCATGGCCCATGGATATTTTCTTTCTTCGATTTGTTAAGTCAAACAGTTAAGTACGCGGCACTTTCAGCTGGTAAACACGTTAGACAATTCTTTGCGGATTTCAAATACGACAGCTTTGGCAAATGCAACGGTCAGTTGCTTAAGTTGTCTGCTTTTACTTTCCATCTCATACACTATACCTCCTTTTCAGCATGACGGACGCACTCCCCTCATGGAAATTGTCCGTAGCAACGCGATGGACATGGTCAAAGTACTGATTTATGCTACTGACGACAGAAAAGTCTGGGAGACAAAGGAAACGACTCTTGTTGATCTCACATTACAGGACAATGAAGGAAAATCCGTGATACATCACTGCGTGCAAAACAGAGAGGTAGGACTGTGCTTGTAGTTACAATAGGTACTAATGAAGTTGATCTATGCACAGGCAGCTTTGCTTGATGTCCACGGTCATTTTGAGGACAACGCAATATGAGACAACACGTATTAATGATTTCTCTCTCATACTGAGCTTGGGCTATGCTTCTCGTGTCATTTTCTAGGACTCTCTCTTAGGCGGGCGCATCACTAAGACGGACGATTAGCGCCTTTCCGAACAATTTCCGTCGAAGATAGGGTTTGCTTTATTGATGAGATGCGAACGACGAAACTCCGTCGCATTAAATTGAAAGGCACAATGATGATCCCTTGGCAGATGGTCGTCAATTGCAACTTGTAAATATCTTATCATCCACTCCCCTCGGGGTTTTAAGGGATAATTTACAACAATGGTTGGGGAACTTCTTGCCAGGCTGCTTATGGTGCGGTTTACAGTTAATGAAGGAATGAGTGATGATACCCCCTGTGTGAGTGTGAATTTGAGATAGACCACCACACCGGGGACTACGTCCGCTTCTCTCGGCGAATAGTGTGTTGGTTCTTTAACGTCCCACAGAATTTATATGTTAGGGAGCTTACGTAACGACGACGACAACGGTAACGAGAACGGCAACAAACCAATAGGTTAGGATTGGCAAAACAACAACTTTGCACGTGCATCACGCTTTTTTGTACATTTCGTAGCCGTCGTTGCACGACTTCAACGCGAAAAGTGCCTAATTTCACGTTTTGTCGAGGACGGAAACACAAAACAACAATTTTCTTTTTCTTTTCCTGAAGTTTGATAAAATCCTGTAGAATTCAACTCCAAAGAAATTTGGCAACATTTGACGAATTGAACGAGATGGAATAAGCGCGATAAATTTCGAAGCAGCGCGACTAAGTGACGTTTTCGTAGCCGTCGCCGTCGTCGTTGCTTAACCTCCCTATTGTATGTGTAAGGGTTGTGAGACTGGGCCTACGGTTTATCGTCCTTATCCGAAAAGTTGTTATAGAAGTCTAATGATTGGGAATAAGCCCAGAGCTCATAACATTACTCTAAAGTGTAGATAACAATTACGGCTACAAAAAGGGGTAATTTGTACTTTTTTTCAACGCTTTAGTATGGCTCTGCCGAGAATGTCGATTTGCTGAAATTTCTGGCCAGTTTTGAAGCCCCACTGGCCTTAAGAGACTCGCAAGGACACACTCCGCTTTACTATGCCAAACAGCAGGGATCTGGGGTCATGGCAGAGGCTCTTATAGAACTGCTAGGACAGACGGAGGCAAACAGGGTAAGTTCAAGTACACTGTGTTGCGTATTATGATGATTAAAAAGGGGGCAAGGAAAACTCCTCCTCTTCGGTTGCCATGCTTACGTCGCTGTTACCTTGGTGACAGAGCATCTACCGTTCTTACTGATTAAACGTTTGTATCGTCTTCTCAGATTACAAGTGTTTTATCAGTTATCTGTGCTTCTCTTCATTTTGTCCCTTCTACCAATGTTATAGCAATAGGATATGCATTTGTCTTGGTTATTGTAGTTAGTAGAATGATGTCTGCACTGAAGAGCGGGAGTCAATCCCCGGAACCGGACGGGACCGACACTCAGGCGGGTCTTAAAACCTTATTTAGGAGAAGTTGCTGCTTTGCCTGTGAATTATCGGCTAGAATTTCGCATGGCGCGAATGAGCAGCGGTTGAAGTGGCGGTATCCTGTCCAGTAGGAGACCTAAGAATTTTGTCCTAGATGAATACGTTAAGCTAAATTCATAAACACTTGCAGAAAGTCGGTTCTCCCTTTCATAACAGGACACAGAAGAACCAATGGAAAGTGACTCAGGATTTAACTTTACTACTTCCGGTGATGAATTGTGGGAAGGTCCAGTCCCAGATCCCACAACTGACGCGGAGAAAATACTCCAAGAGGCCCGGGAAAAAGATAAATCCGATAACGATGACATCATCAAAGTCAAAGTTGATTCAGCCTTCAGAATGGAGGGAGGAGGGTAGGTTTTCGTAAGTCATAAAGAAACAATTAATTAATTAATTGGTAATTAAGAATTTGTGGTTTAAAATTCCCATCTAAAACGAAAGGAAAATCTGCACAGTGTTTCGTCCTTACTGCTAGGTTTTATCTCAAATTTTCTAAGTGAACGGCGAGCCGAGAGAAAAATAAAAACCAGTTTCTCGTTATTCCCCGCGCAAACTCGCCGCGGTTTTATCGCTCATTTGCGTGCTCACCAAACAAAACCGTTAACCCTACACAGGCTAACTAACTGCGTATTCTTGAACGGTCGATTACATATTTACCACCACTTTAAACTTAGTGGCGACCAATCGTTTGAATTACGTTTGTGCAGCACTATATATGATACGTTATTACTGAAAGAAAGACTCCTTTTTTTTCTTGTCTTCTAGGGAGGTGTATGTGGACCCCGATACTGGTGTGCCATATGATATCCTGATGTCCAAAGTTGACGTCAAATACGGAATGTTCGGTTTGAACAACTTTTATAAGATGCAGGTTAGACGAGTTTTACACGACTTATTTTAGCTATTGTAAATGCCCTTAGCTTCTATATGTCTCTGTTGCCGAATCTTTGGGTAAAAACTTGAGGTCCTCTCACATAAGCAAAAATTAAAGATGGGTTTCCCTTCATGAAGCATGACTTCGTTACTTGATTTATTTCTTACAGCTTAACAAGAATACACGCTGTTACATCACTTTTCCTGTCCCTTATTAATCTCGTGCCCAGTCTCACTCCTATACCGTGGGAGATCTGGGAGCAAGGATATATTTTTAGATGGTCTATCGCTTTGACAGGTGCCACTCCCTTTTTTTCTTTTTAGATCTTTTTTTTTCTTTTTCTAGACCCCCTTTTTTTCTTTTTAGATCATTCATCATAAAGCAAAGGACCTGTGGGTGTTGTTCAATCGGTGGGGAAGAGTTGGAGATAGTGGTCAGCATCAGAGGACACCGTACAATGATCCGGATACTGCTACAGCTGAATTTAAGAAAATTTTCAAAAGCAAGACCAGTAATGAGTGGGTAAACATGGACAAGTAAGTCAAAACTGTTATTGTTTGCCGCCAGATAATTAAATTACAAATTCTCCATCAAACCTAAAGTACTCTTAGCCTTAGAAAACAGCCGACATTTCGCGACTCCACCTCCATGGTTTACCCGCGAAATGACATCTGAGAAACAAGCGCAGAAATACCATAGTGATAGCGCGTCGCTACTCAGATCTGGGTAGTGCTTCTTATTGGTCGTTCCGCGTGTGAAATTTGCTTTAACCAACCAGACGTACTACCCAGGTCTGGGTAGTGGCTCGTCATCAGTAAGAAATTTCTGTGGCGGCGTCGCGAAATGTCGGCTGTTTTCTTCGGCTAAAATACCCTTGAAACGCATTTTCAGACTTGATATAAATCAGAAGACGAATAGACCTTTCAAAAAATACCATAATACTGTTTAATTAGTGGACTTGATATTGCCTGGACTTAGGATGCTCAGCACGTGAAGTTCGTGCTTTGTTGAAAGTGCTTTGAGTAAGGTAGACCACACCCTTGTTTTGTTAACACGCGTTTTGTGACCTTTTTAATAGGTTTCAGAAACATCCGAAGAAATACGCCCTGGTGTTACCAGAAAGGAACCCTGAAAATAAACGGAAACGAATGAACGAGGTGCTAAAGCCCTTTGAACTCGACAAGTGTCCAGCATCTCGTCTTCCGGAGGAAATTCAGTTATTCATGAAGGCAATTGTAAGTGTTTGTAGTTACGGTAATGCCTTCCGCTCGTGCCTGCCCCTCCCCTCCCCCCTTTTCATTTTTTGGCCGTCAGGTGTGACACATGGAAAGCGCCCTTAGTTATTATTGGTTGATGGTTACCTTTGGTTGCAATCCATAAATCATAACTACCTCTTGTCCACCCAGACGATTCCCAGACGATCCAAGAAGATGTTGGGCCGAACACTTGTACCCATTCTTCCTAACTTTATCTTTCGGCGATTTGTGGTATTGCCTGGAGCGCTAGATATGATTGGTTAATGATTATCTTCGGGTAGCATCGACTAATCATAACTAACGCTTGTCCACCCAAACGATCCCACAAATCGTATCGCCCTAAATCTTGTACACATTTTCCCTAGAGTTTATAGAGTTGGCGAATTGTGACTGTCATCTATTATCTTCCTTTCAGACCAATTTTGGGGTGTTAAAGTCTGCTATGAGTAGCGGAATCTTTAGAATAGACGAAGACTATATGCCATTTGGACGACTCTCCAAAGATACTCTAGAAAAGGCTCATGATGTGCTACGAGAAATTAAGTAAGTCTTAAATCCAAGCCTTATTTTTTGACTAGACACCTGATTTACCTTACAAATAGAATTCTTGAAAGAAGCGTATTGTTTATGTGTTTCATTGTAGGGCAATCGTGGAGACAATAGATCGCCGAAATCTGGAAGGAACAGAGGAGAAGTTCGAGAAGGTACCCATTTGTTAACTTTGATTTATCCTTGAATATCTGTGTAGGCTGCCAAGCCCAACACCCATAACCAACCCGCCCCCCCCCCCCCCCGGGGGGGGCTACTTGGGTCATTTATTTAGAACCCCTACCCTATTAGAGAACTATTACAGTCTATTCTCTGGCGGATTATACACCTTATCTTAGTCACTTTCGGGCAAATGTAATTTTCCCTATCACATTTTTAGTCACTTTATTTTCACTTTTAGTTTAACAGTGAATATTCCAATATTTAAATCCCTAATTACCAGACTTTTCTTACCTTCAAAATCCTTCAAGTGTGCGATTCCATTTTAGTAACTCTATTGAAACTCTAACTCTAACTCTCTCCACATTAGCCTTTTACTAAAAGGTGCCTCCCCCGGGTACCAACCTAAGGTTGCAACTGGAACTTTGCCTCCTTTGTGTTCGATTATTAACTAAACGAACTTATTTGTTTCCTTAAACGTAGATTGCTGAGCTTAGTAACACGTACTACATGCTGATGCCCATGGCGTCTTACACTTATGAGCGAATTAAACCGCTCAATGACAGTAACGATATTGAAAGACACCTGGACGCTCTTTATAACTTGACGGAGTTAGCAGATGCTAGTAAGATCTTGTTGGGGGCACAATACCGTAGTAAAGGTAGGTTGCATGTAAATCGCTGTTATTACAGTTATCAGCGACGTGGAAATAAAAACGGGGCGAAAGTGCCCCTCTAGGTGTTATGCATTTTTATAAGAGCGAACTGCCGGACAAGCTTGGTCAATAAAAGATTTATTATATGGCCAAAATGAAATGATTGTCTTGTGAGATCAAAGTTCCGAGCGGTCAAAGTTGAGTCAAAGTTTAACGCTTGATTTTGCTTGTTGGCCGATCAGAACAAGATTCGCTCCATTTTGTTAACACATGCAGGACAAAATGCAAGCGTATCGAAGAAAAGGGCATGAATGACCCGATTATTGCACTTGTACTCGAGCACTTCTCTCGTCATTTGAAAATTACCTCTTGGCTTATGGTAGCTCAACAATGCAGTTGACGCATGTTTAAGTTTCTTTTTAAAAAATGTCTTATGACTTAAGCGCGGTCAGTCTCAAACAACCACTTGATGCAATTGATAGTGTCCAACAGGAGATACGACATTATTTAACTTCAAATTCAGGTACATAGCCTGAACTCAAGCAATAAACTGTGCTATGTCTTTCTAGAAGTCAATCCCTTGGATTATGTGTACAATTCGCTCGGGTGTCATGTGGAATTGCTGGACCCAAACTCTGAGGAATGCCAGCTCATTTTGGAGTACATACACAATTCACGTAAGAGATATTATGGTATTTGATGATGCATGCAAGAACTAGTAGATAGTAAACATAATCGCTTTAAAAGGGTATTTCCCCTGGTTTTAATAAGTTTCCCTTTGTACAAAAGATATTTCTTCGGTTGGTTTAGGTTTGTGTAAACTGATACACCACTGATTGGTAAAAACAGTTCACAAATTCGCGCCTATTTCTTACCCAGTCACAGCTTCTGGTAACTTGCTCGTCGAACGCATTTTGCCGGGCTTAACGACGGTCCCACTGTTGGCTCATGGGATTTTTTTTTTCGTCTGTTGTGTTTGGCCGGGATAAAAGCTTTATGACTAGAAGTGTTCCGGTGGTTATGATTTCATTCACATTACTCATTTCAGGTGGAAGGCAAAGAATTGAAGTTGAGGCTGTTTTCAGAGTCTGTCGATTGGGAGAGGCCGAGCGCTTGAAAAACTGTGGAGTGCCTGGGAACCACCGTCTGCTGTGGCATGGCACTAACACAGCTAATATGATAGGGATCCTGCAGCAGGGCCTCAGGATTGCCCCTCCAGAGGCTTCCCGTTCAGGCTGGTCCCTCGGAAAGGTTTGTGTTGTCGCGAGTGCAAGTTGTTCTACCCTAAATGTAGCAACACACATGGCCAAACGCGAGGAGGACTGTTCATTTAGGTTTCATCTGTCTTCTTCGTAGCAGGCGTCTAACTTCTGCATTTTTGTTGATTAATCATTGTCTTTAATGCATGTGGTTGAAATCAAGATGGAGTAGACTTACGAACCGGTTGAGGTTAGAATCCGGCCTTCCTTTGTTTTTCGTGGGGACTGGCCTTCCTTGTTTTCTTGTCTGTGTTCTTTGCTGTTGCTGCTGTTGTTGTTGTTGTTGTTGTTGTTGTTGTTGTTGTTGGAGCACTGAAGGGATGAGCTTTTCCAGGATGTTAACTCCCTCAGTTTAAGTGATGCCAACTCTTACCTAATTCATCTTTCGCTAATCTTCTATAGAAGACTTCTACATATCAACCGAGAATATCAATTTTCATTTCAAAAACTCATTAATAATTCATAAAGAAAAACAAAAGAAATTAATGTTTAATGAGTGTCTTTATCTCTGGTAAAGACACGGCTAAACTTTTCGTCGAGTTTTTTAAACCAAAATAACCCCTAATCTAAGAATGAGTTGATCTATGTTAGAGATGTTCAAGCCGTTAAAAAAATTCGCAGTCGTGTATTATCAGGTTTAAAAACTCGAGGCGAATGCACTCCTGCTCGTTTTTTAAACAATACATAACGATGAAATAGATGCAGGTCGTAAAGAAGTACCTCACATTTCCATTTGTCTACTCTTCATATAAAGCTTTCTTTTTATCTTTTGCTGTACAGGGAATTTACTCGTCTGACAGCTTGGATAAGAGCATGAACTACGTTGGTTTTGGATCTGCTCAGACAGGTTTTGTGCTCCTGTGCGAGGTAAGGCTTCTATAGTACCCTCTGTTGGTTGCTGTAAGTTTCTGCTCGCTACGAGAAGTGAAGTCAAGATACTTCTTTTAGCCGGTGTACACCCTTCCCCGCCCCCGCCCCTCCCCCCCAAAAAATAGTGATGATGATAATTGGGGAGGGGGACAACGTCGGTTCTTTAAAGCAACATCACGTGACCTTCGGGAAATCAAAACATACAGGCTTCAGGGATCTGCTGTATCTCGTGTCAATCCTTTAAACCCTTATATTATAAAACATATTCCCCATATTGTTTTTCGCACATTTGCTATGGCAGTTGTTTGACAGTTAAGTTGACCGTTTCCTTTTTTCTCATGACCTACATGTTTGATTGAGCAGTGTTATTGTAGAGAGAAATTTAACGTTGGTCACTTTTGGGTTTCAAATAGTTAAGGATGGTTTCGGACTAAGAGGAGATTTTAGTGTACATTACTAAGAGATGAAGAGACTTGAACGTAGTTAACACTAACAACAATAACAGCAACTAATAAACAAAGGGAAACCAGGGTGGCGTCGCAAAACGTAGGCTGTTTTGTCAAGCTAACTTCAAAATTAAGCTAATTTTTTTTTCAAGATGTTGAAAACGTGGCGTGTCAAAAGACCTTACTCATGCTTCTCTTGTGTTAGGTTGCTCTTGGCAAAGTCAAAGAAGTTGTTGATCGCGAATATCATGAGAGTGCACCTGAGGGATTTGACAGCGTGTTGGCTGTTAGTACTGAGATCCCGGATCCAAGTGAAGACGTCACGACCCCCTACGGGGCTAAAGTTCCCGCTGGGGTACGGGTGACACAACCAGGTCTAGCCGAGAAGTTCAATGTTTATCGTATTTATAACCGGGATAGTGAATATGTTGTGTACAAGGAGTCTCAGGTCCTTATTCGATACCTAGTGCAGGTAAAAAGAACGTGGAGGTAAAAAAGTCTGAATTCTAGAACGTGAACTGTAATCATCTTAGATCAGTATGGCTACAATAGTACGAGCGCTCTGATTTGCTGTTTTCTTGTAATGACCGGGCATTGTTTTCTTGTAGTGACCGGGCATTACTAGCTAGGGGTCAAAGACATACACAGTCTGTGTTTAACTTGATAGTGGACATCCATAATGACATCAATTGGCATCTGTCAAAAAGGGCAACAGCTGACCAGTGTCACCTGACTGTATCGCGAGCTTAAGTGTGTAAATCATTGAAGTGACGTGTTTTTCAAAGATATCCGCTGACCAGTGGTTGGTTTTAATTGATCGCAGGCTCAGGTCCATAATGAAAAGGCCACATAAAAAATAACTTATTAACCTCGTCTGTTCGGTCATTACAGGGAGATTTCAGATCTCGGCCTTTATGTATTGACCTCACTCTCTGTTAATAAGTAGTAGATAAAAGATATGGAAACTTGAAACTGCTCCTAAATCAAGGGCATTTCACGCCTGGCTGATAAAAGTTACTAGTGAAAAGATTAAACGCCCAAGCCTCGACTCTAGGCTAGTTCCAGTTCACGACGGAGAATAAAAGAGACCACCGAAAGTCTACAAATTTCGCATGAAATAGGGGGTAGAACCTTTGACAAGGATTACAACTGCCGAACTTGAAAATTTTAGGTAGGACTTTTAATTGGCTAGTGTGGGTTTTTAAAAAATACTTTTTACTGACTTTTTAACATGTAGTTGCACCAAATATGTGACTATAATAGTCCCTTACTCGAAAAATAGCACAACAACACTGAAACAAATCCCATAAGTTTGTCCCTTGGGTATCACAAATGGGCCTTTGTGCATGGTAAAAGTAATCACTATTTATGTTTCGTGGTTTGTCTCTTGTAATAAAAAAGTTCTAAACTTGTCTGTACGGTAGTATGTGTTTAACCGAAAGCGGTTTGCTACTGTACGACTGTGCTTCACGTTATCCGAAACGACCTTTCTTTCGACCCAACGCCATTAGCTGAAAGTTTTTCTTTTCTTTCCTTCCCTTTCTTTTTCCAGACCTCACTAGTTCTGTAGCGTTCGGGACCTTTTTTGAATCCAGAATTCAAAACAGTCTTGGATTGCCTTCATTCACAAGTCTGTTGTCCATTATTCGCCACCTAGGGTAGACTACGAGTAGTCCCCCATTCTTCCTCAGGGATAGTAGAGCGAGCGAAACGCGAGCGCGCGTGAAAATGACCCCACGCGAGAAAAGGCGTGGGGTCATTTTCACGCGCGCTCGCGTTTCGCTCGCTCTACTATCCCTGAGGAAAAATGGGGTACTACTCGTAGTCTACACCTAGGGCGACCAGGCAGTCAGGTAGTGCGAAACCAAAAAATGGAAAACGTTCTCTCGTTAGTTTGTTGCGGTTTCCCTGCTCTGTCTCTTCTTGGCCTTTCCCTCAACGAATTCGCGTAACCTCGATCCCAGTAGGAGAGAACCCTGGGAACGAGATTACTTCGCGCGTTCCTGCCCCATGAAGGTCCAAAATGGCCTAGCGTCTTTATTCATCCCCTTCACCGAGATGCCGTTGTAGTCCGCCGCGACCGTTCCGTGACCACTTACAAAGTAGCAAGACGATATCAGAGCGTACACTTGGGCGTCGTAATAGGCAGGTGTGACTGCTGCAATGTTGTTAATTGTTAAGGGTTGGTTGAAATGGGTGAAACAGGAGACGTGGAGCCATAGTGGACGTTGCTTAGTATGTAAATAGTTCGATTTTTTCCTCGGAATTGCTAACGTAAACTGCAGTGGCTCACCGAATAGCAAAAGCGCACGGCTACCAAAAATGTCATGCACTGGTAGTAACGACTCTATTTCAAGTGACAAGCGAACATGCGAATGAGCTCCCAATTTCTTTCCCCGCACCTTGCTCCCGCGTCTCCTTTAGCGTGACACTCGCGCGTTACTTCTTTTGATACCCGTTAAATGGAGGGTTTGCTTGTGAGAGATTGTTGCATCGTCATCGTAATGGCTCAGTCAATTCCAAGCGTACCCATACCCCCAAAAGCATTTGTCAAGTGTTGACATCTCCTTTGCCTCTGGACACCTGAGCACGAGCGGACAAAATTGTTCAAACTCTCGAGCGCAACTCTGGGACGTTCCTGAGCGTCGCGAATCCTTCACTTGGCGCTTCCCCCGAGCAATAAGAGACGAATGGGTACGAGTCAGTCCCTGGACTGTTCGTTAAGTCTAGCTGCTGCCTGAGTAGCCAGTGTGATAGACGATTTATGAGCCAACTGGGGCGAATGGGAAATTCCGCGCCCACGCCCCAAAACACGCCTGAGTATCCCCAATAACGCCTTTTGGGCACGCCACGGCCTCAGCCCAAGAACGGCGAAATCGCACAATCAAAGCAAAACAAGAAAGACAAAGTTAAAAAATTTAAACAAAAGAGGTGTTTTATTTCATTCATTTCTCAATTGCATCGTAGCTGTGACAGAAATCAGCCCAGGGCGTTAAAGATAAGTAAAGCAAGCAAACTGTTGTTCCATGGACCGCCTACCACGTCGATCAAGAAACCAGGCTCTCGTCTATAGTTACACGTTTAGATTTTAACCACCCTACAAATAACCACCAAAGCATAAAAGCCGGTGAAAGCACAAATGTTGCACGATCTATACAGTGTTTGTTCTTTACATGTCTTAGTTTCCTACAACTTCTCCGTCATCTCAGGAACCGCCTGTCAATAAAAAAATTAATTAATTAATTAATACAAATAATAAAAAACAGGATCGACTTTCTCAGTCTGAATTAGCCTGTTCACAGACCCTCTGTTTTCTCTTTAGAGATCGTTAAGCGCGCGTATGGAAATAAAAACCGCAGGGGAACTATTGACCACAAGTACGCGCGCTCTAGTTGTCCACGCGTGACGAACCGCTAAGAACGTGTGCGTGGGAGGTTGTACTTTTTGTGTCTTAATATCGTATGAAACAAATTGCTTTGAGTAAAATGCACATGATCCAGAAGAGAAAATATGCATAACGTACCTTAAACAAATCAGCAACTAAACCGTAATCGGCCACTGAAACAAATCAAAGCAACTAAACCGTAATCGGCCACTGAAACAGGAAAATTATGAAAAGAAATTTATCCTTGGTTTAAATAAGCTTCCCTTTGTGTTTGTGTTGGGAATCACGTATGAAAATATATGTTAAGGTTCAAATTTATCTTTAAAAGAGAAAGAAACTCAGTAATACAAGTTTGAATTATATTTCAAAAGGAGAAGGCCTGTTTTTGGGGCTCAAAAACGTGTAATCCCTAATGTGTCCTAACTAACACACCAGTCCTTTATGTTTCTGATAGTTTTATTACATGTTACCCACTAGATTATTTTAAAAAACTTCTATCAAGAATAAGAACAACAACAGGTTTCTGGTCACGTTAATTATCAGGTCCCGGTTGTTCGCCAGGACTAAGAGAAACGGACTTTAAATTCTTTATTACTGAGTATCTTCTCCTACAAAATGATAGTCCTGACCTGTCCAGTAATCATGTGCAACTGCGGGTACAATTTTTTCGTACATGGGAAAATTTTAGTTGGACTTTGGCGGATGACCGACTTCTATTTCCAGATTATAGATTGGGGTACTAAGCAAGCAACAAAAATCAACTAACCTTGGAAAATTGGAGCTTCGGGGTCTTTATTGATGGCCACAATGGTCTGCAATAAAAAAAAAATGGCCATAAAATTTACAACATACTAGGAAAGGAGGAAATCTTCAAGAAAATTAAACTAACAGAACAGTACACCAACCTCGTTCCAGCATCCTCTCCTACACGAGAAAGAGAGGACCCTGAGAACAAGGTTGCATAGAACACCAACCTTACTGTCTTTCATTCCAGCTAAGTGTTGAATTGCACCAGAGATTCCCACAGCAATGTACAGCTCCTATAAATACAAAGAAATGGTGATCCTTTATAGTGTCACAGAGTTCTCTTATAATTTGTACAAGGTCCCAGTGCTTGCAAGCTACATTTGTATTGAGCAATATTGTTATTGGATATGATTCTTGTGATATGTGGAATAATCAAGGCTGAAGTACAATGTACTGTAAGTGTTATAAGTGAGCCAAGGCCAATAACGCTAGTCTTACCGAGACCTTGATTATTCTCAATTTCACAAAAACTGAGTCCAATAGTTTCATCATACATTGTTTTGAAGAAAATAATGACAAACACGCTGTCAAATAGAACAAAGTTGGAAATTGCTCTCGGAAATCATATCATGCATTGCATAAGCAACCCACAGATTATCTGCTTAGCAAATAACTCACTAATCTACAGGTTGACTGATTTCAAAACTCAACTGTACGGTACATTGGGTTTTTAGCCACTGAGAAGACAGATAGTAAGAATAATATATAATAAGTAAATAACACATAAAATTATCATTGCTCCTTGGAGCTTTTTCACCTCAAAGGCTCAGAATAACTCATAATACATATAAGAGAACTTACAGGGGCTACCATTTTGCCTGTCTGTCCGACCTGCATGTCATTTGGCACAAATCCTGCATCAACAGCTGCTCTGGATGCACCAACTGCAGAATGCAAGAGAGTTATTTAAACCTTGAGTGACCAAAATTTAACTTCTCCGTCACTACTCAATCAATCATACCAAGTTGTGAGAAAAGAGCAATTGATAGGTAAGTGAAAAACAAAAGGGGTGTGTAGATAAACACCTTACTCAATTATTGACTTCTGATTATAACAATAGTTCCAATCGTTACAAATTACTGTGCACGTTCTTGGGAAATTGAGAGAGAATTAGACATTACATCAACAGACTGTGTAGTTCTTGATCACAAACCAAATTCTCCTTATTAATACCATAGGAAAGGTAAATGTACTGTATATTGTTTGCTGTTTTTATTTTACCTGCTGCATTCATTTTCTCAGCGAGCTTATAGAGCAATTCAAAGTTCTCTCCATTTTTTAGGCCTCTGCCTATGGATTGAAAAAATATTGTTAAACAAAAACACAACAAAGGACAGTGATTTAACACATGCAGCGCAAGATCACAGTACATGTATGTGTAGACCTCATAACCACCACCTTATGCAGGCTGCAGCTCTCATGTACATTGTACACTCACATGTACCAGGGTCTGGAAGGGGACGGGGGTCCTAATCCCATATTCTTCCTCCTTTTTCACTTAAATCCTGCAACCTCTTTGGTTTCCAAAAAAACAAAAAACAAAATAAAAAGCTAACTAGGCACACTATATACTTAGGTTTGAAAGGAGATAATGTGCGTCTGGTTGATTTGCAGAAAGGTATGATTTCCCAAAAACCAACTTACAGGCAAAAAAATCATGCATCCCGTGCTTACATTTTGCTGAATCCCAATTATTCAAGGGTACATATAGCTGTAAAATATCGTATCTAGTTTAAGACACATTGTGTCTTCCAAAATCCCACATCATATATTTTGTTCAAATCCTAAATCCCAAAAATACCTGAAGACAGATGTTCATCATGGAGGGGTGTCTACAGTAACGGAACCTACCTCCTGATACCACCACCTTGGCACTTGTTAATTCTGGCCTGTCACTCACATTCAGCTCCTCACCCACCCAGGCTGATAGGTCATTACCAGTTTCAGCAGATGGTGCTAGCAAATAGCAAAGGAAAAGGAAAATACAAGACGAAAATGTGATTAAAAGTACACCCTTGTACAACCAAAGAATAATGGTTGAAAAAGTATCCTATCTTTGAATTTTTTGTATACTGGTTAATTCATCTTCACATATTGTGTTTTGCTATAACTTTGGACAAAGGCAAGCGCATAAATGGTTGCCGAACCCTAAGTGTAACATTCTTGTACGTTTGGTATTTTTACTCTTGCCAGTGTAAGATCTGAGGTGATGTATTTTAAAGTTTATTATGTTCCAGAATTCTGAACCAAAAACTAAACCTATCATGGTCACTCTCACACCTCATGTGATGCCTACACGCCACTAACATGTGATACTATACATGTACAAGGAAGGTTCTTACCACTTTCACTAGCAGCTGCACCACCAGATGCACTTGCAGCCTCAAATGCAGTACCTCGGACAGTGAACACCTTCACTGTGTCATTGCTTTTGCAAGTAGTCACGGCATTACCTGATGAAAACATCACCATCACAATCACTAGGATTACCATTTTATGGATACTTGTGCAGTTAAGCCAATAAACATGACAGTCAAAGGCCTTTTATTGGCTAGAAAAAATTAACTTCCGGTACATGGCAGCTTAAATAATTATATAAAAAAGAAGAGTAACAATAAGACCACGATAATATGGATCATACATGTTGCAGGTGAACAGGTATCACGAGACAACTGGGGATCTAAGGTTTTCGGGGGTTTGAGTTTTTGAGACACCCATGGGTCTGAGAGTTTTTTCAGGAGTCTAACATAACAATGCTTCACAACTACAGTAATTAACAGAAAATTTAACTTTAATTTTCACCTGCATAAATTGTCCTGACAAATGTGTCATCTGATTTGATCTCTATCACATCCTGCAGTGGAGCCACATCTAGTAAAGCAGCAACTCGTGGAAGAACATTCTGAAATAATGATCAAGAAGAGAGACTTGTTGGGTTTTAATACACATGCTCTAAGGAAACTATCGTCACCATCATCGTCACCCATGATCACAAAAATGTTAATACAACCTTTGTTTCTACATGTATAGTGGAAGTGCGTTATGCTTTATCATCCACACCTTGGTAAAACAGACACCTAGAGTTAGTTCCCTTTTTTTGACTCTCTATAGAACAGACATCAAACTAACTAAAAGAGACAGCTGACCGTATTATCGTAAAAAATCTAAAGGTAAATACATACAAGTAACATGGTTAAAAACCCCAGTGATATTGACAGGAGGCAACCCGTTCACTATTACAAGCATGGCACAGGGAGTCAAACTTATGAATGCTGAGAAGCAGTATGGATTACATGGTGGATGTGAAGGACTTAAACCTTGCATCACTGGATTACAAGTCTGACGTGCTGACCACTATCTCTACAGTATCCCCTCATTGCCATAAACTATCATCATACTGTGTTTCCTTGTGGACGTTGTGGAAGGAGCTACACTGTACACCGTACAAAAATTGGTGGGCATTTTCCAGCCCACATGCATTGAAGATGAAGACTGCCTGCCTATCATTAGGGAAAATAAGATGTCACAAAGTACTGGTACCTTTCCTATTGCTGTAGCACCAGCAGTTATGTGTGAGAAGTTGAACTGATTTTGAGTTCCAACAATCAATGGTGCAAGGACCTCTGCAGAAACATGAGAAACAATAAAGCTTTTGTGTTACAGGTCAAAGTTAAATTCAGGTTAAAATTTTCAAACCTAGGTTGATTCTCAATTTCCTTTGTCTCCTGGCCCTAATTATTCATGAATTAGGGTAAGGAGATGATGGGAATTGATAATCACCCTACTATGTTAACAAAATTACCTGAATATAATTTTGACCTTTAACACATGTGCACATCATGTATTTAAAATGCTCTGACTCAACAAATTAATTTTGTACAGTGGGAGTTAAAACAAAGGCATTCAGCTTCCTGTGAGACAGCTCTAGCATTCCTTCAAGCAAGAAGGTTGCTATTTATGGTGTCTGGAATGTCAGCATTCTCATGGCTTAAGCTTGCTATTGGTAAACAATGGACTGCACAGAAGAGTTGACTCTCATTGCATGACCACTGAGGTACATGTTGTACATGCCCCCAAAACAGACGCACAACTGACAGTGAACATCCAAGTGGTTAATATTGTTGTCTAGTCTGAAATTCCTTAAAATTCTGGTTATGATCTGTGGGCTTATTAAATGTAATAGATTCCATGGTGGAACAAAAATGTATGAAACGAAGATGTGGGATTTTGTTAGTTGATACAATTTATGGTTCCTCAAAAACATTCTGAGTTACAGTACCTGGTAAGAAACCTTTATAAGCTTCATGCTCAGCAACAAGAATTTTACTAATTCCCTCAACTTTGCTTAGTTCTTCAACAACCTGATGACGGAATGGTTATCGCATACAAACAGTCACGTACACTCTAGTGTGAACATCACAAATGCAAGAGAGTAAAATAATTTTTAATAATGTTATAGAGAAAATCAGTTCTTGCAGTAGACAGTTCCCATGTGACAATTATTATTATTATACCTCTTACGTATTAACCCAGTTTGAGTTCCGTACTAGTAACAAATGTAAGTTACAAACTGGGTTTCCCTTGCTGGTATTTATGTATTTATGGTTCAAGTGCAAAGGTCATAAATCCAATGGTAAAAAAGCAAAGTCCTGTAACTAACAGTACAGATCAAGAAAACAAGGTATCCCCTATATATATCTCTGGGTGTAAACAGAGACTGGGAGGGCATCAAAGATCTCACTTCAAGTGAAATGGCTGTGGATTAAGGATGAGCATCAAGTCTTAAACATGAACATTAAAAATTGTGGCTTTTAGTCTTCAAAACCATTGGGTTTTAACATTAAACACCCATATTCCAAAACAGTATGAAAAAATGCAGCTTTACAATGTTCTTCTGTCTCAGACTGTGACCAAAACAAGCTTTTGAACTTGGCAGTCCATGCTATGAATATTTATTGGACAATCAAAGCACACACAACTGATTGAGAGAAATTATTACATGTAGCATAAATAATTTACTGTATTGCCAAATAAAAGAATGTAATACAGACCATGCTAAACAGTATATAACCCTTTCAGTCCCAAGAAAGACCAACATTAATTTTCTCCTCATAGTATTAACACAATATTAATGACACTTAATAAATGATCACCCATGGGAAAACACTATGATCTTTTATCAAATTCCCTTCACAAATAAATATTCATTTTAAAGCAAATAGAGATCAGTCTGGAGAATTTTATATGTGGCTAAATTTGATCTAGGCAAGGTTAAATTAAACATGAGACAATGCTGGCCAGCGGTATCTGTTACTAATCGTATGTGGGGTGGGCTTAGGGTATTTTCAGGGCCCCAGTATTTTTACAGCACTGCTTTAGAGGTCAAGTCATTTTGCACGCATTGTCTTTGCTTGTACTTGTGTCAAAGGCTTTTTGGTCCCAGCCCTTCCCTTGCTCTGGGTGGGTCTTGGTAAGTATCTGAAAACTTTCCACTGAGGTTCTCAGTGTGATGGTTCCTGCTGTGAATATTGGGGCTTTAAGAGTTCAGCCAACCAATTCAGAGCTGACCAGATACACTGTAGTAGCATGACTTACTGTTCCACAGCTAGTTCCTGCAACCAATGCTGATATATCACCACCAAGTTTTTTAGCAGCTGTAATAGCACTGAGTGTTATGGGACCAACTGTTTTATTGTCATGTTCAGCAATTACCAGCGTTGATGCACTTCTGTTTGAGACCAAGTGTCGCAAAGAGTTTCCCTACATTTAGAGAGAATTCACATTTTTTGAACATGTTAATTACATTGTAAAATATGCAACAAATACTTAATTATTCAATCAACAATTATATGCCAAAAGCAACTCATCCTACTACAAAACGAAACTTGAGTTGGCAAGGAGTTCCAGATCAGACAACCTTCTGTTATTGACAGTTTTCTTAATCCCAAAGACACCAGACTTCACGCTTTCCCTTTTTTTAGTGATATGGACATCTCTCAAAGCAACGCCTGGACAATCGGTTCTGTCCCTTCAGAGCTCTGACTGAATGTTAAAAACCACTGACAAAACTGTTATTGTTCTGGTTTTTTAGCAGACGTTGATGAGCAAACACATGGCCCAATGGAAAAGCACAGTGCCCTTTGGAAATCATACACCTTTAATAATGCAACTAAGACTCTTAAAATAGAGCTTGAGTCGGTCAACTTTACAATGTTATGCAAGCTGACTAAAAAATAGGTCTACGGTGGATCGATCTCGTTCGTTGTGGTAAGCTGACTGTTTATTTACTAGCCTGTAATCTTATCCATTCAAAGATACTGTTATTAACTTTTCATACTTACAGATCTACCCAAAGTTCTGGAAAGAGGTCCGAGCCGAATCATTTCAAATTTAAGCTGTGATTCCTTCTAATATTCTCGCTCGGCTCTCGCTCTTGTCTACGTTTTCACTGATTTCAACCAGGCGTTATGCAACTCCATAAATTCCCATAAGTCCATGCGTGGACCCAGTCTCTCTCGACTCTTAAAATTCAGAAGGGGAACTAGAGTCTCAATGGGGTTTTACGGTTATCGGCTAAAATTTCGGTTCTTTTACGGCTATCGGTTAAGTTTTTTCAGTTACGGTTAACAAAAAAGTTAAAAATTAATTTCTTTTGTTTCAAAGAGTTAAATGTTAGTAAACCTGTATTTTTTCTAACTTTAAAGCAAAATAAAGGTCTTCATCTCGGGATAAAATAAGCTATTCTTTTGAAAAATTTTAACATTTAATAGATCATACTTCATACAGTATTCCACTTCTAATATTATTTTACGCATAGAAATGTCAACAGTCAATATGAAAATAATCTTTGGGAAAAAGCAAAAGCAGACACGCGAACGCTCAACTCAAGGCCGGGGCGCAGAAACGGTCGTTTTCACACTAGAGACGGATCATTCGTGTGAGACGGGTTTTCGGATTTAAAATGTAACGGAGAGAGGAAAATTCTTACTTTCGTAAAACGTTAAATTGTATTTAAATTTTTTCCCGAAAATGATACTGAAGCCCTTGTAACTTCGAAGCGACTCAAGTCCCCCTAGGATGACCGAACAGATACAACCGGCGACGGTTAGAATGCATTTCTTGATATCTAAAAGTGTTTCAATGTATTTAGGAGGAAACCGTTGTTGGGTACTCCTGAGCCGAGTTCAATAAATGTTTTATTATTCATTCGATGAAACGTTGCCGTCTTCATTTGCTTTCTTATGGCAATTTCAGGATTAAAGGAATGCTTGTGGAGTTGTATTTTTTAATTTGCTGTTCATGCTACGTTGTTTGGCTAGTGCACTGGGCTTATACCCTGCACCTTTTATGTCATTTTATCGGATATCGCAAACGTCTTTCAAATTTGGTCAACGCTTGCTGGTTATGGAGAATTTATTTAATTTGAGCAGGAGCTTATGTAGTGATGGGCTCCTGATTTGAGCCAACCAGACAAGTCGGAGTAATGATTTAAAGAAACGTTTTTATACTGGATGGATTGACGCGGATTCAAATCACGCTTACAGTCTTAGTGCAAATGTCATGGGCCACAGATACCAGTTTGGTTGTCATATCAACTATAATGAAGGCACACTGACAATAGCCTGCAGCAGCACAGCGTTCCTTTTCGTGGGACCTCCTAAAGTCCCTTCTAAACGTATTGCGTGCCTAGCGGCAGGAATGCGGCATGTGTAAAAAGGCGGGAAAAATGCGCGCGAAAATGGGGAGGGCGCGTCTAACTCAACGTCTAAGTGCTCGTTTGAAAAACGAACTTATGGTGATTTAAAAACAAAACAATGAATGGTTTCTGAAAATCTCCGCTTATGTAAAAACTTTTACTGGTGACATGGGATGGCTGATGATTCCGAGAATGAAGGTGAAAGTTACGGCGAGAGCTGGTTAGTTATCCCGTCTGCAAGGTAAGGCGAAGTTTCGACAAAGCTCTTTTAAAACAAACTTTAACTAAGCCTGTTTATCTTATAAAAGCTTGTCTCTTAGTTTACTTTACTTGAACACTCCTTAACTTTTTTTACTAAAAGGAGTTCGCAAACCGTCAGGAGGCAGGAAAAATTACAGGACGATGATAATCAAAACGAAAATTTGCTTTGGAAATCTACCGAAGAGCCCAGCTCCAAAATATGGTGAGCAGTTTTTTCAGTTTTTTTTTATTTCGTTTTATCAGTTAAGCTTAAGACTTAGCTCAATAAGCCTATTTGCAAAACAATTTTTGACAAGAAAACTTTTTAAAGCTAGAAGTAATAGTCCCATTCTACTTTTTAAAAACCCTTTTATTATATTATTTCTCCAGTGTCAGTGAATATACAGGAAGAGCAAAATACCATCTGCCATCTGCTGTTGCGGCTGTTGGGGTAAAAGTAGAATAATTGAACTAAATGAATGTGTGGGCTACCTTTGATATAAGAAATTAAACACATAGACCTCTTTCTGACCTCGTTTTAGAGAAAGTTTTTTTTGCGTTTTGCACATGCTAACGAGGTCAGGTCGCCATTATGAAAGAGGTCTATTTCAAATCGTTTCTTGTTCTTTCTACTTGTGAAAAAAGTCTGCTAGGTATTCAAACACCAAATATATAACTTCGGTAGGTGATTGAAAACTTTAAAGATATTTCAGGTTTGCATTTTTCATCAAAAAGAAATTAATTTAAGACCTTTTTTGGTCAACTTGGCTAACCGCCAGTGTTTTCCTGAAAAGCCCCTGCTTCTGTGAAGAAAAGATTTGTCTTTTGGCTTTTAGGTTTGCAGCAAAGTTGTGACAAGAAGTTCTGGACTTAACAATGATGCTCAGAAGGATATTAAATCTGCCTGTTCTATGGGAGGTCTACCACACCCTTCTAAGCTGAAGAAAAGAAAGCAAAAACGCCTTAGAAGGGCGAACTCCTTACGTCAAAATCAATATGGGTTTGATGTGACAGCACACGTTGCACAGCTAAAAAGAAAACACGCCGAATTTAACTGGTAAGTGATCACTTAATTCTTTGTGAACTAAATGCAGTCGAACCTTCATGTGCGACCACCTCTCATAAGCGACCACTTATCCAAAATAAAAAATATTTTCCCGATCAAAGCCTTATCGTTGGAAACTTAAGCAAACGAGCACTTTTCGTACAGGCAACCGCGGCGACTTTTCAGGATGCCGGTTATAGAATTTTCCATTGTTTTTAACCTCTTCTAAGCGATCAAATGATAATATGGTCTGATCACTGCATGTTCTACGCCTCTCAAGAGTATGAGAAGAACTTTTAGAAACAATATGGATTTACATATAAATTTATTGTAACCTACTAAACTGTATGCAATACCGACATTCTCTCCAAAAAGTAGATGTGTTCACAATTCTCCTCGCAAAAGACTTCCTGAAGTTCAACTCTTCGCCCTCTGGGCTACTCTACCCCACTTACAGGGGTTCCGACTGTAGAAAGTTACAAAAGTCGTCCTTTCAGAGGTAGATCTAAGCAGGTTCCCCAATTAGGATGTTTTCTTGTTATACCCTTGTCGCTCCCAATACAGTACCAGCCAGTCGATCAGGACAGTTTTATTAGAGAAATTCAAATAAACAGTTTGAGGCAGTTTCTTTGTGTTTTTATAGGACCATTTCAAACTACACCCAGCATGGTTGTGATTTCATTAAACGTGCTAGCTTTTTTCAATGTTTCGTTTTTTATCATTTTATTTATTTAATTTCTCAAGGCTTCCTTCTTATCCAAGAGATAAAATCATCTCCCCATCCCTCGCAGTTGATGAAGAACCTTTTCCTCTCGGAAGTACTGGACCACAGTGTGTTCCCTGCACTCCAAAGTTAGACAATACAGAAGTTGAGCTTCAAAGTGAACATTCAGAAACTGAATGGACTCTCTGCCAATTACCAACCTTAATCAATAGCAAACCCGCAACGTCTGATTGGTTTATGGATTACCAACAGGTACGTTAGACACATGTGCATTTTAAGAAACGACGTCAAAATTTCTTAAACCAAGTGGAACAGGGGAGTGCTCATGATCAGTGATCCTCAGTGAAAGGTTTCGCTGAGTTTTCGGGCTATTTTTACATCATTTCCATGATTTAATGAGTACTGCAGTCGATGAATGGATACTAACTGTACATGGTTGAGTGTTGTTACGTTGTTGTTGTTCAATGTTGTTGTTGTTTTTTACCACAGTAGTAAGACTTGGCGAGGTCAGTAAGATTTTAAACAACTATTTCCGCTGGAGTTTCAAGGAAAATCACGTGTTCTCACAGTAGAGAAGGAAAGATTGTGGCTGAAAAAATTACCCCATAGCAAGCATTTATACAAGTTTCAAAGTATTTCTTTTTTTTTACCTTTTAGACACCACAGTTGTTGGCGGGGCCATTTAGTATACCCTCATATGCTGTTGCCACAAGGAGAACATCACGACAAGCAACAGAGGATGGAGACTGTGATATCATATCCTTTTGGGCAAAAAAAATCACTTCTTTACTTGTCAGCGGACTGTGACAATCTTGAGAAACCTCATCAGCTATCATGTTCACATAACGAAACTAAAACAAATGAAAGCCGCCTACACTAAGGTGACTTTCTTGATCATCGCTAAGTATGTTTTGCAACGTTTGGAAACGTTGGCTACAATTTACGATTATTTTTGATTGCCACTTTTATCTGTTTAAATCAAAGAGAAGGGTTTTACTTTCTAACTGAATATCCTCCTCCTTAACTTATCATACAACTTCCACAGTACGAGGGGCCTGTCTGCCTTCAGTACCTCAACAAGAGAACTCTCAAGTTTGGTCCCATATTCTCAAAGCTCACCAAGCCCTTTTTTCTCGGCCATGTTAAATCCTCTTAAAGAGGAATAACGTATGACGATGAAAATAAGTCAGTGGAAATCTTTTGTTCGACAACAATGCACACTATCGTCTTAGTCTTTTTACTTGCATGATATAGTGATTTGAGATATTGGTAGTCTAATTCTTATTTCATCAGTTTTGTTTGTAACAGCTTTTTAATTTTCACATAATAATATTTTACAACTGCAATGCTACATTACGAAATGTACAGATCAGATTTTTGAAAGTAAAAATCAAACTTCATTTTAAGTACATTGGAGAGTTCTCTCACTTTAGCAAAAATAAGGTCGGGTTCAGAAACAGAGGCGACTAATTATTCAAATATATGGCATAGAAATGGATGGCATGTATACATGCATCGGCGGGGTAGTAATAACGGTCATTGGCCAAAATGCCTCAAAGATGCAATGTCCCTTAAACAAAACACTATTAAACATATACTCTGGATATTTAACGCCTCTTGAGCAAATGAAGATTGAAAGGGTTTTCTGATCCAGTACGTCTGTTATCAGAGGCAAATGAACGACTTGACCCTCTTTCGATCTGGGCCGGGTTGTTCAAAGCTGGATTAAGATAACGCAAGTTAGTTTAGCAACTCTAGTGCTCTTTTTCAGTAGCGAGGGTTAACTGGATGGGCTGTTTGCTGTGAAACCTGTTAACGTATTCCCCTGAGATACTGTACTTGTTACAAACTTTATCTGTTCAGTTCCCGAGGATGAATTTCAGTGATGAATAACCCTAAAGGGATTTTTGGGGGAGGAGGGCGGGGGGCAAAATAGAAGCACCGCAGGATACAAGTGGAGAATCTACAATTGAAATTTTCAGAATTTATCCGTAAGGAAGTTCATGTTTTTTATTCACACCTGCTAAAGATAGCAGATTTTAAAGAAAAAACTTAGTACACCCCTTTGCAAAAACTCTCCTTCGGGTTCCTGGGGTAGGGGATACAAAATTGAAACAGAAACGTAATCTGACTCTTCCTGCTTTTCTAAATTCATTTGCATATAAGTGTTGCGGGCCGGGAGCCAAATATCTAAGTTCCTTTTAATAGGTATAAGTGCAAATCCCCTTTCTCTTCTCTTTCGAACGCCTGTCACTCAATAAACTTCAATAATTACAATTTTTATACTACTGCATGAAAAATTTCTGCAATTTGATTGGCTTAGAACAGTGGTATTTCAGCTTAATTTGAAATACCTACATGTGAAAATTACAAACCTTTTTCGGGTAGTAGTATAAACAAATAATAGTATGATTTGTACGTGATATTTGGCATAAATACCACTCATAATATTTCAAAATAGTCCCAAATTTCACTTACGTACAGTAAGAATTTTCAGGGGCACCCAACGGCAATTTTCGGGAAAATATCTGTTCGGAAGACGATTTGAGATCTAGAATTTTCGGAGCATTTGTTGTAAAATTTCTTGCTTGCCTGCCTCTCCCAGGATTTTCGAGCATCTACAAAATGGTACAATTACCCATTTTTAACGGATTTTGACCCTAAAAAAGGCCACCTAGAATTTTCGGGAGCCTTTTCCTGGCTGAAATTTTCGAGAAGGTAAGTTTTTATCCCTATAATTTTCGGATCACCAGACTTTCAGCTAGGAAATCCGAACAGATGAAACGTTTTTAGGGGATAAAAATATGCCTATATCTACTGTTTGAATACTAAAATACATTCAACAATGCTATGTTAAGTGGTTTTGAACTATATCCTCGTTGGGTGCCCCTGAATTTTGAAATATCACCCGTGGTATTTATGCTAAATATCACTACACATCATGCTAATACCTATCCCTAATAACAATTTTAATAACCTCGAGCGCCGATTCAGCGTATTTCTGTTGGATGGGGACACCTGTTCGCAGGGTAGCGAATACTAAATAAGCATTTCGGTATATAGCTGATAGAGGTATTTTACTTGACCCGTAAAACAATTATCAACAACTAGTTCAAAATCGCCACATAAACAAAAGAAGACAATGGGATAGGCCATTTGCATGTGACATCATTTTTACAGAAATGAAAGTTATATGATTTTGTTTTCAAAAAACGATTAGTGGGTCATATCTTAAATAAAATAATAGTAATTTGATTTTTTCAATAGTGATTTTGATTTGAATGAGTAAGTTCGTAGCTGGTCACTTGACCAAAATGTGATTTAAAAATTATGAATTACCTCTTTCTGAACACAAATTTTACACTTAGACTTCAAAGAAAATGTTGAAAAGATGATGTGGTAACGTTTACAGCACATCTGAGGGTAACTATCAGCTGAACTATCAAACGTTTAACAAGTTAAGTTACAAGCAAAAAGTAGTTTTGGCCGTCATGTTGGAGGGCAAGAGTATGCCCTCCACCACTGGCGGCCCAATTTTTTGTTGAAAAATCAAAGTGCCATAAAAGTTTCCTCTCAAATGTCGGGTGTGAGATGATTTTTATGTGCTCTGTCGATTTTTAGCAGCATCAAGATTCCAACTCCTTGTTTAAAGGAAGCCATTCAGTTACGTGACCTCTTAGTGCAGGTGGCCTATTAGACCTATTAGTACAAAATAGTGAGTAGTATTCTACTACCTGTTTCACAGGTTAAGTAAAATAACTCTAAAGGACATTGAATACGGCATTAACAAATCCTACGTGATATGCACTAAATAGAATCTGACATCACAAGCATTAAAAAACTGCAGACAAAGCGAACGTCAACCGCCTCCGGTACGCCTCCGCATTCCGCCTCAATTGGAGTACCGCGGAACGACTGGAACTAGCGTACGAGTCGATAAAGATGGCCGTCTATTACACATTGGATTATTAGTGCGGCGTTGTGTTTTTCTGTCGTTGTGGGATCCATGGATCGTCTTCCGAGAGGTGCCTCGGCTGTCCATGGTCTTAAACCTTCACGGGTGAGTCGTTTTTGTTCATTTCCACCTTGAATCGTACGGTGAAATTTTACATGTTAACTTTGACAATTTGCCCAGGTTTTGATTGGAATGAGCATCGACCAGTGTTGAAGCCATTCTGTTTGTGTATTTCATTGTAGAATTCACACCTCAAAATTGTGCGGGTAGTCGTTATAGAAGCTATTGATCTAGCCAAGAAGGACATTTTTGGACTGAGGTATGATATAGAGCAGTGCTTTCGATGATTTCGCTGTTTGGGTTTGTTTTTTTTATTTGGGTAGGGATATTAAAAGCGTAAAGCTTAAGCTTTAATATATTATGATTGTACATGTCACTTGAAGTTAATATTTTATCACCATGCAAGTTTAATATGATCACTGTTGCGGCGCAAGAAGAGCGTGAAATGTCACTGATACGAATCTTTAAACTTAAGCTTAAATTGACCATGAATTTGGCACTCATGGTGCGTTATAAAATAATGATTAACGTTTTCTTGCCAGTTAGAGTGATGATATTAAACGTTGCTCGTCTCAATCAGAACTTTAAATCCAGACGTGTACGTATGGAGGGTATCATTTTTCCGTTTTTCAACGTTTGCTCTTATCATGTTCACTCTGCAAATTTGATCAAGCAAGTTAAGTTTATCACTGAACTCCAACAAATGGAAGAAATAATCTCACGAACTGAATTTGTCAAAACTTGTCAGGGGTGGGGAGGGGTAAAATCACTTAAGAGTAAAACTACATGACAGAGTGAAACTTCACGTAAACTCTCCTTTTGTGGTTTAAGTTCCTTGATGCTTTATCAATATCAACATTAGTATTAATATTTCTGCTAATATATTTCCTGTTTTTACTCTGTTCCTGCTGAGCACTACTGCATGCATATAAATAATTCATTCCATTAGGCTGTCAGGCCACTGCCTGAAAAAGAGGTTGTGATTTTATATTGGGTATTATACCATCAAATCGATTTTAAAATTAATTCTATCTGTTACTTACCAATTATTGAATGAGACTGTGTAGGATGTGAAGAATGCGCAGATTGAGGAGGATGTTATTGGCATTGGTGTGTAACATCCTCTGAGATCTGGGTAATTCTTGACATCATACAAAAGCTGAATTCAATAATTGTTTAATTATTCATTCACAATTATTTTAGGAGCGATTGCATAATACCCAGCCCACTAAATGGTCTATTGCCCCTGCACAATCTCGTTGGTGAAATATTTTGAATGAATAATAATACAACTTATTCACTACGTCTTTCAAAGTAAGTATGGTGGGCGCAGGCTGGTTGTGAAGAATTAGCCAGGATTTTGAGCCAATCAGAAGCAAAGAAATACTTGAAATATGCATAATATTATCATTTATTGTCTCTTTTTAATAGCGATCCTTACTGCAAAATAAAGTTATTCAGAGGTGACAGGGACTATGGTGAAATAGATTCTGTTGTGACGGAAACTATCAAGAAGGTAAATAAACTACTATTAGTTTTATTCAAGCAGTAGATATTTATACATTCAGAAGAAAACTAGCCAGCTTTGGTCATGAGTTTTGAGAAACCAAGGGTTCAAGAAATTTATGGATTCCTCTGTATTTATATTTACTGTGTAACAAACTAGTTTTGATGGCTTATAGCCTGCTCATTTCTTTAAGAATAGACAAAAATTGTGGCTGTGATAAGCTTCCCGTGAAGGGCTGTCATTAGGGGCCAACCCGTCACACTTATTTCGGCTGAGCTCAGTCAATGTTACGGCTGATGGTTGCTGCATAAAATAATACTATTTAAAAGGTGGGTTCATGGACCAAGACAAATCAAAATTTATTAATAAACAATTCCTTCAAAAATAAATAATTATTATTGTTGCCCTGTGTCTTCTGTGTCCTTGATTCTAAGACGTGTTTCAGTACAAACCAAACCTTTTCCCTTCAAAAGCCTTTTTCTGTTCAATCGTTGCTTTTCCTGATGCCATTTTTAGCAGCAAACCTCATTAAGCAATGCGCAGTGTTTACACTAAATTGGATTCCGCTGACTGACTTTCCCAGTACTAGTTTGCGTGCTCATTGTGTGACCAATTCCGTGCTGATAGTTCACCTTTATTTATGGTTTCGCCATTATGATGGTATCCCGCATCAAGGCAACCTGAAATTGACGGTTTTTTTCCAAGTCTCAAATTATGGACAGAAGGAAATGCAGGAGCTGATAAAGGAGCCTGTCCGCCAAGACCTGCGAACATGGCTTCAGTTCCTTCAGCTGTACTTGTCCAGCTGGTCACTACAACAGCAGTAGACACAAACAAAACCTAGTGGCAAAAAAATTCCCTGAGTCCATTGATGGCAATGGCTTTCATTCTTTTTGCCACTGCAGGGAAAAAGATGCTCTCTGAGAGAGCCAGCTTTTTCGTTAACATGTGCAATGCAATTGACAACAGCTCCAATTGTGAAAGTGAAGATGACCAATCTTTTATGGTCTGAGACTCGGTTCTCAAATCGGTAATTATGCACATGTAGTTCCTTTGAGGGTTTTGTACATATACAGTGTACAATGTAATTTAATTTAGTCAATATTGCAGATTTTTACTAACTTTAAAAATTAATTTTGTTGTGATTTATGTATAGGATTTGCATCCAACATGGAACCAAGGATTTTTCTTCAGGGTAAGAACAGAGTTAATTCATATTATTGAGTTTTAGCTAGAATGGTTATACATGTTATATTTTCGGTGGTCAGTTACCCAATTTATCCTTTGTTGCAACAATCAAAATAGTCTTGCTGAGAACCCTCTAAACCAACCTGCAGAAGTACAATAAGCTCCATGAAACTTGATTAAATTATTACTGAACAGAGCTTTGTTTAGAGATAATACACAGTTAGGGTACAACGATGGAACATGTACTATAATTTACCAAGGTTGAAACATTTGTCATGAATTGAACAGCAAGGAGGTTCTTTTGGTTCAATGTTTGTGCTCACAAAGTGCCCAGGGGAAATCCCCGGCCCAGGCAACCACGCCAGTGATGGGGATGAAAACATCACATCTGCAAATTGAGTTTGTGCTGTCTCAAACTTCATTGCCTTTATGCCATCCCTTTCATTTTGTCAAATGTTGGCAAATTTTTTCCTCGAGTGATATTCTAAAGGATTGTATCCAAGTTCAGATCCTCTAAAAACATGAAATTAGAAAAATTCACTTCATAGTCATGCAATAATGGGAGTGAAATGTACAAAAAAAGCATGCTGCCGATGCAAAATTTTTGTTTTACTAATCTAGACCTATTGCTGTTTGCGGTTCTTGTTACTGTCCTCATTGTGATTGCTTAAGCTCCCTAATGACAACCTTGGCTTACTACTTTATGGTGCTAGTAACATAGATTGCTACTGGTAGTAATGTACCAACCCATCTGATAGGGTGTGATAAAAAATCAGAAATTGTGCGATAAGATAGGACTATTATTCGATAAATTATGCAATTTTTTCAGGGCTAATTAACATTGCTTTACCAGGTTTCAAAGGAGAAAAATCACTTTAATGTTGTTTAACTAAATAACAGGCAATTTGAATGTAAAGGAATAATAAAACATCTATTTTAAAACAAAACAGTCTAATTTTTTCAACTTTTTTGACCCAGAAAATAGAAAGAAAGAAAAAGGACACTTGTTTAATATTACATGATGCCATTACACCGCTGACCACACTGCTTGCTTCTGAAATCAAAAGGCTGCCCAGATACCGCAAGATTTATTTCTTCTTTAACTTAAAAGATGTAAGGTTTCACCTTATTTCTTTTCTTTTCTTTCCCTCTTTTTTTCTTTATTTTTCTTTAATTTTACAGGTGAACCCAAGAGATAACAGAATCTTATTTGAAGTATTTGATGAGAATAGGCTGGTAAGTACAGGTTTTAGACATTAGACATAATTATTGTCACGACTGAGTATAAAACTTATCAGAAACATCATTCTTTTTTTTGTTATGGTGCACATTATGATTTATGCCCTGTTTTTTTTTATCCTTTAGACCTTAAATTTTACTACAGCTATATCTGCCATAGTTACACTGTAAAGACATTGTCGATAGATCTTCTGGTTGATTTATTGTACAGATAACCAACAATGTATTTTCACAAAACCACATGCTTTAATATAATGCAAAATAATTTAAGTACTCTCCACAGCAATATTTGTGCAGCATTGCTGTATAGTAGTCTCTTGTTTTTTTGCATTACTGAACTATGTGATTATTTGCTTTTAGACAAGAGATGACTTTCTTGGTGAAGTGGAATTACCACTTTCTCACTTACCCGTAAGTAGTGTTGTATGACATGTGGATCATGGGAGAAACTTTAATTTAGATGTATGCTAACAACTCTGATTTACATGAGAAATGTAAATATAAAGTAAAAAAAAATGTTACTGTAGACATGATGGCATTAAGATATCATGTCAGAATACTCATGTCTTGAAGAAGCCAGGAAGGTACTGTAACATTTTTCGCAGAAGTTCCTCCCCACACATTCCCCTACCCCCAACTTACCCTGTAAGAATTCACATTGTATTTGCATAAACTAAATGAAAACATCTACTCTAGACTGAGTCAAGATGGCCAGGGAATGCTCTCAACACTACCCTGCCACTGTCCTAAAATCGGTGATTCCACAAAGTATCATCTCCCTGCCACTGGTCTCATTACTGTAGGTCATGCCACCTCGGCCATTTCTAATTCCTAATTAATGCTCAACCCTCCGTTGCCTCCCTTTCTCTCGCTCCCCACCCATCCCCTCAGAATTCCAAGATGCTGCCTTTTGGTAGGGTATATCACCCTATGATGGTGCACATAGTACAAGAAAAGTTATTAGATATCATTAGAGGGTTTAATAATGATGCCATTACCACATCTGAGGAAAAATGACTTGTCGGCTTACCCTTACTCGTAGGCAGAAAAAGTCCTTTGGTCCATACTGTAAACTACTGCTAGTTATAACGTTAGAGAGAATGAATACAAGCTCGCTATTCCACAACCCCGTACTGAATTTTATAAAAGAAGTCTTTCTTACAGCAGAAGTGTGTTATGGAACAGCTTGCCTCTGGAGGAATGCCAATTGACATCCCCTAGTATCTTTAAGGAAAAATTAAGAGACATAAATCTCGATTGACAAATAATTTAATTAGCAATATTCTGTTTTTTACACATGGCCTCCTTGAAAAGCAGGTGTTTTCTTTTCATCTTTATTATTTTAGTTTTTATCTTAGATTTTAGATTAGTTTGGAGGTTAGTTTTTCTATACTTGAATGTGAATGTACCTGAAGGAAATACTGTGCATAAACAAAGTTAGCATACCATACTGCTTTTAAGCCCCCTCCCCCCTCCCTGCTTATAAGCCCCCCCCCCAGTCATAGGTCCGTGTACCTGTAAACCAAGAATACATTGGTTATAAGCCTCCCCCCCTCCAACTTGTGTTGAAATGTGAGTATCTTCAAAAAGTATTTTTATCAGCACAGCTTTATGTATGTAGCTTGTTTTGAAAAGTTTTTTTCTAGTGTTCAGTTATACCCCCCCCGCCCCCAGATACACACTGTAGGCCCCCTGCTTATACAGTAGCCCTCCTAAAACCACTTATGAAGTTGTAGAAGCCCAGTGCTTATGTAAGCTTAAGTTTATGGCACTGTAATAGGTAATAACGAGCTATAATGAAACGTTGAGTATTGTTTACAGCAAAAAGCCTTAATAGTCCTTAATAATCTTGTTTTATCTTATCTCATCTCCTAGTTGAGTTGCCCTCATTTAACAGTTGTGATATAATTTTTGTTTTAGACTGAAAGACCAAATACAGAGATACTACCAGCATACTATAACTTGAAGCCCAGAAGGTATTGTGAATACTTTGATACAGATCTTCAGTTTTTCTGCCTTGTTCAAAAATTTAATTGATAATAACACTTACATGTACATGTACTGCTGACATTTATCTGAACGTAGCAGTGTCCAACTAGAAATCTCTTGCTTCTTTTGGTACTGCACAGATATGTACATTACCTTGTACATTGTTTCCCTGTAGGCTGGTGTATTGACATAATGTTATTTATTTTTTTTGTTTCACATTTTGTAGTAGTAAATCAAGAGTCAAGGGCAATTTAAAACTGCAATTGTCATATCTTCCACCCGAGGAAAACTCTCAAGCATCGACCCCCGGTAAGAGCATACTGTATATCTTAGAAAAAAAATGTTGCTGCTAACATAATCATAGTTTGTGTTTGCTTTTTTTACTAACGTGAATCTAGTTTAGTTGCCTTAGCTCCTGCAAGTCTACTTGTTTACTAACCTTACTTCACTATTTATGTATAATATAATTTTCTGCAGTAAATGTCCAATATTAATGAGATGCCTGTATTTGAGCAATATAAACTGCATGATAGAGCAAAGTGGTAGTAAAAACAAGGCAGGCTGTTTATTTTAATTTATAGAAGTGAGCAGAGTGAGACAGTCTGGTGAAGAATTTAACCTTAGCATTGTTGAAAACCATTATTCAGCTCCTTCAGCACCACCCATTCAGATTGATCAGCCATCACCCAGTGCTCCTTCTCTGCCGACATCTGATGGAGCGTACTCTTCCTCTCCAATACAAATTCCGGTAAGTACTCCAGGTTACAAACCGGTGCTGGATATTGAAGTATTAGAGACCTTTCGATTCTAAGACTAGGACAGGTACGAGGACAAGGTTTTGTCCATAGGGTGTTAAAGTAAAGGCGTTTTTGAATGACGCACATCAATCGCAGCAGATCGGGAACTATTCTCTTATCGGAATTTTTTGCAGTATTCCTTTGTTTGTTTTGACATACTTTGACAGCTGGCGACGACACACGCGACAGGGACGCAAATAGTTCGTGCCAAATGACGTGACTTGAGCCGGGGGGTGGGGTACTGTCATATATGGGCTATATAGGTATGTGCCGGTGTGAATGGTATGGTTTTCAAGCAGTTTACTCTAGGATAGGGTATATAAATCAGAACATTTGGGTCTAGAATAGGGTATCATTTTACAGGAAACTGATTAGTTGGTTGAAGATTTTATCTAGACTAGGGAAACAGCTACCCTAGGATAGGGGGGATTTGGAGAGTTTACTCTAGTATAGGGTAGCAAAATTTAGCTGAACTAGCTCTGGTATAGGCTAAGGGTTCCAGGGTCCCGGCGGCACATCCCCACCCAGAAATTCCTAAAGTACCCCCCGGGACTTGAGGCGATTTTTTGCAGGGAAAACAAGTCGAGCTCTCGCTCTCTCACTCGCTTTTGCTGCAGAAAGCATTATAAAAACAAATCTACCGCTCGTGCTTCGCGTTTGTGAAAAATTTGAGCTTGACTTGTAGGCAAGTCCAACAGCCATTTTGAGGATTATGCAATAAGAGACCACACGTCTTAATGATTAAACTATCATACTGAGCTTAGGATCCCTGTGGTTTTAGCAAGAATGTTTTGTTTAAAGAAAAAGCGTGATCCCTGATGGCAAGGCTTGAACTCCAGGACCTACAGATCTGAAGTTCAATGTGTTATAAACTATGCCCCAACTATGTATAGCCTGCACATGATGGGTTAGAACCGAAGGCAGGAAAGGGAAGGTGCAGGGGCTACATGTAGCTTGAGGAGTATCCCCCTTAAGGCTGCCTGCCAGCCTGCGGGGAAAAGAAAAAGTATTCAATTCTTTTTCTTAGTACAGAGCAAAATCAATATGATGGTGTGTAATTGCACCTTTCATTTAACCATAGTCACTCCCTGAAGTTGAGGAGCCTATTCATCTTTCAAGATCCCAGGAACCCCTCCCTGAAGGATGGGAAGAACGCCAGGTTAGTAAACACACAATTGGTTGATCATTGTAGCCAGACGTTTAGCATATTACGATAGACCCGGTAAGATCTGTGATCTCCCCTGGTGAGAGCTCCCAGGGGATCTGTGGAGATGACCCCAGAAAAATTTTGGAAGGCTTGAAGCGGTGGAATGCCATTACATGTATTATAATTATTAATTTCATAACGCAAGATCGAAGGAGGTTCGGCACTTTGTATGCAATTTGACAACTTATAGGCAAAATGACTGGCTCAAAAAGTTTGCCATTAACACGTTATATTGGTTTTTCTTAGAATTTAATTTTATACGTTTTTCTTACATCTTTTAACAGGATGCTAATGGTAGAACATTTTATATTGACCATACAACAAGAACGACCGCATGGGTGAGGCCCACTGGAATAAGGTATGTTTAGTGATTGCTTGACAGATACGGTACATAAAAGTAGTAAACTTTTATTATTATTATTATTTTTTGTGGATAGAAAGATTCTTTTCTTGAGCGGTCATGTACTTTCACTTCTCAAGCCCTGCTGTTTTTTGTTGTTTAAATGTATTTTTTTTTGCTTCAATTTTAGCTAATAAGCTTAAATTGTATTTCGCTTTTCTCTTCAAGCAGATGACACAAGGGAAAAAACAAAACGAAAATAAAATTAAAACCAAGGATAAATTAAACTACAGCCGTATATTTTGCATACAAGTTTGGTATTATATGGCCAACTGTCAGTAACCTTTTGCTTATCTGTTGGTTAAGTATTGGTAGAAAGATTTTTTAGGTAGCTGGTTCCTCACAATTACCTATGCCTATTTTATACAAGCTCTAAAAAATCTGACTCTCCATTTGAATCAACTTATGTTTCTACAAATATTACTCGTAAGAAGCAATGTACTCTATATTCCAGTACTGTTCTTGTAACCCTTTCTTCCAGTGAATCAGCACATCAACATGAAGTTGAACAGAATGATGCCAGAAGAGAGAGAAACTTTAGAATAAGGCGGCACCTGAGTGTTGACGATACAGAAATGCAGACACAAAACACTGAAACTAGCCAGGTGGGTACATTCAAATCCCGGGGGGGGGTACTCTACCAATATTTGGGTACAGGTGAGCCACTGAGCATTTGAAAACCTGACCCTCAATTTTATTACCCTGTTTAGGACGAAGGACAAAATGAGCGCTGTCTTGTTTTAAAGCCAGTTTTTAGCAACTGCAATGGAGCAAATTCACGTTAAGAGTCATCGCTTTGGTATATTTGGAGTACAAACAAATGTCATCAAGCAAAGCCAGTCAAGGCAATACCCTGTTTATGATAAGGACAGACTCGCGCGAAATTATATATACTGTTTAAGACGGACTCTCTCGATACTATATACCCTGTTTAGGACAGAGAGGACAAAAACCACACCCTGTTCAGCTGCACATCCCTGTTTAGGCCATTTAAGGAAGTACGGGATCCAAATCTTGTTGAGAGCTTTCAGTATTCTACTGTGAAGGTTTTTATCATTCCCCATCTCTATCATTTTTTAATGTAAGGGCAGAAAAACAGAAAAGCTATGCAAACTTGTTTCACTCTGAACATCTTGCACAGATGCAGATCCTGATGAAGTCCCTCGACCATTTTCGATCGAAATACGGTACGGCACATGTAAATCTCTACCCGCAAGAAAGGTCTTGTCCCTCGCGGGTTGCGATTTTCTAGCGTGCTCCCAAATTTCGATTGCTTTAGCGTTCCCGAGGAAAATGAAGGGCTTCTCGTAGTCTATGTACATAGAGAGAAGTAATGATTAGTAAAGAACACAGTGATTTTGTTCAATATCCAGAAACCAAGACGAGGCACAGCTGAGCTTTTTCTTATGGGGTTGAAAATCGAACAGTTAGACAGCTGGACCCCTAGGCATGGCTGAAAAAACCTTGAGTTCCAGCTTGTTCTTTTTGCAAGCAGCTATCACATTTTTCTTTCCCAGGGGCCACTTCTTGCTTGTCTTCGTTAATGTTTTAATTAGAAGATGACTTCACGCTTGGACCCTTGCCCATAGACCCTTCCACGGTTTTTTTAAACTTTTGACATGGACAAGTAAGGGGAAATCGTCGATACCACTGGGAAGAGCGCCTAAAAATAAGTAACATTGCCAAGTTTAAAGGTTTGTTGAAAATGAACGAAGATGTATCTCCTCAAAGTCGCGAAATTTTACAGATATTTGTATGTTGACTTGCCCTCCCACCATACAATCGTCTGTAAATTTTGCATCTTTGCCAGCTTAAGACGGATCACTTTCAAATTTGGCTATTTTACTCTTTTCAGGCGGTGTCGACGGATTTTCGCTAACTTGTCCACGTCAAAATTTAAGAAAACCGTGGAACGGTCTATTAAGCAAGTGCGTTTTTAAAGTTACTTACCCAGCAAGAAAAATATACTTGTCCCGGACTAACAGAAGGTACTTTTTTCGAGCCCTGCGAACAGATAGTTCCGGGCAACTCAGACCCCCCCATCTCTAGTCGATTAGCCTTTAAAGTAAACACCTGTGTTACTGTAGTAAGCGTAAGGTTTAAGTAAGCATGATTTCTTTATTTGCTCTTTGCAGGCAAGCGTGCCAACTGGGGAATTACTACCTCCTGGTTGGGCCATACAGAGGGCGCCAAATGGAAGAATGTTTTTTATTGATCATAACACGAGAAAAACGACATGGGTCAGTGCCTGGAAATGATAATAATTAATTATGATTTATAGTTATAATAATGATTAGTGATAACCAGAGATTAAGGGGTGTGTTCGGCCCATTTTCCCAGGCTGCCTCTTTTTGATAAGTTAGCGATAATGTCACTTTGCCCTGCCCTTTGCCCTGCTAATATCCATGGGGATCTCAGATATCATTTTTTCCCATATCCGTTCACCAGTTGTCCCATACAATCTTATTCCAATCTTTGTAGAGAAGCGTGTTGTCACAAAAATTCAAATTTGTTTAATTATAGGATTGTATAGCATATCCAGAAAGAACAAGATGAAGAAAGCCCCCCTAGCCAAATATCAGACTTCTTGTGCAAATTGGCGGCGGAGAGATATAAACACCTATATGCTCTGATGACTCCATACAAATCCTTCTAAAATTGGCTTGGATCGCAACGTCTACGATCCAGGGCAATTTTAGAAGGATGTATATTGAGTCATTGGAGCATAACAGTGCTTGTATCTCCCAACCAATTAGCAGTAATGAAGAATGCGTTCTTCTACGTTGAACGAAATACCAGTTTATTTGAATAGTCTAGTTTATTGTTTATAATACTTGTGGATGTGGACATATTAAGTTGATAATGTAGAGCTTTACAAACCCTGTATTTTGGAACACATAGAGATCTGCGATAATAATCAATGTGATGTATTTCTTTTTTCTTTATAGAAAGACCCTCGCCTCCACCATCATTCAAGTCAAAGTATTGGGCCTTCCATGTCACCAGAAATTACCAGAGCCGCAACACTTAATCATGCCGACCTTGGCCCTTTACCAGTAAGAACCCAATAATGTTTATTGTTGTCATTATAAGGAGAACCCTTGTTGTTGCTTTTGAAAGCCTAAAGGTGAATTTCCACCGCCCCACAATTTGAGCCGCTCAACCTTTACGTTTACGCGCGAGATTACGCGACGTTGCAAATACACCCTTATTAACAGAAAGGGCTTGTATAGACCTTTTCCGCATTACGCTCCAGTGAACAAACATAAAGACATGAGGACGAGGCTCGGGAGGACAATTTCATACAAATCACTGTATTTTGTCTACCCGAGCCTCGAGTTGGTGCCGTCGTTTATAGGAATGCGGGGAAGGACTATTGATGTCTAAAACGTTTTTAAAAATCTTTTAACTGGTGGCAATACCGATTAAAATGAAGCGGCTTTTCCAACCATTACTTCCAACCTTTTTGACCGTCTTTTGATTGGCAATTCCACTCCAGTGGTATTTTTACGTTGGTCTTCCATCGTAAGACTTAGGCTATATTCACACGGAAGACCTTAGATAACAACGAGCTCAACCAGGTTGGCGTCCAGCGGTTTTAGTGAAAGCAAAGGTTCAGTCGCGCGGGCTCATAAAACCTCGTCTCGGTCATTGTTGTTTAAGGATTTTCATGTTCACACTTTACCGAATAGCTTTCGGCGCCGACACGAGAAGCTGTCAGGCATAGTATGAACACCTATCCGATATGTGACCCTCCATTTTAGAGATCGGCGCGGCTCAGCTTCGCTCCGTTACAGAAATCGCGCCGAAATCATCGTTCTTATGTGTGAACAGTCGTCCCACCCGGAATGGTTTTCGTGCGTGCGCTAAAGCTATCCGATATAATGTGAAGATATGGTAGCCTTAGAGCGCTGCATCGGACGTGCGAGGCTTGTGCGCTGTCTGTTTGGTAATCAACACAGTCATTTTCTGACTCATTACAACTCTTTAACTTTCATAGCCAGCCATCTCCTTGATCCCACAAGAGCTTTAAGCTTTGCCTTTTACTTGCTTACCTTTTTAGGATGGATGGGAGGAACGAGTACACACGGATGGCAGAGTGTTCTACATCGACCACAGTAAATATTATTCAGATTTTCGTAGAACGAACGAACTTTCTTTAAGTTTTCAGAGGTGTCAGTGGGGGATCCAGGGGAAGCTTCCCCTTGGGGGAAGGAGAGTGTCTCCCCCACCCCCTCCGATTTGGAATTACGAGCCCCATTACCCCTGATTTCTGCTCCACTTAGTCCTTTTACCATTGCTAAGAATTGTCGTATTCTAAACAGCCCTCTGACATTGTTGATAACAGTAAGTGTGCTTGGTTTGTAGATACCAAGTCAACTCAGTGGGAAGACCCTCGAGTCCAAATTAATAACAAACCATCTCAGGTAATCTATTTGCTTTTACGTTCGACTTGTCATTGTAGTTATATATTAAAATTGTATTACTTATCATCATCATCATCAACAATTTCATTATCATCATTATTACATCATCATCAATATCACATTATCATCCCATCTGTGACAACGTGACGTGAAGGACGATAAAATACCTGTTACTTATTTTATGTATGGATTGCAGACTACAGACTCCTTGTTAGGGCTATCGAGATATTGGATACAGAGAATTTAAATACAGTCAGAGTACCCACCAACATGAAAGTCTGGATGCGGAATATTTAGGCTTGAACTAAATGGGATGCAGATTACTGTATGAGGATCCCCCCCTTCCTTTCTTAAAACACCTATAGGACTTGTTTTGGCTGTCTGTTCACACCTAATAATCGTTTTTCTTTTCCATCAGGCTGTTCCTTATTCTAGAGATTTTAAGCGCAAGTGCGACTACTTCAGGTCTAAACTGAAAAGACCGGTAAGTACCTATAGCAAGTCTTGTTTGTTTTATTATTCTTGTGAAAGGTTTGAACCCGGCAGTCATTTCAAAAGTAGGTTGAGTTTGATCGTCCGGGTGAACGTAGTCTTGAATAGGACTGTTGTTGTTGACAGTGACTGACGTTTCGACAACCTGAGCGGTAGTTATCTTCAGTGCGGGCAAGCACACGGCACCAAATTATGGCAAGATGACTACCGCACAGATTGTCGAAACGTTAGTCACACGTCAACAACAACAGTCCTATTCAAGACTATGTTCACCCGGGCGATCAAACTTAACCTACTTTTATTATTCTTGTTGCTTTGCAAAAATTTTTTTGAACGCAAAACAGTCGAGTGTTTGGTTCTGTGTGACCGCACCTGACACGAGAACATTGGCTTGTACTGGCAGGGAAAACAAACTGGCTAGATTTTTTTTTTAAATAACATTAAAGATCACCTTCTTTGTCATGACGGTAGTGGTCTTCTCCGTTCTTCAAAGGGACGTCCCATTTTCTGACTCTTCTTAGGCTATGGTTTTTAAAACGTTGAACGGCCTGGCGCCACATTATTTATCTCAACTGCTTGTTGTAAAGCCTAGTATCGTACCAGTATCGTATGAACAACAATGGCCCGAGGCGGCACAAGTCGTTCACATACATCCAACATCGTGCCTGCGGTTTGCCGAGAGGGTTTGGTGCACTAAACTGCAGTCCTCAGTGGCTTCCAGGCCTCACTCCTCCTTTACCTCCGCCACGGGCCGAATAGGTGTTCCCACTGCACCAAAGTATGGCGCAAAACCCATCCCATAAGTGACGCTCTACTTTCGAGATCGGCGCGACGCAAATTCGCTCCGTCGCAGAAATCGCGCCGCTACAACTATTCTTGTGTGTAAACAGAAGTCCTATCGGCTAATCCGGTATGATTTTCGCGGGGGCGAAAAAGCTTTCCGATATTGTGAGAACATAGCGTTACGCTGTAATAACCGCATGCAGTCTTTTCTAAAAGATCTATCTTTTCTTGAAGGTAAACGTGCCTAATAAATATGAAATTCATGTTAGAAGAAACAACCTTTTGTTGGATTCGTACCGTGGTGTGTCTGTGACCGTCACAAACCCCGAGCTTCTTAAAACCAGGCTCTGGATTGTATTTGATTCAGAAACTGGACTGGATTATGGTGGACTACAGAGGTATTGCCCACTAATATTTTATGAATTTTCTTAGTCTTTAATCTTAGGGAAAAGTGAAACAATTAGTTAAGCTGTGTTGTTATCTCTCTCAGCTAGTACGCGCCCTGTGATTGTTCAGTAGGGGCCATAAATTCAAAAGTTTCATTTGGTTGCAATTTGCGACAGAAGAACATCATAAAGCTGCTCCTTTCATGTAGTTTTGGACTATAATGGGTGTTTTAAGTGTTAAACGAATGTTTTTGACGATTTAAAGTCAGGATTTTGGACGTGGTTTTTCTGATTTGACGCGCGTTGACTGATCAGTAGTCGTCCTGCCTGAACTGAAATCTTCGATGCCCTCTCAGTCTGTAATTAAATCCAGAGGTGTAATAAACATCTTACTAACCACTGTAAGGTACGGAATCCTGTTTTTTTTTTAACCCTAACCCGGATTTTATGGACCGCGCACTTTGCGAGAAAGCTCGGTTAGTAACGTACAGTACGGACCTCAAACTCGGTACAGTCCTTTGTCTCATTACGGGCTTGACGTGGTCCCAAAGACGCCAAACTTTATTCCAGCCCTAAAGTACGGACACCTCTTGGTTGTGTCCCTTTAGCGTCAATGTTAAGGAGTTTTAATATATGACTGAATCCGCGAGCGGGCAAGATGAAGCGAATTCTGCGTTCTAATTGGCTACCCAGGCAAGCAAGTCGGGTCCATCTTGCCCGTTTGGGATTTTCCGCGTTGGTCCCGCAAGAACAAGTTCTCTTTTTGGCCATATGATAAATCCTTTATTGAACAAGTTTGTTCGATCAAGATGACTGTAAATTGGCCTCGTTCTTCTTGCGGTTTTATTAACCTCGACTTCGTCTCAGCCAAGAAAATCGCAAAAACAAGAACTTGGCCAGTATCCAGCCATATTGGCCGAACAAGCTTGGTCAATATGAACGCATATTCTTTGCTATATGTCCTAAAATCTGTGAAATTCAGCAATACTTTTTTCTCTGTCGATAGGGAGTGGTTTTACTTGCTCTCCAAAGAAGTGTTTAATCCTTATTACGGTCTGTTTGAATACTCCGCAAGGTCAGTACAAATGATGGTGTTCGACAGTTACGAATGTTTTGATCATTCCCTTTTTCCTCACGCCTTCTATGGTTGATGAAGGAGTGTTGCTAGGAGGGAAAATCAAATGTTGGTCCGGTACCAAAAATTTCTAAGCTAAGATTTCATTTTTAAAAAAAGTGCTATGAAAGAGGTTTCATTTGAATGGCTAAATCCTAAGATTCTGTCCAGAGACTCAAAAGTTGTGCAGCTAAAATACAAGTCTGCTTAAAAGCGGTTTTGTTTTTCGTGTTGCCTCTTTTTCCCTCTCTTTTTGCTGTGATGTTATTATAAAAAGATGTCTAAATCGTTCATTGCAAACTTGTCAGAAAAGGGCTGGTAAATTTGTCTTTTTGATCGTCGAAGACTTCCGTTAGTTTTTTGTTTTGATGATTTTTATGGCGATTTGGCGATTTTCGTGGCGTGATTTTCGAAGTTGCTTTTGTTTTAACTTTATTCTGTGTTATGTTTTCCCAAGACCTCAGTGTTCCCCTCAATCATCCTTTGCGCATAAATTGCATCCTAAGAAGTAAAACAGTCTGCCATTGTTTGTAAGTGATTGAAATATTATTTTTCTGCAGCGATAATTACACCCTTCAGATTAACCCGAACTCTGGACTGTGTAATGAGGAGCATCTTTCCTATTTCAAGTTTATTGGTCGGCTGGCCGGGATGGCTGTATACCATGGAAAGCTGCTCGATGGTATCTGATTTAACTACTTGTTTTTTCTTGAAAACTGTTTGTTTGTTTGTTTGTTTTTTTTTTCGTTTTGTCGTTCATTGCTATTACAGAAGGTAGTTAGAGATAAAGAGGGCGACAAAAAGGTCAAAAAAGCAGTAGGTTTTTGAAATAAGCTAAACAACGTCATCTTTGTAGGTGCCTTACCAAACAGTGGCACTTTTTGGTGCGTTTCTATGCCTTATTTGCAAGACTAGATGTGAAATTGACCACTCCAGAAAATACCACAACATACCATAATGCTCTTTGTTTGTCACCCCAAAATTTTGCTTAAAATAGGCGTTGTTTTCAGTTTCTCTTGGGGCCATTTTAACTCCCAAGAGAAACTGAAGACAATGCTTATGCAAAATTTTGGGGTGACAAACAAAGAGCATTATGATATGTTATGGTATTTCTGGAGTGGTCATATGCAGTTTTTCATGGAAGACACATGCACACGAATTATTCTTGGTCAGTCTTTTTGAACTTGTATGTGGTGTTTAGGAATTCAACTCCAGGAGATTTCGCCTACATTTGACCTAGTGACCGGGTTGGAGTAGTAAAGATAAAGTTCCAGTGAACGCGAATTCACTTTTAAGTGACGTTTTCGCTGCTGTCGCCGTCGTGGTATCTTAAACTCCTTGCGTCTGGTTTCCTTCGCGGACGTTATGTATTGGACACCAAGCGTACCTTGGAGTGTCAATACCTACCGTTCTAAGTGTAGGTTGCGTAGCAGACCATAACTTCAATACTTATAACGCCTCTGCTTCTTTGATCTCCGTATTACTCAAGGCTAATTTATTTAGTTATGATTGTTTTCTGATTACTTAATGTTTTCCACTTCACAGCGTTTTTTATTCGTCCATTTTACAAAATGATGTTGGGTAAACCGATCACGCTGATCGACATGGAGAGTGTGGTGAGTGATTTTAGTGATCATCATTTCATTTTCCTGGAAATGTCAGTGAAATATAAATAATCAGCTATGTTTAAAGGACTTTCTATTATGTCGCCCCCCTCCCCCGCCCCCGCCCTCTCCAGCCTGCGTCGCAGGAGTAATGTAACCTTGGTTAGTAACGTCTGCGAAGCGGCGCCGAGATCGTTGTTCTGGCCCCCCAACGGATTCAACGAAGAACAGGAAGTGTGTTTCGAATTTCTTTTCATCCTGATTGGCAAATCGGCAATAGCATTTTTAACAGGCCAATCATTGCGGTTACTCAAATCCTGGTATCCATGTGGTCCTGGAACAAGGATTTCGGCGCTGTTTCGCAGACGACTGTGGCGCAGGCAACCCAGTCACCCCCCCCCCCCATCACCGCGTCCCTGCAGGCCTTTAACAACTCGGCCTTAAAAAGGAAAAAGGAAAAAAATGGATGTCTACACCGCTTGTTCTCGTTCGGACTCTATTGTTACGCACCGCACACTCCTTCGTATAGTGATGGGCTTTTGTACATTCTTTTGTTGCTCCATTGAAATGCTCCCCCTTAATGCTCCATTTTTGCGACTGATTCTTTAATGGAAGTGGAATGTACTGAGCTTGACGTTTTATTTTTTGTTTTATTTGTTGCTATTTTTGCGTATTGTTTAGGATTCTGAATACTACAACAGTTTGAATTGGATTCTCGAAAATGATCCTGAGGATTTGGACCTAACTTTCAGCGTAGATGAAGAATTATTTGGCCAGGTAATCACTGCATATGGTTCTCTGCTTCGCTCTTTACAGGAATATTAGGTGTAGAAGAGTTTTGGAAGAATGCATACACGCATTACTCCGGCTTTTGTACATGTGCAGTGTTAAACGTTGTGGAGAAGAGCCTTGGTTATTAGGGTCTCTTTTGCAGGATAGGGAGCTTAAGCAACGACGTTCTTGAGCGACCCATGTCAACAAGAAGGGAACCTTTTTCTGTTTTAATATTCCTTGATGCTACCAAATTTCTATCGCTAAGTGTCTTTACTCTTATAGAGAAGATTTGCCTAAAATTTCGTTCAAAGTTACCGCTCAAGAGTGCAAAAGTCCACTTCCGGTTGACATGCGTCGCTCAAAAATGTCGCTGCTTAAACTCCTGACTGGCACAAATGTGGTGATACTTTGTCGCCTGTCCACAAATGTTCGCTACTTGGTCTGAACTATGTGGGCTCATTTCAGATGTGTAACTTTTATAGGTAACAGTAAAAGACCTCAAGCCTGGCGGATCACTAGTTAAAGTCACAAACGCAAACAAACGAGAGTATATTAAGTAAGTATGACATATAAACAACAAAGAAGATTGTATGCGAAGTAAACTCGGTCTTACGTCGGGAACGTGCTCTCCGAGAATAATACCGTCACAAGCGTAGTATAAGCACAACAACAACTCTGTCCGTATTGGCCTCATTAGCCCCAAGCGCGCCTCTATACCCTTTTTGTTCCCCGACATAATCGCCACACAAGTTAGTAGTAGCTAAGAGGCATGCACTTATTATTTTTCAACAGTCTTGTGATCAAGTGGAGATTTGTAAGCCGCGTTGAGGATCAGATGAAGAAATTCATGGAAGTAAGTTTCGCGTTATGACAATCGTTCTTCCTTTTTGTTGTAATGTCAATGGTATGTAGCCTGCGCCACAGACGAAACTAAACTCCTTCTAAACTTCTCCCCTTGTTCTGGGGCCCCACCTGTGTACAAGGATTTAAGTACGCGCCATCATTGACCTGTCAAAAAAGCCATTCATGATTGTGGATTAGCTAGTTAGGTTGAAGGAGGGGGGGGGGTCCGGAACTAGGATTTCGGCGCTGCTTCCAGACGTTACTAACCAGGGTTAGATTACGTCTGCGTCACAGGCTAACGGTATGTGAACATCTCGTAGGCCACATAGGCTGGAGGTGGAGTCTGTCCTTTGTACAGCAAAACCTTCCTCCTGGGCTTCTCTTGAAGAGAGACACCAAGGCGTACTTACCATTTACACAAACCACCCGGGTGGAAATCTTGTGTATAAACATAAAACTCTAAGAGTTGATGAGGTGGGAGAACGAACCGCTACAAAATATATCCCAAAACAGCTGACCAGACTAAAACGAGTAGAAAATTTGACTCATCTCATACCACAGCCCATATTTGTTGAAGCTTCCCAAACGAAATGGCACGAACGGCATTTGATTTTCCAACCGAAATTTAAGTACCCCTGATGAAGGCTTCTCGTGTTTAATATGTTACATTAAATGCTAAGAACTTGTAGATCCTTCTATGTTTGAGAGTGCCTCTGAGAATTCACGTCCCCTTTGTCAAGAGTTCTACGGAGAGGACGCACCTTGTTCAGTGTTAGACTCGCTTGTCTGATCAGATGAACAATGGTCATGAAACGGGACATTTTCATCCAGGACGCAATGTTGTTAAATTTTTATCTTTTTAAGTTATATACTTTTTTTTTTTATTTTCAGGGTTTTTGCGAACTTATTCCTCACAACCTGATTCAAATTTTTGACGAAAGAGAACTAGAGGTGAACATGTGTTTTTTTATGTTGAAGTTAGAAGCGTATACGAGGTAGGCAAGAGTTTGACTCTGACATAAACTAATCCCCGCTGTTGGAGTGAGACACAATAATTTTACCTCAGTTTTGGCTTTGCACCGAACGTTTCCTTTTTAGCGCAAAAGCAGACGAAAGCTTCTGGTTCAGCATCAAAGCTCCATTTCGTCCCGAATTCCCTATTAATTCCCTATTAAAATTCACCTACTAAGCGGCCACGCTCTATTAATCCTTTAAACCCTAAGATCAAAATTTGAATTCTCATTTGTTGCCCCTATTCATTTCCTACGTAAATAGTAGGGAGAAGGTGATAAAATATCAAGTAAATTCACCTTGTGTGATCATGTCCGTAATTCTCATGACCACTCTGTTTTACAAAGCATTGATATTACAAGGAGAAATTTGATGCTGATCAGTCTTAGGGCTAAACTCTATTAAGCGGTCGCGGCCACCTTTTGGGTGTCCCAACAATAGTTTTCCATTGTTGTCACCTCTATTAAGCGGCTATCAAGCGCTTTTGTCTTTTTTTCAAGAATATGATGAAGGAAAATGCAGTCCGAGATTGAAGGTGACGGCCAATTTTGGACCAGTAATGCTGCTCCTGTTGCGTGATGTTTTTGCTAAAGGTTATGCTAATTTGTGACAAACCTCTATTGAGCGTCCAACCTCTATTAAGCGGCTACTTGCCGGTACCCCGAGGGTGGCCGCCTAATGGAGGGTCCAACCGTATATCTCTCTTCCAACTCTTTCTTTCTCTCCTTTAGCTTCTCATGTGTGGGTTGGGAGAAATTGACATCAATGACTGGAGAAGAAATACGAATTATCGTGGCGATTACAGTGATAAACATAGCGTCATCGTGTGGTTTTGGAAGGTAGGTAGTTACATAGTCGTGGGATGGCTAGCCTGTCTTACCTGCGCTATTTAACAGAGCGTGTTACGTGCGCTGTTTAACAGGGCTGATGGCGCTGCCGCGAAAGTCGCGAGACGAGGGAAACCATTTCCTCTCTACGTTGTGCGCCTAACTTTCCTTCTCTCTCATGCTTAGCACCTCACGCCTGTTTTATAGTTAATTTGATGGGCAATTGCGCTGAGTCAAAATAAGTTAGGTGAGCTTGTTGGTGGATAGACTACGAGCAGTCTCTCTTTTTTCTGTAGTCCGTCGAGCAAAACGCGAGACACGCAAATAGCCACGCGCGTGACGGCGCGAGACGGGAGAGGCCTCGGTTCGCGCGTCTCGCGGCTTCGCCGCTCCCGCGCGCGTGCATTGCTCTCACTAAATCTGAAGAAAAAGAGAGACTACTCGCAGTCTAGTTGGTGAGCTGGTCGTGTTGAAATCATGCTTAGTTGTAATTTCTCTTAGTACAATGATGAAAATTCATATACATTGTACTCACTCTCTTTCTTGTCATTAACTTTGGAAATCAGCGCAACCTACAGAGTCCTTTACAGACTAATCTGTATTTTGTGCGCGCAATTGGTCTAACTGTGATCCGTCCGACGTTGTTCTTCGTTATTTTTCTTTGAAACAATTTACAACAAAGCAATTATTAGATTCGGTTTTGTTCGGAATAATCGTGGTCTCAGTAAGTGTCATCATACACTTAATCCTCGACCTTGATTTTTCCTGACATCACCAAAACCTCATCATTTAATTGTGTATTACGACGCTACTCTATTACACTCACAAACAAGTACCGTTTTAAAAAATAAAACTGAAAAACTGTCTCTTTCCTCATCCAATCCGTACAATTTTAACTACAACTTTTTTTCATTTCACTTCGTATTGATTTCATTGCTGTTTTGCTTGATGCCGTCCAGGCCGTGACGTCATTTGACCTGGAAACTCGTGCCAGGCTGTTGCAGTTTGTCACCGGTACGTCACGGGTTCCAATGAATGGATTTGCCGAGTTGTACGGCAGTAACGGTCCGCAGAAATTCACGATTGAACCTTGGGGTACTCCTCATTCGTTACCGCGAGCTCACACTTGGTAAGTCTATAGGATCAATTTAAGTTTCTGGGAAACTGCCCACCTACCCCTCCCCTAAGCCATCATTATCACTTACTTCTCACTTAAGGCAAAATGTTGGCTTAGGGGAAGGGGTAGGTGGGCAGCTTTGCTATTGTAACAGGCCATTTTCAGTTGTGTGCTCTGTGCCCCGTTCTTTGAATATAGGTGAGAGGTGACCTTGTTCACGGGCTTGCTAGCATGAGACTGGACTGTGTCATAGGGAACTGTTAACAGCTTAGCAGAAAGCCGGAGTTTGTAACATAACAAGGTTAGCTCCAGGCTCGCTTCAGTTTTAAGGCCGGGACAACTGAGCTGGTTTAATTTGAGGTTTCTATTGATAAACTGCTTTTCGCACGGGTGGTTTTGTTTTGAAATATGCTGAATTCCCAATTTCAGATGAGACGTTTCGAGAATGATCCCTTTATCAGTCGGTAGAAATTTTCGCTTAGCCGCGCTTTTATTTCTAGAAAACGTTCTTATATCTAAGAGCTTCATGTTGAAAACTGGATTTGGTTTGTTAGTTTCAACAGGCTGGACTTACCTCGCTACAGAACGTATTATGAACTTCGCGAAAAACTTCGAGTGGCCATTGAAAATACTCAAGGATTTGAAGGAGTCGATTAACGCCAAGTCAAGCTGTTCAAAAATGGTTAAAGGTATCTTAAAGCACATCTAGCAAGCTTCTTCTCCAGTCTTAGTGGAGAACAAACTGAGTGAATGAGTTGTATCAGTTCACGCTCTACCTTACTGGGAAAACGTCGTGCAAGATACAATATTGTAAACGATGTAATATACTTGCGAGTGCAATAGTATTAAGAGTGTTTAAATCATTATGGCCGTAAACAATGGCATATCAAAGCGAATCTTCACGGCCAGTGGTAGAACGAATCACCTGAATGCGCGCGAAATATTTAAGGGCTAGCATGCGGTAAAACATGTAGCAAATGGAAAACGCGGGAAAACAAGCAGCAAATGGCGGGAAATTGTCGCTGGAGGGAAGTTGTTAGTGCTTTTTTAGGAATTCGCTTTAATTAGTTATTGTACACCACGTAAGTTTTTTTCAGTCTGCCCGACTTTAATCTGTATAGAGGTGTGAGCATTTGTCTATTGAACTTAAATTTTTATATACGTATATGTTATTGCGATTCTTTTCTATCTGGCGCGAGAAGAAACTTTTTTTATTTTGCCCTGAAATAGACGAACATAATGAAATGGCCGTTTAGGTTCTGGAGAATCTTTCATTTATGGTTGTAGAATAATACTTACTGATTTGTAGGTGGAAGAGTTTCAATATGAAAATCGAGATACTAGCGTTCTCCAGTATACGACCAGCGTTGGGGAACTTCGTTTTACCCGTTCTGCTGGGAAAATTACAATCGTCAGGGTTTCAAATTTTCACCCCTGACTAGTACAAGCTAAAAGGGCGTTCGTGGCATTAAGACGAGCACAACAAAAGCAGATATCACGCGATTGCTTCTAAGTTCGCGTGATCCTATACCCTATTTACTAACTGGCTTGCAGTGTTTTATACACAGGCAACCTATGGTTCAAAAGTTAGCTCTGAAAAGAACTGGCGACTTTGTTACTCATTCAACCCTTTTGCACACAAAACTACTAAATTGAAAAAAAAAAATGACAGTTTTTTATGTTTGTCCAAAAAGGGCGTGCGCTTGGGCAATACCTGTCGCTTTGGGTCAATCACAACACATTGGTTCTTGTGATTGGTTAAAATACAAGGGCACGACATTTTTTAACCAATCACAGGGCTCAGCAAAGGAGAACCATTGCGAACTCCCGTTATTATTAACGTTCGCCCCATTACCAAACCTGTGAGAGAGATTTTAATTTAATTTTTTCTAACAGTATGAAAATATTGTCAAGCATGTAGGTGGTGAGAATATAGATAGTAAGGGATAACAAGGGATATAATTTTCAGAAACTTACTTGGTTGATAGGTGTCAAACTTGCAGAAAAAATCAACCAGAAACTGGTTGCCTTGTTTAAAGCCTTTTTACTACAGAATTTTTATAGACACGCTATTGAATTGGTCACGTAAAATAGGAAGGACAAAAATATTTCACGGAAGTCTTCATTGAGAAGTTGAAGTCCATACTGTATTCGCCACTTTGAGGTTGAGCGGAGACCAGGTCGAGATGGTTGTGAAAGTGCATTGTGGGACTGTTTTGGGGGACGAATTTGCCGCCATGTTGAAATGCATCCCCCAAAACAGTCCCACAATGCACTTTGACAACCATCTCGATCCGGTCTCCCGTGCAACCTCAAAGTGGCAAAATAGCGTTATTCCTTTCGCTTGCAAGGGTGCTTAAACTGATGTTGCTATCAAACTTTTACTAAGTGAAATACTGCAAAATAAAAAGCAGTGGTTTTTCTAAATGTTATAATTTAAGCGTTGTGAAATAAATACCTTAGCTTATGGTACAAAACATCGTGAAATAGTTTGCTTAAGACTCACTTTTTGCGCCTAAAATTGACTGCATCAGTAAAAGGAATAGCGTGATATAAATTATCGCACTAGTATCTTTTTTTATAAAATTATATTTAATTGGGAATTTAGTCGATCCAAATTGTTAGCCTCCCACGCAAACAAGTCCACCGTTCAGAGTGCGAATGAAGACGGGTTTCCCCGCACGCCCTAGCGACAGAACTGGCACAGTGTCGGTTATTTATTAGTGGAAGTGGCTTTAACAAGCTTTTGATCATTTTTGTATGGAGAGTCTTATGTGCCCTTATGCTAGGAAGCCTCGGTCCGATCTTTTTTCTTGTGTTTAATTTTTCTTGTGTTTAATTTTGTTTAATCACGTGATGTGGTTAAGTTTAATTTTGTCCGTTTTTTCTATTTGTTTTGTTATCTTGTTTCATGGCCTAAATCGTTATGTACATGCCTTGTTTTTTGTTTTTTGTTTTATGTTAGTTTAAACGGTAAATCTTCACTGTTATTTAGTCCATCTATATAAATTCTTGTTTTGTAATATGTCTTCAGCTCCCTCCGCCTCGATTAGTTCATAAGCATTTGCGGGTGGGAAAGTACAATTTTCAATAAAATTTGTTGTTGTTGTTGTTGTCCGTGTAGTGTCTCCAACAATAAACATGCATCATTTTCAGCACAGCGAAGATATTTGCAAAAATTGTGTTTAGAAGAAAAAGATCACAAAAACCCTTTCCTTCGGATTGTAAGAGAAAAAAAAATCTTTTGAGAAAGGCCTAGACTCAACTTATCGAAAGACAGGATTAGCGTAGGTACTACCTTGTTGGGTTGTACTCGGGGGAGGCTACGATTTTGATACCTAATTTTTGAGAGGGGAGTGGTGGGGGGAGAACTTTCTCCACCGCACAGGCTTCTTTTTTCCACTTGCACATCTCCCATAATGCACCTTATTTGCCCCCCCCCCCCTCCCACAAATTCTGCATAACCTTTGTTTTTCATTTCTCCTGGCTACTACAGCCGTCCTAAGAGAAATTGAAAACAGTGCTCATGAAAAATTTGGGGGGGCAAATAAGGTCCTGGAAAAAATATTCCCAAAGTCCGCATTCGGGGGAATATAGACAGCGATCAAGCCAGACAGAACTTGCGAAGCTTAAACAGGACTTTAAGGCTAAGGCTATCATCTCCAGTGTGAAGAAAAAATAATTGTTATCTTACCTTTTTTTACATCGTTGCCTATGTTTCTACTTATCGGTAAATGAAATCCCTCTAATCAAAAGGACAAAGCCTTTTGACTATGGTAGAAGGCGTTCCCTGCGCCTTCTTCGCCCAATTCCTAGTCCCCACCCGGAGTCCTTTTTTGCCAAAACTCAGAAGGCGTGGAAGGAGCCTCCTTGGGAAGAAAGTGAATAGAATTTTAGCCAAAGCAATGGTTGTGGCTTTATTACAGATGGGTTATAATTTACAAGCTGCTACACTGCATGACTGAATAAAGTGGATATCAAAGTCAGTCGTTTGCTTGTTGTGATTGTCGGTTTAGGAAAGAATGATTTAAATAATGATTCGCTATGTTATGTTTGTGTTGGGCTACCATAGATCATCATTAACAATTACTGAACGAGTCTGAGTATAATGTGAATAATTATACGGTCTAGGAAGATGTTATCGGCCGAGCTGGATAACAGCGTCCTAGATTTGTTTAACTCTTCCCATCATACAAAAGCCGAATTCGATATTCGTTTTATTTTCCATTTTCTTTAAGTTCTTAACATTCTTACTTCCTCGTAGACTTTCCTCCAAACATTTGCTGATTTTCGGCATGGTTTTCTTTTCCTTGCAGATACTCCTAGAAAAGTAGATGACATCGATCGAGCAATATTTTTGGCTTATTCTTGCATTTCGTCCGTTCCGTTTTCAAAAGAAAATTTGGCTCTTTCATCTTTGGATGGCCGTAAATTCTTTCCGTATATTTTTAGCCTGCGTAGCAAACGTTTCCGCGCGAGTTCGTCGAGAAAGTTAAGAAGAGAACAATGATTCCCCCTTCCATTTTTTCTTTTCTTTTTTTTTGGCTCTCCAACTTTCGCGCAAAAACTCGATTGGAAACACTTGCTACGCAGGCTAGTATTTTTTAGTCCACTTACGCGTAAATAGCCAGGCTGCCGCGCTGCTGTCTGGAAACGAGGTTGCTCATTTGTCAATAACCTATCGTATCGGTTGAATATTGCCTACATCTTCCGAGGGATTGGAGCCCATCAGGAACGTCGAAATATTATGAATGAATGATAATTTCGTTTACCTGCAATTGACCTTGTTTGTATTGCTTTCAAAACCAAGTAATATACACCCAATGCAAAAATGGCTGCAGATTAATATTCTTTTGTCTCAATTTAAATAAGCCTAACTAGCCTCGTTCTCCAGTACAAAATTCAAAAGAATACCTTATCTCAAGAGAGGCTAGTTGGGCTAATTTTAATTTAAACAAAAGAATAATCTGGCGGCCATTTTTGCATTGGGTGTATTTCACCGCAGACTCGGTTATATTAACAGCTGTTCCGTTGTCAAAGGAAACGACAATTGTGCCTTCATAGCGCCTTTATTGTCTACGCCTGTCGACCATTAAGCGCGCGAACAGCTATCGTAATATATATCATTTGTTTTTCGCCATCTGCCTTGTCATTCATTCACCCTGTTAGAGTGGAGCCTTCTATTCGCTTACTAGTAAGATTTCCATTTCATCCCTCAGCTCAAGGGTTTCTAAAGACACCCAAACGACACAAAGAGAAAAAAGAACCAAGAATGTAAACAAATTCAGCGAAAGGGTGTAAGAGGTGATGCCCGAATTCAGCTGTAAGCGACAGCCTCTTTGGCTTATCACTAACTGCAAATACTGTAAAATTATCGGTACGGAAGCAATCAGTAGGGCTAAACTAGTTATTGACATTTCAAAGCTCGTCTTCTTATTAACATTCAGAAGATTACGCTATTCGAAGCAGTAAAATTATTAGTTGTTACGAGGTGAATGTGTGCTTTGTGGACATCTTTATTTAAACTAGATAATTGTGATAGTGTGAAAAACAAGTTTCTTTCCCTTAAATGCAATAGTCGGAAAACTTAATGTGGGAGTGATGTTTGTGTTTTTTAAGGAGCAGCTGGCTGTCTTCAAACTCATCATTTATAGTGAAAGGTATTGAAGTTACTCTCAATAATTATTTTCGCAGCTTCTCAGTAAGCTATTCTTTGTTTTCCACGGTCAGAGAAAGACATTTTCCGTGTTTTACACCACATTAATTGGAGGAAACAGGAATTGCAGCACAGTACCATAGTAAGTGAAAACTTGTTCGTTTTGAAACCAAACAATAAATTCAAAGTGCAGTTAGGCCTAAGAAATGGCATTAATTCTTGAGAAACTCGAGCTATTTGTGGATTGTTACGAAGGAAAATTAGTACTGAGATCGCCTAGTAGCAGGGCTGTAGTAGAGCCTGCTCTTTGAGTGTTAATACCATGTGTCCATTCCCTTAACATGCATTTGGTCGCTAGCTATCGACACCTATAAATTAGGAGCAGGAACCAACTGTTTTGAAGCCCTGTTTGGTTAGAGCTGTCCAACGAAGCCACAGTCGCTTTCTTTGTTGACCTTTTGTTAGAACAAACAGCTTGAAAGTTTCTGTGATTTTCGGGAAACTAATAGGTCGATTACATGTGAAGTAGCCTACGTGAAAGGCGTTCGAAGGGGAAGGGGAAGGGAATTAGGGCGCGAGACCACGCGCGAGGGAGGAGGGACGAGGGGAACGCGCTCTCGCGCGCCCAAATTCTCCCTTCCCCTTTTAACGCCTGCCATGCAGGCTACACTGAAGGGGTTTTTAAATAATACAAAATATCATTGTCATTTTCGTTCTCCATCGCTCCATTGTTTGAGGGACTCTTTGTCCTGGGTTTTGAAGAGCTTTTTCACAGTGATCTTTATCGGGAAAGCTAATCTGCGCGCTATTCGCCTATCTATTTATTGAGAGTCTGGTTGAAATTCATCAGGATACACCAGACTGATTTGGAACATTTTCAGCTATCTGTCTGCTTTGACAAAAAGTGAGTAGTAAATAAAACAGTAGGAGATGGAATAATTAAAACTGCAAATGAACGAAGCCTAACTGGATAAGGGAAATGCTGTGTATGTTTTCGAGAAAAAAAAAACCAAACAAACAAAAAACGCTGAGAAATTAAGAACTAAGATAGATGACAAGGCTAGACTAAGATATATGACAATTTATCGAAATCCTTGAAAACCCGTGGTCATATTTACTCAGCGGCCAGTTTAACGTAAGACCAACGTCATTTCTTTATTATTGCTTTTTTCCTCTTGTTCTTGTCGACAATTTCAAATAATCTCCTCACTTGGCCACTTGGCCACCATAAATTGATTCCCACTTTGTGAATGCATTGTTTGTATTTTTTATTTGTGGAAGTGTGCGCGAGAAGGTAAATACCATTATAAATGCCAAATGCGCGAAGTGAGTTTCATTAAAGAATGGCATCTTGAAACCGTTTTTTGTACTACATTGATCTGTAAAAATAAGTTAAATTCATGTTCCTTGACGGATCGCATACATGTTATTGTTCGTAAATTTTATTGGTTGAGAAAGACAAGATAGCTTTTTAACGTTTGGTTCATGTGTCGGGAGTCGGTTCAGAATAGTTACGAAGATTTGTTCCTCAAAACGTCTTTCTAACAACAAAAAAGGCGCCTATTCTGGCCCATTTGGAATAGCTGCTGTCTTCTCGAATCGTGCAACAATAGAAATACCTGCTGGTGCTAGTAACATTTGACTCGTGAATTTGACTGTCCTCGTTACAGCGAGTTTGTTATGTTTTCTGGTAGGTTAGATGAGCAAGCATGTCTCTCAACAACAACACAACTTCCTACCAAGGCGTCATGTCTCCACAATTTTACTTATCGAGCATGCCTCCTCCATCAGCAGGAAACATAGCTTGGAGTGTCTGCCTTGCGATCGTTGGGCTGCTAACGATTGTTTTCAACTCTCTCACCATCACCGCCTTCTCCCAACCTAGACTCAGAAGGCCTCCACACTATTTGCTAATCTCGCTGGCGTGTGCCGATATCTTGGTGGGATCCATGTCGATACCAATTTATATCACAATAATGCTCAATGCTGTCAGAATAACTCTGAAAAGAAGGGGCGTGTTCTGGTTCTTTGATTTTCTGCCAGGACTGGCCTCTATATTTACTCTTGGGGCGGTATCACTTGAGAGGCTGTTTGCAATAGGCTGGCCAATTCTTCACAGGGTCACTTCACCGAAGATGTACTTTGCATTTATCGCAATACCATGGATTTTAGCGTTAATGGTCGCCTCTTTGCCGCTATTCGATATGTACAGGTTGTTACCTCAGGGTTTAATGTTTACCGTTGTCACTACATCGTACTGTTCTCCAGTTGTTCTCACTATTATAACTTATATCATACTGTGGCTTAAAGTGAGATTGGAAAGAAGCAGCGATGTCTCTGGAGCCGACAGAACTGTGAGAGAAAAAGACAAGCGCTTAGCGATCACACTCGTCATAGCCACCGTGATTTTCGTTTTTACAGGGCTGCCTTATCCAATCATGTTAAGCATTGTTAATCTTTGTCGTCCGTGCCTGTTCAAGAGATTTCAACTGCTCTCTTATCTCTCCTCAGTGAGCAAGTTTTTGCATTTGAGCAATTCTTTTCTCAATTTTGTAGTGTATATTTTAAGGATAGCTGAATTTCGTGCTGCCATTACTAGACTAGTCTGTCGCAGGAATTTCTCTACAAGAGTAGATGTGGCTTCGTCCCATCATCGGATATCCAAGATGAAATCATCTGAGAACACTCTTGTTGGCCAGGTCAGCCATAACTGAAACCAGGTTATGGATCGGAGCAAGGATAAGCATAAATAGTTCATTAGCAGAGGGGCCTTCTGTGTGAGAGACAAAACCACTGGTAAAGAAAATAGTTCCATTTCAATCCATAAGAATTGTCCTTCATCAACTACACTGTTATGTTACAACAAGACAACAAGCATGTTCAGTTTCATGCTTCAGAAAGGGACGTCCACTTGAATTTCGTGTTTTTTTTTGTTTCGACTTCAAACGTTCCACACATTTTTATCATGAAAGTGTTTCGAAATATTCTTTTGTGTGACGAACTATGAATATTTAGCACGATGCCTTCCTCGAAAAGTCTGCTTCGCAGCCGTTATTAGGGTCGTCATGCAACTCTCCTCCCCACTAAGTGGGAAGGAGCGTTGCGTGACGACACTAATATATGTAACGGCTGCGAAGGAGACTATCCTCGAACTGTTTGCAAGTAGTCAATTTTTTTCCACACAAAAGCGTGGATTGCGAGGATTTGCCTGTTATAAATTAGCCAATCAAACAGCACATTTTTATTCTTCCAGATGCGAGAATTGTTGTACTTAATCAGAAAATATCATGAGTTCATCTGTCCTTTTTTTTTGCCCAAGCGTGTGGAAGTGTTAAGAGCAGCACATTAAAGCGTAGAGAAAATCTTATGAATTTTTCTATATACAATCTAAATGCCACGTTTCTTGTTTGTTTGGTTTTTTTTTGCAGGCATATAAAAAAACTTGTCATGAAAAGTTGGTTCAATAAATATATATGTCCATCCCTGCCATCAGTCGCAACAAGCGACAGTAAAATGTTTCAATACCAAAATGTAATCTTGAATAACAAACCTGGACCATTAAAATTCAATAAAAGCCAAACGATAGTTAACCCAAAAATAGTAAATAGCGAGCCCCCAAAACTTTAAAAGTTGCAATACATGAAAACAACGATACATGCATCCACGTGACATTTTCATTTTATTCCTTGCACAAATTAAAGAAAGGCTCCAGGAGAATAGGCCAGGTAAATTGAAGTTAAATTCAGATTAAAATTAAGATTGTCGTCTGCATTTTTTTCACTCATCCCTTCGACAAATCTTGAATGAACAGATCCAATCCATCGAGAACTTGTTTTGTGGTTGGCAAGTTGGTTCCAGGACTATAGGCGGGACAGCTCTGTTCCAGGCCCATTTGCGTTTTAATGTCACCAGGATCGCTGACCAGGAAACCTCCAGCTGTCAAGAAAAAGCCCTGTAGATCACAAATCAAGTTATGTTTCCCTGCAAGCATGTAAACTTTGATCTTCATCAGATCGTTGGCCGTCGCCTTCAGACCTTGGGAAGTTAGGATGTTTTTCCGGATGGTATTTTGGATAAAGTTGTTGACAGCAACGGGACCGTTGAAGAATAGAGTGTCCAGACGCACCAACCAACCTCCGCCAACCCATCCCTCCAAGAAACCAGTACAGGTAAGGTCGGCCGTCTTTCCACACTTGACGCCCTTGATCAATTGGTTATCAATCTCCACCGTTCTAACGCCCCCAGCAATAAGCTTCTGGATGTTATCAATCTCCATTTGAATGTTAAATTCACAGAGGTCTTGGAAGTGGCAGAACAAGAAGGCCACGCTTGGCACTTGTTTCAGATGACAGACGCTTTTCATCTGCCCCGCCATTAGCTTCCCTTCGCTGCAGATTTGGGCGTAGTTTAGATTCGGTTTCAGGCTGTCAATGAGCTTCTTGGCGCTGGCAAAATCTGCGCCGACTCCAGCAGCTGATGGCCCAGCAACTGAAGCAGATACCAATGGCATCAGCAGAACAATGGACACTGTCACCTACATCAACACAAAATGGTTCAGTAAATCAAAGTATGGTTTTAAAACCTCCACACTTAATAACATTTTTGCTTTCCTTTAATACATCATAGGCAGTTTACAGGCTTGTTTTTTTATAGAACGTGCGATCAAAAAAAGCTTTTAAAACGTTCTTCTTTGAGCTGGTACAAGAATGTTTACCAGCACAAGGCGAGGCGCCTTTTTTTGCGCAGAAATTTGGAGTTTAAAAGCATCGTTTGGAAGAATTGCGGCTTGTGCATGTTTGTGCAAATTTTACGCATCCGTTAAGTCCTTTGTTGAGTTTTTTTGAGTTTTTCTCTTATTTCGATCATCATCAGAGCACTGAAAAGGAACAAACAATTGATATTCAACATTTATTAATATTGTCAATTGTTCTGAATATGTCTAAAGTTTGTCATCGAAAAAATACATTTGTTCGCAAGGAGTACATTTTCTGCAAAATTCTTGTTGATACGCGCTACAGGTGTACCTAACAGTTTGCTTAATTCGGCTTACGTTGAATATTGTCGGCATGGTTTGGTCCATGATTTTCCAGTTGAGCGACATTAAAGTAGTCTTTTCGAATCTCCAATATGGAAAGAGAGATAGAAAACTAACAAATGAAAAGTTTCTGAATGGGAAAACTTTCCAGATTAATTTTAAAAGGAATGATAATCAGTCACGGTCGATTCTTTTCCGATTTTCACGAATATGCAATGTATTGTGGGATCGCCTGAACGCAACCATTTCAAGAATGTTTCGATTTATCACATTCCCACAAATCACAAATCTGCTCAATACAAAGTCAAGTCACGACACTACAAAAAATGGCTTTTACTTAGGGCCTGTTTACATGGAGGTGGGGGACCCCATATAGGTGAGGTAACATGTGGCGGGTTACCCCACCTATCATGTAAACGTGATTAAATTAAAATGAGAGATTATGTAGACAGGTGGGTTACCCACCAAAGCAGGTTACCTCACCTACCTGGGGTCCCCACCTCCATGTAAACAGGCCCTTAAAACAGAAATCTTTCAGAAAAATGCTACAAATTTCTCAAGTAAGCACGCTACGCCCCTGTTTTCATAAGATCAGCGAAATTAGTGGTTAGGACAGGTTTTTCAAAGCTCTATTAGGCTAATCAGGGGCACCCTGTGACGCTTTCGTCCTAAATACATTCCAGGGTACTTTTAGATTTCTGAAAATGTATTCTAAGCGATGCTAAAAGATTTGTATCTGTTCGGTCATCTTAGAGCAACTTGAACCTTTCATAAATTACAAGAGCTTCAGTATTGTTTTACCGAAAATTTTAGATGCAATTTAAAGCTTTCTGACGTGACAACTTTTCTGATTCCTCTCTCCATACATTTTTGAATCTGGAAATTCTAGGTTTCCTCGAGAGCCATAGTGGTCCTATTATGGCTCTTGGTTTCCTTTGCTTAACCTGCATGAGTAGTGAAATGTGAAAGCTATAGTCTTTTAATTTAAGTTCGCCTACTTCATGTCTTCGAACTTTCGACCAGACCCATCAGGGTAGGTAACAGTTTATGATCAGGGGACGAACAAGTTAAGCCTCCTTCACTTTCGAGGCGACGAAATTTCCCTAAGACATCCCAACAGATAATGCTAAGGCAGCTCTAAATTAACCGAACAGGCCTCTAAATCATAGAGCAAAACATTTGAGATTATTATTACAGTGACCTATTTCTCGACGATTTTATTTTTTAAACATTCGGTCGTTGGGTGCCCTGATTCTAGTCTGCAACTGAGAGGGTTTTGGCCAAAATCGACATTTCCGTTGCGGATAGACCGGGTAGACCAGCACTACTGGAAAAAAGCCAGCTTCTTAGCACTGGGAAATAGTAATTGGTCTTGTCATCACACAAATATGACAAACATTTCACCTGTTTTTATCGGGTCATGAACCAGACCTAGAACACTGTATTACGTGGCGTTATAAGAATGAGATCAACCTGCCGTTACGCCGTGTTTCGTTCGTACGAATATATTATTATTTTACATAAATCACTGGAAAATAAAATACACCTTGTTATCTCCTGTTTTCACCGTCTTAAAACGTAAATTTTTCGAACGTCAGTGACACAAATGGACTGATTAATCCTCGGTGGGCTAATTGACGTATCGTGCAGTGATGTAAATTTTTCAGAGGGAGATGGATTACTTCCGTCCAATTGTTTGTCAACTCATGATTTTGTAATAATACCGCAGTGTCTCTAAAAAAGAAACACTCGACAGCAGTTTTGTATCTTTAAGGATATGGATAAACGGGAAGAGCCACACAAATAGTGCCACCTTAACTAACCACTGCATGTCCGCGGACGATGGTGAGAGACAAAAGATTGAAAGGCTTGTTTTGAGAAATCAGTTTCCCTCTATCACTCATTATTTCAGGGGGAGGAACGAGAATATAGTTCAAAACCACTTAAAGACCTTAAACATATATAGCATTGTTAAACGTATTTTAGTATTTAAACGGTAGATATGTAGGCATATTTTTATCCCCTAAAATTGTTTCGGGCATCTGTTCGGATTTCCTACCTGAAAGTCTAGTGATCCGAAAATTGTAGGGATCAAAACTAACCTTTTCGAAAATTTTAGCCAGAAAAAAGGCTTCCGAAAATTCTAGGTGACCTTTTTAGGGTAAAAATCCGTTAAAAATGGGCAATTATACCATTTTGTAGATGTTCGAAAATCCTAGGAGAGGCAGGCAAGCAAGAAATTTCGTCTTCCGAACAGATATTTTCCGAAAAATTGACCTTGGGTGCCCCTGTTTTTTTACTGCCAATTCAGTAAAAACATTAACAAACATTATCATCAAAAAACGAAACAAATTAGGTGATAGATTCTGATAACTAACCTTGAAAAGTGTTGGCAGATTCAAACGAGGAAATGGAAGAAGAATCGCCATTTCATTTGCCCACTCAGTTGAGAAGTAGTAGCGGTTTGAGAAGTCGTTTTTGTAACTGCCAACATCAATAAAAATTAGCAATTTAAAGGCTATTACCAGTTGAACGACTGACACTAACTACGCGTTAATACGACAACTAGCTCAACACCTGGCACTTCACTGGTGGCCGGTTCGAGAACAGAGCATAATGTCTATTAACCATAAAATTTGGTCTTAAAAAGGATTATTCGTCAATTAAACCTAAATTGTTGCTCGATTTATAGAAAGCTATAATCTTTTAATTTAAGTTCGCCTACTTGTGTCTTCGAACTTTCGACCAGACCCATCAGGGTAGGTAACAGTTTATGATCAGGGGACGAACAAGTTAAGCCTCCTTCACTTTCGAGGCGATGAAATTTCCCCTAAGACATCCCAACAGATAATGCTAAGGCAGCTCTAAATTAACCGAATAGGCCTCTAAATCATAGAGAAAACCATTTGAGATTACAGTGACCTATTTCTCGACGATTTTATTTGGAAACATTCGGTTGTTGGGTGCCCTGATTCTATAGTCTGTAACTGAGAGGGTTTTGGCCAAAATCGACATTTCCGTTGCGGATAGACCGGGTAGACCAGCAATACTGGAAAAAAGCCAGCTTCTTAGCACTGGGAAATAGTAATTGGTCTTGACATCGCACAAATATGACAAACATTTCACCTGTTTTTATCGGGTCATGAACCAGACCTAGAACACTGTATTACGTGGCGTTATAAGAATGAGATCAACCTGCGGTTACGCCGTGTTTCGTTCGTACGAATATATTATTATTTTACATAAATCACTGGAAAATAAATTACACCTTGTTATCTCCTGTTTTCACCGTCTTAAAACGTATTTTTTCGAACGTCAGTGACACAAATGGACTTATTAATCCTCGGTGCGCTAATTGACGTATCGTGAAGTGATGTAAATTTTTCAGAGGGAGATGGATTACTTCCCTCCAATTGTTTGTCAACACACATGATTTTGTAATAATACCGCAGTGTCTCTAAAAAAGAAACACTCGACAGCAGTTTTGTATCTTTAGGGATATGGATAAACGGGAAGAGCCACACAAATAGTGCCACCTTAACTAACCACTGCATGTCCGCGGACGATGGTGAGAGACAAAAGATTGAAAAGCTTGTTTTGAGTAATCAGTTTCCCTCTATCACTCATTATTTCAGGGGCACCTAACGAGAATATAGTTCAAAACCACTTAAAGACCTTAAACATATATAGCATTGTTAAACGTATTTTAGTATTTAAACGGTAGATATATAGGCATATTTTTATCCCCTAAAATTGTTTCAGGCATCTGTTCGGATTTCCTACCTGAAAGTCTAGTGATCCGAAAATTGTAGGGATCAAAACTAACCTTTTCGAAAATTTCAGCCAGAAAAAAGGCTCCCGAAAATTCTAGGTGACCTTTTTAGGGTAAAAATCCGTTAAAAATGGGCAATTATACCATTTTGTAGATGTTCGAAAATCCTAGGAGAGGCAGGCAAGCAAGAAATTTCGTCTTCCGAACAGATATTTTCCGAAAAATTGACCTTGGGTGCCCCTGTTTTTTCACTGCCAATTCTGTGAAAACAAACATTATCATCAAAAAACGAAACAAATTAGGTGATAAATTCTGATAACTAACCTTGAAAAGTGTTGGCAAATTCAAACGAGGAAATGGAAGAAGAATCGCCATTTCATTTGCCCACTCAGTTGAGAAGTAGTACCGGTTTGAGAAGTCGTTTTTGTAACTGCCAACATCAATAAAAATGAGCAATTTAAAGGCTATTACCAGTTGAATGACTGACACTAACTACGCGTTAATACGACAACTAGCTCAACACCTGGCACTTCTCTGGTGGCCGGTTCGAGAACAGAGCATAATGTCTATTAACCATAAAATTTGGTCTTAGAAAGATTATTTG